ATATACGGATATTTATGCAGTTTATCCAACATTCTGTTTCAATACAGTGGCCAAGTTATTGATTGTTTTAAAATTTATTTCAATTATTTGACATTTTTAGAAAGAATTTTCCATGATAAAATAGTTTTTTTCTTCAAAATGCAGTGTTCGTCTATCTTCATCTTGAAGTTAGTTGATTCAATTTGTTTCAAATTTGACCAAAAATTGTATAATCCGTTTCAGAACTACTGAAAGCGACAAGGGAGTAGTGAATAGCTGTTTTGTACTAGTTTGGTTGTTATCAGGAGCACGCGTTCACTGGGTTTTCAATCCAGCATCTTCCAGCAACAAGGCAAGCTCGTAGACCATTCACTCAGTGGGACCTGACTTTATGAACAGCTCATTAATTCTTCTTCTTCTTCTCTTGTTCTTCTACCAGTTTATGATTTTAACATGCCTGAACCAGGTTTTTATGAAATACTGAGATGAGTTAGTTAACATTTATAAGTGGAACACAGATCGCTCATTTACAGTTAGCCTATGAGCTACAGTAGTTTTGCTTGGACTGATAGTACTTTTCAGTATTAGCCCAGGATAAAATAGGCAGTGTGGAGAGTAATTAGGACGTCGGACCCATTGAAAGTGGAGTAGTCATTCAGACGAATAGAGCACACCTGTTCGGGTATCTAAGTATAAATAAGGCTATAAACGATTTTCCTCTGGCTTATTTTGAGGTATTTATCTGAGAATAGTTAAACTATAACGACTTATATAATACGAACGCACGAGTGACCTTGAGCCAACCAATCAGAAAACGAGTGGTTTTCATAAAATTATGACATTTATTTACAAGAGAAATACATGAAAACACATTTAACAGGATATTTTTCTCAGACATGACTTAAAAATATCTTCAAGTATTGGTTTTGTAGGGATTTTGTTCGATTGCATGGTTTCCAGTGGTTCTCTAACTGATGTCAGCTCACAGTGAAATCCCACATGCAATTAAAAATATCTCCCAATTATAATGAGGAGTTTCAGTGTTTAGGGTAAACCAGTTTCCGTACACTTATTCATCAAGATGACTAAAAATGAGTTCTTTCTGTGACCTGTTTGTTGTTCTTACCCTTCCCTTTAGTCTTCCCAGAAGTCATCGATTGAATTAGTATGAGTCTTAATAAGGAGGTTGATGAAATCTTCAGAATGATTTACCCGATGATGGATGAAAACCAAATTTGATAACCGGTTGTATCCTGCCTATTCGTTTCTACGAATAGTAATTTCAGGAATGGCTAACTTTTGTATTATAGGTAGAACAGCGTCTGCGCTACTTTTTGAAGTTGTCTCCACAGTTCACTTCTGAAGTCTTGTGCCGTAAATTCTCAAAAACCAAACATTATTTGCCCTAGGGCGCTCACGATTATATTTCTTCCTCATCAGAACTGTTTCATTGATGTGAATGATAAAATCAGCTCCTTCTAACATCTGATTGACAGCATTTGTCTGCCAGGATGATATATCTCTGCAATGGTGAAGCTGTAACAGCAGAAGGCAAGACATGGACGTAAAGTCATATTTCTCATTAATCAAACGGTCGTTTATATATCTACAGTTTATATTCGTTTACCAATCACTGAGCATATGATTTTAGTTTACATTAAACGACATGAAATGGAACGCACTAATGAACTGTGGGAATATGTGAGAGTCGAATTCCGCTGGCGCACATTGTCTGTATCACACCACCACAGAGCCAATGAGTAGCAGATGACAAGGAATTTTCTGTCTATACAGCCGCTAACCCCACCCCAGTCTTTAATATCCAATAATGGTAGATAAAAAGTATATTTGTCAGTGGCAGCTTCGACTTAGCAAAGATAGTTACTAGAAGACAATCACCTGAGTGTGTAATTTACCATTACGAATACTCATTCGTTTCCTGCAATATGTACATCTTAATAAATGTCAATCACCTGCTTCTGAACGCCTCTGAATGCACAAAGAAGCATCACAAGACCATTTACAACGACGTGGTACCAACCCATTATCAAAACAGCACTTAAAAACGGGATTGTTGTGAAATCTGCACCTCGGTGCGTGAATAGCGTTCATACTGGAGCTGTAATAATGTTAGATCTCGTTATTCAACGTCTACTATGCGTTCAGGGTCATTGGTGTATTCACACTCCTGGATCGCGATACTTTAACTTGTCCCTTATACCGATACGCTAAAATTGCATTATACTTTACAACTTTATTGTAAACTGCGCATATTCTGATTGAGTCAATATTTTTCTATTCTCCAGCTTCGCCACTGATGATACTGCCCGATGCACAACAGATGACCTTCATCACTCAGTTGGTCTGGTGGAAAGATTTTGGTATGCGGAACGTTGGGTGTTAAGTTCGAGCTTCGGTGGGAATACCGTCACTCGCTGAGGATTACATGTACATCTAGGTGACGAGTCCCAAATAAAGTGAAATGCTTATTCTGGATCCCGCTGCTAGTCACCATCCCTCAGGGATCTTAGAAAGCTGGGGACAGTCAGATGCTGGATTAACCGAGTAGTAATAGCTCTGACTACAGTGTTGAGTGTTACAGGTTTGAATCTTAGATAAAGCGCTTATTCATTCCAGGTGAGTACATCAAACAATGTCGGTTACAAATAGTATGCATTGTGGTGTGTTTCACAAATGAAATGACAGTCTAGTACTAAACTTATGAAGCTGTTTAAAAGGCAGTACAGGAGAGGAAGACTCATGGTTCTGTAAAGAGGTAGCCAGAATAAAATCTCGGGGTCAGAGGCGGCAGTCGGACCACTGGCAACAATATCACTGGTTTGAGTGCTTAATTTATCTATGAGTGACCATAGATCAATAATGTAAGCCATTTAGCCGTACGGTGAACACCAAATTACGGACTGGGTGAATGCTTGCTAGCATGTTCTGCCCTTATATTAACGTTAGTAACTGGTTGAAGGCTCTGTCATGGAGTAGTGATCACACTTAAACCGTATCCATAGTGAGGCCTTTCTTTTAGGTTCAGTGGATTTAGGCTTTTGGCCAGTACAACAATCCTAGTCCAGGTTCTTCCCACTAAAGATGTTGTCTAGAAGGACGACGAAAGCTCAGTGACTTTAAGTCAGTTACAAAGTCTTTATAAAGCTGATGTTTGGGTAACTGTGTACTTCTACTTTTATAAACATCGTTACATTTAAGTTATTTGAAACTGTGTTACATAGGACAGATTCTCGGTGAACTAGTTTATCAGACACATAATTATTTTGTCAGGATTAATGATACTATCCTGTGGCCATATCTGACACCACTGGGGAAAATTTCGAACCCTAGACCTTTCGAAGTTGGTAAGACATGTCTCCATATTGGCTTTTCCCGTGTCAAACACACTGTCTATCTTAAGTCACATCTAAGTAAATTAAATAGTTTTCGTATTGGAGCAGTTCATCTTTTATTTATCTTCACGAGATGACACAACAGAAACAAACGTTTTACGCGCAAAGTTGTCAACCGTAGCAATCAGGTTTATGAGTTTATTATTTTATTAAGGTCAGAATTTCCTTTCTAATGTTGCTGTCTGTAAATCCTTGTCTCATAATACTTTCGTGTTTCAATTTGGTTTACAAAGTCTGTTATTTCTGACTACGGACTGGCTCTAGAGTCTGACAATGGGATATCATCAAGGGAGCTTAATTAGTCTTTATGACTCCCTTTTCATGGTAAAAAGGGGGTTGCGATTTATGTTGCTGTTTGTGTCGATGATTACCACCAAGACATAAAGTTTTGAATTAATGCTAGGTCGTGTGACATCGAGTTCAAGTTTAGTATGGTAATGAGGTTGATAATCCTATGTAGACTCATCACTACAGTCAGTTATACTGTTTGGTTCAAATCATTTACGCGAAATAGATTTTACACATACCAGTTTATGAGCCATACAATTCATGTGTGACGACCTACGATACGACGTAGTAGCTAGACTGATGTAGGTAAAACAGTGCTTGACCTGGGAACTTCAGCCAACAAGGAACATTTTCACTCGGTTACAATTATAGTGTTCAGATACCACAGTCAAATTGAAGCTAACCATGGATATATTTTATTTATGATTAAAGATCGGCCAGAGAAAAGTAGCCATATTGATAAACACAAGAGAACCTTATCAGTGATTTCTCGAGTAATGGAAGTAAATCTTCATTCAAGGTGATCGTCCTACAATGGATGTTAGCGAACGCCACAAATGAAGCTCGACTCAGATCGAGCAGACTACTGAACTTCTGTCTTCTTAGTGGAAGAGGTCTTATGTAAATGCATGGACTGGCTCAGAAGTCTGCCGCAAAGAATTTACATTTCACTTGATAATATCATCTGTCACACGCATTAAAAGAATATCAAGAAGTGATAGACGGCCACTGGCACATAGTGCACAGATAAACTTAGTTCGGAAGTATATTTCACGAAGCAACCGAAATCGAACTTTTAGACATTATAATCCATTGATAATTGGACAGATGTTTTATCCTACCATCAGGCTCTTCTACTCTTATTCCCCTAGACTTCAAAATTCATGATCATATGGCACGGTAATTGTATTCACAAATAAGAATGAAAAAGTTGTTCATTGTTCCAAAGTTGTCGGTGCTTCTATAACTTATGTCAATTTTTTTCCTAACGAAATTTACAGTGATGTCAACCGAACTGTTAAGAAGAAGAGTCAACATAGAGGTTTTTCAAATTTTTTTTTATATATTTCTCTCGAAACACGTTACTTTATCTTTCAGAGATCATTTAAAGTTTGTTTATCAAAAGAAACAAAGGAAAAAATCAATAGGAAATGTTACATCATTTTTGAATGGTTTGTAAATAAAAGATCACAACTAAAGGGAGTAAAACAAGTGGTTTGTTTTGGTTTTACTTTTATATTACTGATTGTCGTTTTTAGTAGTATTTATATTATTGTTATTACTTCCTTTAAAAAGATTCAATTTTTTGTAATGACATTATCAATTAGGACAGTCTTCTGTTTCCTCTACCAGAACATCATCAGATTGTTGTTTCCAAAATGCTCGATGTACAAACACCTGTCTTGGAAGCTGAATAGCAGAAGTGGTGTAAGAAGAAAAGTTTTTAGCAATTAATATTCTTTCTTGTGAACAAATAAAGTTTTTAGTTTGACGATGGATTTTTATTAGTTTGAGAAGCAATATAAACCAGGGAGAGATAAACATCTATTTCATTAGAACGAAACAAATGTTCGGACTCACTGACACTACCCACTCACAGTTACGGTTCGAACCCGGGACTCTCCGGTTACATACCAAGCTCATATGCCTTCCAACTAGTGGGATCCAGCTAAAAAGCAACCTATTAATTACAACTTCTTTAAATATTCCCATTATTATTATCAGAGCAAGACATATAAGCGAACAATATTGTTTTCAATTAGATCTTTTTCAGGCTTTACTCTAATTTATATAGATTTACATATAACAATTTAAACCAATGACGGTGATTTTGTGGATCAAATAATAATAATAATAACCAGGTACAATCAAGAGAAACTGACAAGATTTAAAAAAAACTGTTCATGAAACTGCAATTTAATGGGGGAGTGGCTAGTAAAGTCTTACATCTAAGATTATTGAGAGCAATGAAAAGAAGTTATACTGCAGCTACCCTTTGTTTGTCATTTACCAGCTGGCAACCAATTGTGATTGCTGAAGTGAAAGACAAGCTCTGCTTAGCTGTGCCACTTCTATGTGTATCTACAAATTTAGTTGCTCCTGTGGAGAGAGCTATACAGGGCGATCAACTAGACGACTTAAAAAACGCACTGATCAGTATCTTCCTTCATCGTTTGGAAAAGGCCAAATAGAATCTATAAGAAGTTCAATTTTGGCTCATTTGATTGATAGCGGTCACCAAATGGAGGCAAATAGTGCCTTCAAAGTTATCCATCGCATTCCATCGAGCCTTTCTAACGGAACTCGAACCCACCTCCAACATATAGCCGAAGTTACGAGAATTCGAGAGAACTATACTAGTGTCCTTGCATACAAAACAAGTGTGTTCCATCTTTGTCTCTGCCTTCTCCTAGGTGAATTCTATTCAAAACCCCCTCACCCTTCCTTATTTTCCATTTCCTTCGAACTCTTATGATATTTATCTAAGTTCTGATTATCTGTCCACTTCACCTTTAGTATTACGTAACTTTTAAGATTTGACGTAATTTGTTTGTTGAATTGACTACATATACACACATTACTACCTATGTTATTCTTATCGTCACCTGCGTACACCTTATTATCGATATTTTGTTATCATTATAATCATCGTTGTTAACGACGTTCAAAAAATTTACCACATTTTATTATTATCTGATCTACAAAATCACCGTCATTAGTTAAAACTGTTATATATAAATGTATGTAAATTAGAGTAAAGCCTGAAGAAGATCTAATTGAAAACAGCAGTATTGTTCGCTTATATGTCTTCTTCTAATTATAACTACTATCAGTTGGTTATTTTAGCACGACCACCAGCCAGTGTCATCGGCAGCTATTTATCCTCACTCCAAACCGCATGGACCCCTCTGGTCAAAATTCTTACTAGGAATCACTCCACGCAACTTCTCCCTTTAGCCAGATAGTGACTAGCGATCATTATCATTTTCATGAGTTCATTTGTGTTGATTCGATCGGCCTCAAGTTTGATTACGAATTCGTAAAAGTTAGAACCCATGGAGTAACCATTGAGTCGGGTCCTAGTGGCCAGATAGTTTTAAAGCTTGCCTTGTAACTGGAATGTCCTGCATCCCAACCAGGCGACGGTTGCATGCTGGCGATAAGTCCCAAATTAGGACGAAACAGCTGTCCAGTACTCCCTGGTTTTCAGTAGTTCTCTAACGGGCATCGTTCCATTATCAAACCTGAAACAAATGAAATCCCTACAAACAAACTCTTGAATGTCATAGAATATCGACTGAATGTAACTGACAGATTTCCGTACGAGGCACCCAAGTGTCAGGACACCATACCTAGGGCTAACTGACTATAGCCGTGACAACAGTAGAATGAAATATAATCCTTATAAGTAGGAAAATACATAGGTCAAATTTGGTTGACACTCACCACTTGAGGAGTCGATGATATACACTTCGTTCTCTTTGGAATACATCTAATAAGTATACCAATATACCTGATGGGTGGTGGTATTCTTATTGAGACTTGCACACTGACATTTCAAATGATGGGTTTTGTATTCCAGTACCAATAGTAACATAATCAATCACTTGGAATGCAGGTAAATCTAACTGATGAATCCCGAATAGGACGCAATATGCATCCTGTATTTCACTACAAACGACTATCGGCTAATGATTACTGAAGACATATACTATTGGCTGACGACTTACACAAACAGTAATATTCTCTAGCCAGATAAGGAGGATGTAACCTACAGACAGCTACAGTATTCATTCATTTAGGACCAGTATGCCAATGAGTAAATCTAATGAAATATGTCCCTCCAAAAAAAAAACCGGAACGAATTTAATGCACATTCTAACTAATTGTGTGAATTATAAATGCATAGAACCAACAAAGTTCATTATTTTCTAATTACAGAGTTCACGATGAAAATCTATCTTATACAAGTGGTAATATAAATCAAGAAAAAAGATGGGAATCATTATACACAGATATACTCAAACTTACACGATGAAATTGTTGCATACTTCTTGTTCGATACTTTCGTATTCCTATGTATATCACTAATGTACTCAGACCACATATTAACAATATCGAAATAGTTACCAGGATGATAATATAAGTTTCAATCTTATATACATACTAAAAATAAGCAAAAAGAATAAAATTTGGGTAAATATTAGTTTTTAATTATAATATATATAAATGGCAGTCAAACCACTACCTCAACTTCATTGACTTTGAGAAGACCTTCAATAGCACAGACCGAGAGGTAATTTGGAAACCGCTTCAACACTACGGCAAACCTCAAGTCTTTGCCAAAATCGTTCAACAACTATATGAAAATGCCATGTGTCAAGTGATCCACAATGGAAAACTAAACGAGGCGTTCGAAGTACATACAGCAGTAAGACAAGACTGCCTGCCTATTAGTACAGCTGCTATTCTTAATTGTGCGTCAGACTAGTGGGGGTGAGGAGTCAGGAATACGCTAGACAACCGACAAGAAGAATCTAGAAGACCTGGATTTTGCGCGTTAATGATTTGTGTCTAATGTCACACAAACTAAAAGAGTAACAGGTGAAAAGCAACAAACTGGCTGAAGAGGTAGCGAAAACATGACTACAGGTGAACATGGAGAAGATGGGGGTGATGAAGATAACCAGTCAGCATCAACAGCAACCAGCAGTATCAAGGGGAGAGATTTAAAAGAAGTTGCCTCCTTCACTTATTCGGGAAGCTTCGTTTCAACTAAAGGCTGGCAGAAAGGATGAAGGTGCCAAAGTTAGCCAACCAAAATCGGAAAGCCAAGATTCGCCTTTATCATCCTGAGACCAGTTTAGAAATCTTCCCCACTCTGCATAAGGAACAAGATTCACATTTTCAAAACCAATGTCAAGTCGGTTCTTCTATACGGGTCAGAAACTGGCGTGTCCAACAACCAGCTGCAGACTTTCATCAACAGCCGCCTTCGCTGGCTCCATACTGAAGATCAAATGGTCGGAAAGAATCAGCAACAAGATACTCTGCAGTGCAATAAACCAACCGAGAGCCGATCGCTCAATAAATATGTAGGAGAAAGTGGAGATGGACCGGGCAAACATTGAGGAGGCCGCCAAATTACATCGAACGCCAGGCCATTGCTCGAGTGGAATCCAAATAGGAAGCGGCGAGTGGGTCATGCTAGGGTGACATGTAGGTGACTGTGTGAGGGAGAGATGAGACGGGTTGGTCGATCGCGGACCCAGCTGAAGAGGACGGCAGAAAACAGGACAAAGCGAAGATGTGTTACTGAAGCCCTATGTTCCACTTTAAACTCAGGGGAATAATATATATATATATATATATATATATATATATATATATATACAATTTATATAATTCATAAATAAGAAGCATTAGCCAATCACAACCCAACATGCAGACAATGCCTATCGTTCAGTCTTGTGACTAGAACAATATATACCATAGATGTTTGTACCTTTGAACACTTTCTGGCCCAGGTAAAGAATAGACACCAGGGTCGGACGACCTTAAGCCAACTAGTCAGATCTCTCGTCATTACAAATGCACGCCTTTCATAATCTTAGCTAATCTTCCTTCCGAGGTGCACTGTAGCCGTAATCTTCCTAATTTAAACCTATCCTAATCTTAACCGTGGATGAGGATGAAACTTGTAATGGAGATTATGAAAAACATCCATTCGTAATGCTTAGCAATCTGATTGGTTGGCTCAAAGTCGTTTGATTCTAGTGTCTATTCTTTATTGTTGCTCACTGTTGCGATAACCACACTTCAAATGTTTTGTTTTTCCATTTTTTTTTGCATTCTGAGTTGAACATAAGGCTTTAAGCTTTATAAGAGACGAACTTATCAGAGGAAACTTCAGTGTTGGCGCGCATATATCATTTATGAAAGAGCTTTTTTCGAAATGTACAGTGATTAACCACTTTTCTATTTATTCTATCAATTTGACTGCTTTCATGGGGAGATAGTTACATAGAACGACAGTTATGCGTGTTTGTCATGGGATTTCCAAACACCATCATGTGTGGTTAAGCAAACAAAGTCCATTTATAGTTGTATTCTCTCTTATCTCGTCAATACATAACACAAGATTGATGTTAACAAGGCTTTCGAAGGCATCTACCTACCGTATACCGAATGCTAATCTTAATTTTACCTCGATGAGTTCGTCTATTACACATATTACTGATGCTATGGAAATACTCATTAACAAACTTAACCCAAGTATCAAAGAAGAGAAGTTGGTTCGGAGGCTTCGCTTACCAAGGCCGTCTATATTTGAACTATTCTTACTGAATTTAGTGCATAAATTTTCCTCTGAATTTAATTTGGTATTCTATTTAGTATCCCATTTTCTATGTTTATTATTACAACTAATGCATCTTTCTTGAACTGTAGTTCCACTGATTTTAAGTCGATATTATTTGGACAACAACAATATTGTTAATGACGATTATTCTGGAATACTTTGTATATATATATATATATATATATATATATATATATATGCGGGTGTGACAACTGAGAGAGAAATGGGAATCTGCATTTCTGAGGGACTTAAACCAGATGCCTCTGAGTAACTTATCCAATATTTCACCTGTCGCAGTACGACACCCATCCGCTATCCCTTGACTGCAGTCAACACTGGCAACGCTCACTGCACAGGCTTTCCAACTACATTATCTCCTGTCAGTTCTGTAAATACGAGGAAGAAGAGAATGCTGTGAGACCACATGTGATAGCTTTATGAAAATCATGGGATGACACATATTTTTTGTTTTATACACCATGTCAGACAGACAACAGAAGCTTACCTCTGTACGTTTTAATGGACCAGATAAGTAGTACATTTCACCGTTGACAAATTTTACAGTTTCAAATTGAGCTATAAATCCATCGATAGACAATGTTCCATTCTGTGAATAGAAAGGCAAAAATGCGTTATACTTTCCAAATCTTCCGTAATTTGTGAACAATTAAGAGATGCTAAGTGTTAACAGTTCCTGTTTATTGAATACTTAATCCATTAAGGCATTAAGGTACTTGGAAGTAATAGGCAGTTGCAGTGAGGTGACAAACAGCTGCTTTCACTCATAACTGTAAAGCATATGGTCAGAAAGCATTAAAAACTAAGAACTCTTGTAATCAGTTAACAAACAACCCATTACTCAACAAATATGCCGAAATAAATCGAGATGGATTAGGCGTACGCTGAGAAGACCGTCGAGTGACATCGTCCTATAGGCCTTTAAGTGGAAACTCAATGGGAGATGGTGAATTTGACGTTGCTAAAAGGGTGATATGGAGGAGAATGTGTGAATTGGAGACGAAAGTCTATGGGAAATCTTGAAGCTAGTGAAAGAAGACTGTAGAGAATAGGAGGACAAAGTGAAGATATGCTGTTGAAGCCCCCAACTTCAAAAGATTAGCAATAATCTAACAAACACCTGTATCTAATTAAGACTGAACTGGAACCAGTGAGCCCATAATTATTCACTAATACTATTTGACTGATTTTTTAAAAGGACATGACGAACTTATACTCTGGAGGATAGTGGGGATATTCATTCGGATGATAAAAACAGAACAGTTTCATGCTCAATCATCAGCACTCTAGCACTATATCGATGGATGTAGAGAGTTCAAATAATAGTGGAATACATTACAACACGTTACATGATGGGAACATATTGGTGATCTATTGACTCTTTAATGATTACGTAATACTTCAACTTTTACAACCAACATAATTCAAAAATGGAAATGCACGTATACACTTATGCATACTCCTAATTTTCAATGTCAGTATTAGTTCCGATAAAGAGCATGATACATGGATATTCTTGCATTTGGTCGTGCTCTAAAATAACTCAACGACTTCCAGAAAGCTTTGGGATAACCAATTGTTTCGATGCATCCATGGATAACATCTGTCGTGGTCTTCACTTCACTGAGTCTTTTTGGTAAACTACCTCAAAGCTTACTGTAAATCGTTGCGTTGTTCCAGAGTACGACCAAACTCAAGAACACTTAGACGTCATGCTCTAAGTCAAGTCGACTCAGTGAAATCATGTATCGCTGAAATGACGAATAATATTGTGGAGAGAGTCTGTGTTGTGAAAAGAATTTTCGACCATTTGAAGTAAAGATTCTTGAAAATTGTAATGAAATATTTTGTTAACTGAGGAAAAGAAAAGAACCAAACCCAGTTTATTAAAAGCCTGGACAGTCAGATGTCTGCAGCACGTTTTCTGCCTAATCTAGAACGGTGTATTCACACAGTTCTTGATATGATGGATTTAAAAGTCTCGTCTATTGGTATTAAATTTTTCGATAGTCATATCAAAGTCAACAAAATGTGCATGCAAGTGCAATCCGAAAACTTTTTTGCTTAAATTGCAGACTTAATGGCTTCATCAGATGAAGAGGTAAACAGATTAAGGTCAATTTTGGTCGACTATCGTTATTAATATATGAATGGTAGACTTAAAGAGAATGGTATTTTAACCAAAAGACAACAAAGAGGCGGTTTTAAAGAAACTGAAAGCTGATGAGAATGTATTTTCTGATAAGCTTGTTATAATAGGCTTATACGGAACGGATTTCTCCTGTATCAAGATGTGCACCAGACTTGTTTTATGCTTGTGTATGTCGGTGGGTGTAAAAAATAACAAATACTAATGCTAATACCTATTTTACTTACCATTGGATAAATTTCAATCACAGTATTATTTTCAGTGACAAGTTTAATCGGTGATTTAGCTGTTGCTCCATTCAGTTCACTGGTTGTTATTGGTTTCGATCGTACAACTATATGCTCTTTGACATCTTTACAACTTCGAACAATCTAAACAAATTTTGGAAAAGAATTATTCACAGCATTAGGAGAGTTAATAGATAGTGGATAGACAGACAGGTGGGTAGACAGACAGATACATATGCAAAGAACAATATTCTTAAACATAATGTATACATGAAAATATAGTAGAAATGTTTGTTTAGAAGATTCATGTAATAGAATCATTAAATATTTCAAGATGGATCATGAAATGACTTTATTTAGAGAGATAGTAGAAACTGAGGCGTTTTGGACAACTGGTTTGCCAAAATTGACGATCGAATCCAGGGTCTTCAGGTTACGAGGCGAATCGGCCGACCATTGCCTGATCGGTTGATCAAGATGGCTACAGTGTATTTTACGCATGACAAGCTACTGTCTTCCTTGACGAGCAGCGTAGTTGATATTTGGTAAGTTTAGAAAAGAGTTATTGGTGGTCAGCACCAAGACATGGAATCACTCCATGAAGATTGTGACACGTGGTTTAAGTTACGTGGTGTAGGGATGCAGACTACCAGGCTGAAATTCTCACTAATCAGTGGTTGCAGACGGTTAGTGATAAGACTCAAAATCTTTTTCAGTGGTTCAGGTACATTCATTGCCTTGCATTTCCTCCGTGCTATTATTAATCTTCCTGCACAGTTTCAGGCGTTACCGTTTCACTGCCCCCTTTTCTTCACTTTTATGCGTACTTTTATGGGGCATGTCAATTTGAATTAATTGACATTTGTGAAAAGTTCTAAGCTGAAAACTCATTTAGGATTATTGAATGACACAGCTCTAAAAACCCTTCAAAATTACGGATATATCTAATCGGTGATATATCTCACAATGCATCAAGGAAACAGATCAAGTATGGCTTACTTTCATAAGGATCAACGACCACTTAAAGTATAAGCAAATCTATGTGAAGGGTAGTTAGTCATTTGAAGTCAAATCATGAAATGAAATTAGGTAGGTGATGCACTGAAAGCCAATAATTAACGAATAGTTGTTTTGCTATAATTAGGGGTTATTTATCAATATCCAGCAATGATTTCACGGCAGGCTGAACTTAAGATCTAAAGGTTAGGAGACGAACCCGATTACCATGCACCCAATGTGACGGAATTTAATAGAGCATACATTCTAACTTTTGCCAATTCGCTATATTTAATGATTCCTACCCAATAATCACCTCATTATCTATAAACCAGCCAAAATTGGATAAGTACCCTGCTGATGTTACTTTCAACTGTGTTTAATAATTTACATGCACTTGTGGGAACGAGTACATTGAAATGACAGAAATAAGGGAGTCTGTCCAGTTTTAAAGCATATCCCAAGAAACTTATTTATGAAGGAAAGCAGATATTCGCAGAGTTGAATTACCAGACACCTTAAGGATACAGATCATTTCGTCGAGATTTCTAAATCCTTCAAAATATTAAATATATGAAAGACAGAGATTTATTATGGTTTACTGAAGCAATTACAATCGAGCATTTCAAAGCAAACTTGTGCATACAGAAAGAGAGTGTAATCAATTTCTAACACCCTTGGTAAGTGCACTTTGTTCACTTTGATTAGTCATCCATATTAGTGATTTCAGCTCATTGAGCAAGTTTTCAGTCTAATGAACTATAACCCTTTGAGTGGACACTAGTCAGTAGTGTGATGCGTCTACTCTTTTCTTTGGTGTAGGCTGAATTCTACCAGTCAGGTTTGCAATGTGGCCGACGTTCTAGGTAGGTCGACATCACAGTGCACATTGATTTGATGATATTAGATAGTCGGAAGCTCTCGGCAACAGGAAGCTTTGGATCTAGATTTCGTGCTAGTTGTCACTCACCAGTCAGCAAGGCGTATCTGTAACCTTGAAGGAACTCATGTCCCTTCTGAGATTCGAACCGGCACCACCCAATGAGTACTGAAGTCAAAGACGTTACTACTGAGTTATCTGAGCTCGTGATTGACCTCCTGTAGTACTCTAGTGGATACTTTGATTGGACATCGCAGCACTGGGTGACGAGGGTTTGAATCTCAGAAAGGACATGAATTCCTTCAAGGGTGCTAATACGCCTTGCTGACTGGTAAGTGACAACTAGCACGAAACCTAGATCCCAGGCTTCCTGTGGCCGATGGCTTCCAACTATTAAATATCATCAGAACTATAACCCTTTTGAGTTGCTTTGTGACCGTATAAGATGATGCTGCTTGTTAGATTTTTTCTCCTATTTGTCTTCTTCTATCCTATTTCGAAGGTATATAAATTGATGGTAACTTAAACTAAAAATTGTAATGCTCATATTTCGGATGCGTTGATTTTATAATGTTTTCTTTACTACCATTCAAACATTGAAGTATGTAACAGTCATTATTTATAACCATTGTAATTTCTGATAGTCTACAGCAGCTGATGAGGACTGTGAAATAGAATGGTGATATCACTTTTCTATGCCATAAATCTAATCTTTGTGACTTTATCAAATTCGCAATCTGATAATAATAATTTGCCTTATTCCAGAACAGTTTTTTGTGATACAGCATGGAATTCTCAGCATTTTACTACAGTATTCCATCCAGTTAGTACATTCTCAATAAATAAAATTCTACATAGATTAAGGTAATCTCAGTTCATTATGACAACAACATATTAGCATGTTGGTAAGCCAAAATTGAACAGAGTGTTTTAAGGTGTTAGGAAAGTAGATGCTAGCATATTTACTGGCGTAAGCGGTAACAAAAGGTCGAGATATACAGAGTAAGAGAGAACGGAGAATGTTTTAATAGAGTTAGTAAGGAAGAAACAAACAAAGCAGCACATAACGGAGAAAAAAGAGAGAGTGAAAAGGAAAAGAAAAAAAGAAAACGTTGTACATATAAATGACATGAATTGGAAAGACGAGATCCAGTTGTTCTACTGACTATTTAATAATTTATAGGTATCACGCCTAATGCTTTCTTTATCGCACAGAACACGAGCTAAGTAGGGTATGGTTGAGTTTTTGTACTTGCTAGTGCGAGCATATAGTTTTGTATATAGGCCTCTGGTTTCGTATGATGAGATAGATACAAGGGGAGAGTTGTGAATGAAGAGGGTGTGTGTTAGATAAAATAAATAATTGAGGAAGGAAATCAATATTTGTAAATCAGAACTTACATTGGACGGTACAAATATGTAGAAGTATTTTGGTGGATTTAGTGTTCTTAAAGCCGACTGAGTTTCTGTTGAAAGACAATGGTCATGATCTAATATGAATTGGGGTAAATCTTTTTCTTGTTCTAGCGTTTTATAGACATCTAAATGACAACGTGTTCCAGAAAGTATTGTACCCTCGATACAAACACATTCTGTGATGCCTAAATTAAAAAAAAACACAAAACAGAAAATGGTTTAATAGAGTATCAACCGGAAATATCTAAATGTACATACAAACGTCGGGTGAGGATGTGTTACGGAAAGCATTTCTAACAGGTCGCACACTATTATCCACCGCTGCCCCTTTTGCCTCATTTCGAAGATCAAATGACCGGAAAGAATTTCGAGGCAAGGAACTCTTGGGACAAACTAGCCAAGAATCTGTTGCTCGAGATATACGCCGAAGAAAATGGAAATGGATTGGACACATGCTAAGGAGACTGTCGAGTAACGTCATGTATCAGGCCATGACCCGACTGACATAGAGGAGACTGTGTCGGTGGGATATGAAAGTCTATGGAAAATCGTGTAGCCAGTTAAAGAGGACTGCAGGGAATAGATCAGAATGGAGGTGTGCTGTTAAAGCCTCATATTCTATTTGAAACTCAAGGCGATAATAATACGCAAAGACATAAGCTAGGTATCAAGGGACGCCATCACCAATCTCTAGTGATATCAAAGCATAAAGACTACTGTGAAGACTAATTTGACTGGAAAAATATACAAATCTTGAAGAAAAAAGCATTAATAGTGCTATAGGGTTCCTAGAAGCCTGGACCTCTGCAATCAACAGACACACCGACACAGATTAGATTTACACAAAGATTTATAAAATTGAAGTCGCCTGGATGAAAGTCAGTTATCCGCCTAACGAGATAATCAATGTTCCAATTCTGATCATAGATTGGTATCCGTTACAGAACCATTGGAAATCAGCTGGGAGTAGAGAACAGCTGTTTCATCATGGTTTGGGACTTGGTGGCGACATGCACCCAAAGGGGCTCAAACTCACGATCGCCTATTCACAAGGCAAGCTCACAGACTGTTCAGCCACTGAGACTCGACTCAGTCAGTGGTCAACCCATGAGTCCTAAATTTTTCCAATTCGTGTCTTTTAGTATGAATACCAAACAGTGCCACCGGCAAGTATTTGTTTGTACTCCCTAATCGGGTAGGTCCAATTAATTAGTCACGCATTCTCCGTAGAACTCACTTCAGACAACGTTTTCCAGCAGTCAGCCAGTGACTAGACAGCACTAGATGAGTTTTTAAGAGTTATTTTGAAATAGAACTATCCAGCTCAGGAAAAAAACTTCGAAATTTTGTGGAAATCATATATTATGAACCTGATCGATACAATTCATTTAATATACCTCAGGAAAGAGAGTTGTTTCGCCCACTTTCCGAAAAACAATGTGTCAGCATATTAGAGTTAGTCCAACAAAGACTGAGTTTGTTAGACAGTGAAAAAATGATTTTGTACAGTTTTTGTGTAAAGTTAAAAATGATATTCCTTCTTCACTTCTTTTTATCCCTTATCAGTATGAAATCAATCTTTGGTTATCTCATCTGTACAATTTTCTGAAAATAAGATTTTTACGCGGTTCACATAAAATACACGGCTGTCTGCTCACTGTCTTCATCTGTGGCTATCTGACTGCCACTATAATTATTAGTGATATCCTTTTTGGAATTCACAGCGTCGTTTCAAAGAAGACTCAACAAACAGAGATATAATGCAGAAAAATCATTTAAATATGCAATGGCTCGATTATATTACTAAATGTTGTGACCAGTGGGCCAAACGTTCCTCCCCTCCATACCCCGAATAACTGTAATATACTATTTGAGTAAATTTTATTACTTCGGATTCGTCTGATACTGCATATTATCAATGAGTGTATAAACAAGTCCACTATAAGTTGTTGCGCTAATAATTTAGTCTCGGCCTTAACAACCCGATGACATACCTTTAAATCCTGCAGATAATCAGCAAAGTCGCCTGGAGGTTATACATAAAGATGGTTGATTAATGATAACATGTATCAGATTTATGGCTCATGGTGTCAGAAGTTGAGTCCCATATATATATGCTGACACAAACCAAAAGTCTACGAAATGATCTTGGAGTGAGAAGCAGTGTGATCAGTCTTTAAAGTCTTTTTGAAGAGTCACTCACTTTGACTGTTACTATTCATAGTTTTATTATTAGAAAGATATCTGAATAGCTAATAGAATGATGAACTGTCTCAAAACTGATCATGGATTGGCTTCAGCTAGAGAACCACTGAGGTCCAGGGAGTGGATAATTGACAGTTGTTTCGTCCTTATTAGGTACTCTTCAAAAATAAGCACTTACGACCCCCAACAGGAATCCCTACAAACCAGTACGTGAATATTTGTCAAGTGCTCACTGGTAGCTGACTGCAGGGTGAAGCTACCTGAGACTCTACTCAGAAGTGGTGACCAATGAGGATGAGTGTGAGGAAAAGTACACATAGATAACACTGACTGATGTTGGCGCTGTGCATCATGGATCGGCAGGGTCATTGAATTTAAAAGGAGTTTGCTTTGCAACTCGAAGGTCCCAATTTCGACTTCCAAAGGTGAAGTTATGAATATGTACCGGTGAAGAGTCACGAAATAAAGCAAGACAGCTGTCCAGTAATCCCAGGTTTTCAATAGTGGGTATCTAGCTGAAGTCAGTTCATTAACCATTTAAAATTCAGTCAAATTATTGCAAATCGACACTTGAAGATGAATGATTCTCCTCAAAAATGGGAGTCAACATGGATAACATTTTAATCAAACATGAAATTTTCCTTTAAAAAATAAGGGAAATCTTTTTGGTTATCGCTTCAAGTTAGCTGATTTCCTTACTTACCTTTTGGTATATTATGTATACACCTACTGAACGGTTGACATTCACGTGCAACGCAGTCAGATTTACAAGAGAAACCGTCGCCAATAAATCCTGGACGACAGATACACATATGACTGAATAACTAAGATAAAGGAAATAAACACGGGATAGATGCTAATGAAAGAAAAGAGATAATTAGCGTTACATATAGTTTATAATATCAGTAACATTAGTAATCATGATATATAGGCTGCTAATTTCGTGTTGTTGGAAATCAGGTAAATGATATATATGGAGAGTGTACTACTGGCAAGATTTATCAGTAGTATATAAACAGACCTTCGTCGACACAAAGCTAGAAAAAATAGCTCAGAGAGAGATTTATCCGCTTCAGCTTCAACATTAACGGGTCTCTGTAAAGTCCTAGCTCTGTGGTACTGAACTGCCACATTGCCTACCCCTCGGGCCGTTGAACTCCACCATCAGCCATTCCACCTATAGCTTCCAGTCAGCCTAACCACCTGTCCACTCCACATTATTGCTGGCAGCTTTTACCCCAACCGGCATCAGCGTCCCCAGCACAATCATCTTCGGATCCTTGACGCCCATCAACTTAGTGACAGCGTCCAATTTCCGCAAGAAGCTCCGTATATCTCCTTATCCGAAGGCAGCAGGCCATGCAATCTTCATGGTCTGGAGGCCGTGGCATCAAATGTAACGGGGGAAGACAAGAGACTTGGAAACTGAATGCAGTCTGACATTCACCTGTAGGGGAATTCTGTTGGCCTTATACTGAAATCGTCATTTGCACAGATCATCCGTATTGTGCTACTTTTTATTGTTTTCCTTTTGTATTCCTTCCATATCTCCCCTGTTTTCCACAATACGGGCTCATATCCTCTCTTTAACGTGCTCTCTCTCTCTCGCTGCTATTTATTAGTTTTGTGCCGATGAACGTTTCTTTATATACTAACTATAAGTCTAATCGGTAGAATACGCACGCATAACTGAATTTTGTTACTTAGCTTCACTTTAGGAGGTATTCTCGTGGTTAGAGTGTTAGAGGTGATCATCAGGGTGAGATGGATCTAGGTTTGGTGCTTGTTAGCACTCCTTAGGTCAAGGCGTATGCACACTCTTGAAGAAATTGTCGTCTTCTCCATTACAATTATCAGTGCCACCTAGCGCTATAGTCAGGGACGTTACCACTGAGCTATTCGGAATGACATATAGCATCTTAAGAGCTAGGTGTTTAATGTATAAATGGACAAAGTCAAGCATTTTCTACTGTTTGCTGCCTCATCAATCAAAACACAGATACATGTTGTGATGACTCTGTGCATTACTCAGTAATAGTAGCAATAATAATTATTATTACTATACAGAATAACTGTGATACCGAAAACGATATTATCGTTTGATGTACTGCATGGTTCTCCCTGGTTTCATACCTAGAAAATCAGCAAAAACTTTTAGATTCTTTTTGGTTCACTGCTGTGCTACATGGTGCCTCTGTCAGTGATGGACGTGTTGTGATAGGAGGCGACTGAATGGGGAATTATGAAGATGTTCCCCGAGGACATAGAAAGTGTTAAAGACCTGGCCGGTATTCACGGCCATGTTGATGGGTTGCAAAAAAGCTGTTCCCTGTATATATATATATATATATATATATATATATATATACTAATTTCTGGGTCTCATGTCAGGTCAGTGCTTCCATATTATCCACAGACTTGGTGCTCACTTCACTAGACGCATTCCAAACAGGCTACTTTAGACTCATCTGAACATGCCTTCTTTCGATACTGAAGGTCAGATAACCAACCAGAAACTCGAGGCAACGAGGGCCTCTGCCAGCTAACCAAACAATTACCTACTAGGCAATAAATATGCAGGTAATTTAAATACGTTGGAAATGTACCGAGGAGACCTTCGCTTGACGTCATTTGCTAGGTTCACAAGTTAAACCCAAATGTGAAGCGACCAGTTGGATGTCTGAGTGTGAGGATGGGACTAAAGCTAGTGGAGAACTCGTACAACCTGGTGGAAGTCATGCTAGCTAGTCGAACGCAGTCAAAACGTGTCGCTAAGGCCTTATAGGCCAAATGGAAAACATACAGTAAATAAATTATATAAATATATATATATATATGTGTCATAAAATATTGTACATTACCTGTTTCTTTTTCATACTAACACCCAAGTGTTCAACGCATACAGCTTGTGGATCGCATAAATCAGCGCATTCGTCTGTTAACGGTGTAATCGGTTCACAGGTATGTCTACCATCACCAAAATATCCTGGCTTACATATACATTCAGCTTGTTTATTTAATATACAAAATGCGTTCGGTGCACATCCACAAAGTTCTTTGTAATGAAGTATAAAAAATGAAGGAATTTGTTTTAATTATTGGTCATTGAATATTGAAAAATTCAAGTTTAACCCACGTTTAAACGAATCAAATATATTTAATACTTTTAAGGAAAGGAACAATTCACTTACTAACAAATTTTAATTTCAACTAAACAAGATAAGACTATGCTTCATATGCCCAGTCCCCTTGATTAGTTTGAACAGAGCAAGAACGAATATATTTGATTTGTTCACATAAGGAGATGTGTTGCGTAAATACATTAAAGAATTCAGATAAATGATGTTTCAGACAGTTGGGCTAGTAACTAGGGCTTAAATAATCACTGTATCCACTGTAATCTTACATGAGGTTAATATCTAATCTGAATGGTCCTCAGTGGCATCTTCTTTGACTACAGCACCTGGCGGTGAAGTTTGGGATGTTATATGAGACATTCCCTTGAATGCTACGAACTTTAAACTCTGACCCTATTAGGTCTTATAAATGAGTTTAATAGAATTCAAACAATTAGTCCCTTTGATAAATTTAAATAAGGCATTAAGAAGACAAATTTCACGAGATGATATCATTTCGTAGTTTCTTTACAACCGCTTTACAACTAACATGGTTAACAATGATAAAATAAAGTTCATGAAAATTACTCAGTTAAATAAAAACAAAAGTACATACTAATGACCAATCATATTAAGATAGGTCATGTAGTCCAGGGTAGGCGAAGATTGAAGTCTATTGATTTTTGTACACAGAGTTTAGGCTGTATGTGATTAATCCAAAGTGCTTCCATCACCTTCAATAATCTTGAATTAGAGTTATGTGAAATAATTGTGAAACAGTCATTAGTAGTGATTTTGTGACCAGACATTAATAAGTGTTTTGCAATGGATGATGCTGGATTTCTATTAAGATTAATCGCGTTGGGATTTTCGATAAGGTTTACTAGCCATTTTGGAACATGTTCTTTTCGACGACATTGGAACATTCTGTTAGTTCTACCTATATAGGTGTCACCGAAACAACTGCAGGTGAACTTGTAGATACAGTTTGAAGTAGAGTCCACAGAATTTCGTCCTTTAATCGTAGGAACAGGGATCGAAAATGTTCGGCAAGTGAGAAAAAGAGATGCGGCGTAGAATGTGCGTTTGATGGCTGACCGAAGTCTTTGAGCTGTCAACTGCATAATCTGGTCGCCCTTGAATGATAGATTAATAAAGATAACTTTCTTTGGTACAGAAGCTGTCTTTTCAAGATGTGGTCTATCCTTACCGTGACAAGTGATGAAGTTTTGTGGATAACCATTGGCTGGTAAAACTGAATGTATATGTCGAAGCTCATCCATCAATGTGTCACTCGTACATATTTTTCGAGCCCTTGAGAACAAACATTTCACTAGGGAACGTTTATACTGGATAGGAACAAAACTGGTAAAATGAAGATATTGTCCACTTCAAGTCTGTTTACGAAAAATAGGGCGCTGAATCGTTCCATCATTTCTCCTAGTCGTAGTAATTTTCAGAGTAATTTTCATGAACTTTATTTTATCATTGTTAACCATGTTAGTTGTAAAGCGGTTGTAAAGAAACTACGAAATGATATCATCTCGTGAAATTTGTCTTCTTAATGCCTTATTCGAGTTTAATATAAGTTTTTATAAAAAATTTCTTGGAATATTTAAATTGCCATGCTATCTTCAATTTTATTATTGCCTTCTTCGCCAACTACTGGTATATTTTTATTATCATTCAGCCTATTGTCATTAGTATTACTATTGTTAAAATTATTGTCATTGCTATCATATTTCTACAGTGGTTAACACCTACAGTGAATTGGTTTTCAAGAGTCAGCTTTTGGGGATTTGATTTGTTTCTGTCTTGATCACGGATTTATGCCAGTTAGATTGGACACGGAGTAGGGTGGGGTGCATTCTGTCTATGTGTCCCAAACTAGGACGAAACAGCTGTCCAGTGTTCAGATACCAGTCCGTGATCACGCTTAAAAAAACACCAACAAGCCCTAAAATTGACTCTTTGAAATTAATCTGATGTTCGCTAATCACCTGTTAGTTACAGGACAGAGTTGTCTGATATGAGTTCTAGTGAGAAGTCGTGATCAGTGGCGTCCACCCAGTCGGACGGGCATTAAGATGAATATTTACCAATGACATCACCTGGCCAGGTCCAGTCGACCTAAATATCACGAATTTGTAGAAGTTAGAATTCATTCGGCTGGCCAATAAGTCCAGTCTCACTAGATAAATTGTCGGCGTGGTTGACTTTAGTCGGAAGGTCTTGGATCGGAACCCTGGTGGATGCTCACTGTCGTGACTGTCTTTCGTCAGTATACCAATAAGGCTTGTTTCCAACCTTCGAAAACATCCTCATTCCTAATTCTTTAAATTCACCCCCTTTTTGATCAACTGAAATCATTGTGAATGTGAAGCATTTTGCATAAAAAGGCCATAAGAAAAAAAATGTATACATTCTACTTACTAGCTATTTCATCCACATCTTTTTCTGAAATATTTTGACTTGTCGCATAACGACTGCCTAGAATTGATGTTGTATAATCAATTCCTTTAGCTGGATGATAATAACATAAGTATAGAAGACCTTCACGTTGTGCTATTGCCTCACGATATAACAGCATGTCTTTCTCAGTGAACATTGTTGACTTCCCTTTGTTATTATTATTATTATGATTATTATTACCATTACTATTACTGTGTAATGGATATGTTAGATAAGTTGTGATTTTCTCTCGGTCCAGCACAGTGCCTGGTACACTTGAACACAGACCAGAACTAGTGGCTAAATAGAAGCCATCAGTAGATAATGGTAAACGTAGTAAAAGTTGTTTATCCTCTCGACAGCATTGCATAAAGTAGACAATATGATTTTCAGCATCTTCATGCCAATGACTATTGACAAGAATTTCACCACTGGCTGTTACATTATGTATACTTTTCAAGAAAAAGCGTGGAATTTTCAAAGGGATCTCTTTAGTAGCCTCTAAAAAAAGGAACAAAAAGTAGGACAGTTAGGGAGTTATTTTTGAGAATTTTATATTGATTTTCAAGTGTTGATTCACAAGCATTCAGTTGAATTCCAGGTAGATCAGGAAATGAATTCACTCAGAGAATCAGTAAAGGTCAAGGAGTACCTCATAGCCATTTCACCCTAATAAGGGATGTCCAGTAGCACGTCTTCATGGCTACATTGAGGATGCGTTCTGTGAAAGTGACGTGAATACCCTATAGCCAAGTATGTTGTAACGGAGTGTTAGTGATTTGTTGGTTGGTTTCTGTCTTGGCTAGAGTAAACCTCAAGCCAATCGATCACTTGAAAATATTTCCAACACTGAGACAGACACAGACGTCAGATGTAACTGTAGCAACCGTGACAACAACAATCTTCACTATACACGATACAGAGTATACACCGGTTTTATATTTACAGAAATTTAAACCACGGAAAATAGATGTTCAGTTTCTGATTGGCTGCATGACCTTGAAGATCCTCTGAAACAAATCAGTCAAGAACTGTCTAATCAGGTTATAATGTCAGCTCATTCATGAATCATAACTTCACAGCTAATAAAGATATTAGTCTGACCTAACACCTCCTTCTTTTAATGAATTCTTTAATTAGGGGACGACCAGAAGATATTTATAGATCTGGTTACTTTCTGTATATGATAGAACTGGACTCAGGACCCTAGGGTTTCGGGATGACTACGCTGACTCATAAGACAGTGGGATGGAACCCAATATCACATGAATTCTACCTTCTATCAATTCACGAAAAATAGAGCCACTGTCATTCAAGGACTTTAGCGAGTATTTATTCTTAGTGGACCCCAATGGTGATGACTTCTTACTAAAACCCCAGATAATGTGTCTCACATTCAGTTAAAAATGAGTATTAGCCTGATTTTTGAATGTTGATTTACTGTAACTTGACTTATTTTAAGTAAATTCACTAGAGGCGTTTGTCACATAGTCCGATAGTCCTTAATTCTTTTTCCTGATGTGTTCATCGGTGAATTCTCCTTAATGGTTAAAAATTAGAACAAAGTAGTACAAATATCACTTTGCTCATTAAACGAAGCATATGGTCTAATGATTTTTATCTGTTGATTTAATTGAGATCATTTGCCACAGGAATGATTCAACGTCTTTCTTGGACACCTGAAAAATTCTACAACTGATGAGATGGACAAGCAGAGTTTAAAAAGCCATAGCTTTGTATAAAGAAGATGGCTTGAATTAGCTGGAATTTCCTTTTTAGAGCTATTATTTCTCTTTAAAACACATGATTCTGCTTTTAAACTGTTAGGATAGAGAAAGGACATAGCATTAATCAATGTTTCCTACGTAAGCTCCGTCATATCAGCGAGTAGTGCTCACCAGCCAAATCGAGGGGGTCTAATCAACGGACGGCCAGAAAACAGCCGTCTGGTGTTTAGATCAGTTAGATCTTTCAAGTAAGCATTATTGGTTGTCATGACCGGTACACAACTACTCATTACAGTCGGTTAGTAGTATATGCTTTCAGTAGAAAAAGGTTTTTGAAATAATTGGTTTAAAAAGCAACTCATTTTAACAACCATTGTCTTGTCCAATATACAATTATTTCGGACAAAAGTTTTTAAAAAAACAGAACAAAATTCGAATAAATATAAACTAGTTAACAAACATACGCATTTCAGCTGGACAATTTTTATTCATTGTAAATATGCAATAATCACCAGCAGGCCAAATTTTATTTTTCTTTGTTTTACTATCTTGTTTATCAATATGTACACAGAATTCCATAGTAACCTGAGCGGTAATAATAAATGCTTTTGTTGTATTTGTATCTGGATCTGCCATTATTTGATTTTCTACTTCACTACTTGAAAATATAAATCGTTTACGTTCAAATGACTCAGGACACTGGTATTTGCCACCATTGGGACTAGTACTACTGTCACGGAGATTTGTGATAGAAGTAGATGCTTTCATTTCACCAGATCCTGTTGTTTCTGTTGTTGTTGTCGTTGTCGTCGTCGTGGACATTGACATATATTCTTCAAAGTTTGGATAAACCTTTGTTGCATATGCTGTACGCAGGCCAGATCGTCTTCCTATAGGTAGCATATATTCACCTTCAGGCCATTCAAGGGTATCATTCATCCAAGATATAGGCAGATAGTGGCAAAGTACATCCCATTGAGCTTCGTGTTTTGACTCTGAAACAGATGCTAGACGTACCAAATATCGTTCTACCTAAATATTGAATAAATTAGAGCAAATCAATAAATGAGTGATTTTGTAAATCATATATATATATATATATATATATATATATATATATATATATATAAAGCACAAAACAAACACCGGATATTTCCATTCATTCAGGTTTTGAATATAGGACTATTAGTCTCATGGGTCCCAAGTGGAACATGGGACTTCAGCTGCACCTCTCCACTTTACTCTGCTGTATGCAGTCTTTTCTAGCAGGTTCCACTATCGCCAGAAAGCTTTCATTTCGTCCTACTCATGTGGTAACTTCCATGTCACCCTTGCACCTTTGCTCAATCCAGCTTTTTCTTATCTCGATTCAAATGTAGCGTGATGATATTCAACTGTCTACTCAATATGCCTGCAGTCCATCTATTTCCATTTCTTTTTGTATGTATGTTAAGCGACAGCATATTGGCTGGTTCTTTGACAGAATTCCTCGTTGCTTATCCTTTCTTGCCATCTGATCCTCAGTATCAAGCCAGATGGTAATGAAAGTCAAAAGTAGACTGTTGACAATGCTTTTAGTGACGCTTACTACACGTCGCTTAACCATATAGAAGCACAGACTGACTTGACACTAATGTTGAGTATCGAAATCTTTATAATTATACTGAGCGCGACAGAATTTCACACTGGTTTCAGATAAGTGAAAGTTGAATTTGGAGAAAGAAAAGCACGTAGTTCAGAGAAGAGGCTGTGTAAATGAATGTGAACATTTAACGTTGGTTCACTGACCTTGGTAGCCATTGGCGGACAACTCGAAGGCACGAGTGATTCAATCGTGTACAAGTTGGAAGAAGACGAAAGAATACGCATGAAAAGTACAATACATTCTTTGTGAAACATTTGTTAATAGACTTTGTACCGATATTGATTTTAATTGCCGAAATATACAACAAGTCCTTGTGCTTTGGAATTAAGGTCAATATCGTTGATAGTAATTATCGGTTTGAGCGTCTTCGGAGATAATAGGAACTTAGGGTTAAGTTCCTTGACAGGCTGTTTTCAGCGAATCCATCTGTCTCTTTAGGTGTACAGTCGCCTTTATCTACTATCTCCTTTTCATGAAATATGTCAGTCAAATTGTTCTTTCCAAAAAAGAAACCTTACATGAACCCGGGTTTCAGAGGAGAACTAACTTACAATATCCTTAAGAGAACAATCTGATCTTCTTTGAGAAGAATATTCTTCACAGCTATGGTAAAAACAGTGGTCTTCAGTCATCCATTGGCCTAAATAAGCCTTAAGGACACGGTCGTGTATCTGATCAGTTCATCTGTTCTTGTGGAGCCCAGAATATTGGTCTTTCGAAGCGCATCCTGTCTAAATTTGATCAAAAGCCCTGTCCCGCATCATTCAGAAAGTCAGCAGTGGCTGTATTAGGATTGGGATAGTAGAACACCCTGTCAATACTTCTCAGTCCATCTCAACAAACGTCTCCTTCAAAGTAATATACAAATTGAAGAACGACTTACCAAAAATAATGCTCTTTCGTCCCTTTTGCATTGCTGAACATTTAGCCATTCAGGTAGAGAAACCGACCGGAGGTATGTATACAAGAGAAAACTATTCAATCACTTCTATCATCACGGTAACATCTTTGTTGATTTCTCCTGACTCTAATTTTGTTTGTTCGTTTTTCTAAAGCTTTATGACCCTTGTATTCCTCTAGAATTCTTTGTTTCTATGTGCGTAGTGGTCACAACTCGTTCATTAAATTATTCAGCCTAGCTTATTCAACTCCTCCTATTCATTGAGTAACATTAATAGCATTGTTTGTTACAACTCATTAGTTTTTTTACTTCCCTTCTTTGTGAAGAGAAATTGAATATAAATGCGACTGTACAGTTGATGAGGAAGATGAATTATCTGAAAACAGGCTCTCGGCTGAACTACGTGTTTCTTTTCACGAATATCTCGATGGTGATGGTTTAGTAATCTAAACAGATGATTAACTCAATGTTGTTGGGGCGGCCAACCATACTAAACGGTGCAATCACGAGCAGATTTTTAACGACGTGTCAAAAACCAAGTAGGTTACCCTTTTTGAAAAGTTTCCAACGATTACTCCCAGTTCCTCCACATGAATTATACATGTATATACATACAACACAAATGTGAATTCATTTCTTCTATATGGGTCAGAAACTTGGCGCATCACGGAAACGATTTCCAGTAGATTGCAGACTTTTGTCAGTAGCTGCTTCTTTCAGTCAACGCTAAAGATCAAACCTCCGGAAAGAATTAGAAACAAGAAATTATCGGACCAAACTAACCAAGAATCTACTGGTCAACATATATGCAGAAGGAAGTGGTGACGGCTCGGACATACGCTCAGGAGATCGTTGAATAAAATCAAACGCCAGACCATTTCTAGAGTGAAAGTCGAATGGGAAACGATGAGTGGGTTGTTTGAGAGTGACATTAAAAGAAATTTTACGATAAGAAGATGTGAGATTATGGGCAATCGTGGGTCTGGCTGAAAAGGACTGCAGGAAATAACACGAAGTGGAAATGTATTGTTGAAGTCTTACGTTCTACTCGGAACCGAAGGGAACAATATATATATATATATATATATATATATATATATATATTTAAACTTCTAATCAGATCATCCAATATGAATAAAATTTTCAGTAGATTTAAATCTCATTAACAGAGCTAGAAACATTATAACATATAATGATGATATGGAGAACGAGACATTCGATATAAAACACATTTTGATTGGAAATGGTTATCCAGAAAAGTTACTAGATAATATTATCAATAAAAAGGAGCAGAAGGGATAACAAAAAATGGAAAAATCTTGACTATCGACGACAGCTATTCCATATCGAGAGGACACAGCTGAACTACTTCAAAGACAATTTGCTTCATATAATATTAAAGTCTATGTCAAACCTTCTAATTCTCTAGAGAAAACGCTGGTGCATGTTAAAGATATAGTTTCCAAAATGTCACAAAGTAATTGTGTCTACAAGATAAAGTGTTCAGAATGTGATGCCTGCTATATAGGAGAGAGCAGCAGGCAGGTGAAAGTCAGAGTGAATGAACATAGACTATGCACGAAACGTCCACCTAGAAATGAAGTAGAATTAAAAAGTCTAGAAAAAAGATCGACTATAGCAATGTATGCGATAGACAGAGGACATAAGATTGATTTCGACAATGTCGAAATTCTTGGAAAAGTATTTCATTCACACATAACCACATCGAATGCAGTGAACAGGAAGGAAGGGATAGACTTATCACCTTTATGGCAAACTGTAATGAAGCAAGACAGGTGAAAAAACAACAAAATCTCTATGAACCTCCATGACTTTAAAAAATGTATAGTCATGTTTATCACATGTGAATTGACGTCTTTTCCATATGACAAATAACATACACTCACACGCTCTCATACAAAACTAAGTTTTACAAACCAACTATAGAAAAAATATACACAATAACAATTTGACACTAGTCATTACAAATATATGTGATGAATGCTTGCGTATTTCTATTGGTGCAAATGTCTATGGACAATTGCCCTTCAAATGAACTGACTTCAATTTATGGAAAAAAATTTTGACGATATATTTTAATGATCAGTAATCTTGCTCTGATTTCTCTTTAACAATCTGGGATTCATTTATATAATTTATAATGAGTCAGTCTGATTCGGCGCTCAAATTATTCCAGGAATTTCATAACACCTATATATATATATATATATATATATATATATATACATATACGAGGAAGCCCCTATAAAAAGGTAAAAGACAGGAAGAATGACTTACATGGGTGTTTTCTATTGGTAGACACTTTTCACCACCAAATAAAAAGAAATCTTCAATAAACGGCCATTTTACAGGTTTTGGATTTTTAATATTATCCGTTCGACAACAAAGTTCTGAGAATGCTCTAGCATGTCTATGAAGACCTGGAAATAATCAGGATAAAAACAATAGAAATGATTGTAAAATATGATCGGTTTTATTCTTTAGTTACTAAGATCCATTTTTTTCATCAAGAATGAACGTAGGAAACTTGACGGACCTACGATCAGCAAGAAGCCAGTTTTCATCAAACTTGACTTCAAAGGTAATGATGATATTATGAGAGTCATAAATAAAAGATTAAGCACAGCCCTTTCCAGGACGTATCCTATAGCAGAATGGGTCTGTTTGCTCTGATCATCCACCTTGTTGATGCAGTCAAAGAACGACAAGCACCTGTCATATTTTACGTCAAACTATGTATTTGCAGTAACAGAAAGAAAGCCCTACATCAGATTCTTCAAACATCTACCAAGAAGCTTCCAGTTAAAAGGGCCAAACATATTACGCTGTTCAATCACCAATTATCTCATAGACACAGGACAAAGAGTAGACGCTCTAGGATCCTTCAAAATAATGGGCCGACAAAATAGCTTAAGTCTTCTTTGGTTTGCTGAGGCTGTCGTAACAAAACTACTGAAATCTGACATATGTACCCAGAAGAAATCTGTTGCTGGACTTTAATTACCACATGGTGACTCATCCTTTAGTAAAGCTTTGTTTTCTTATTTCATTAACTTGTTTTTTAGCCCCCCGTTATTCCTGTCTTTCCGTCTGACCTCAGTTCTACTCACCATATTATATCACCTTTTCATCTAACTGCTCAGACATGATGGTGACTGGTAGCAGTCATAGACTATAGTATAGACATCTGAATCATATGGCAACCCACATAACTTAAATTCTAATCAAACATGATAAATTTACGGTAACGGTGGCAGTAAAGGTGGACTGACACACCCTCTAATTCTCGAAGCACATAACAAATGCATTAAGCATGCCTGAATATAAATAGGCAGCTGAATTTAGATAGACACTGAAGAGTGGCCAGTCTGTTCACGCAGCAACCATATATGTCAGATGAATTCCAGAGAGTCGGAGTTTAAATTCACTGGTTTACCAGTGATAACAACTTCCCTACACTGTACTGTATGCTACTATATCCCTGTAAGTAATTAGAATTCCGTAGAGTTTGCTACGCACTTTGAACTCAGTTCTTAAAAAAAACATTCTGACTCTGCGGTTAGGTGTAGAGAAAACTACTGTGTCTAGCTACCACAGCTACCCTCTTATATCAAGAAAAATGTGCTGAACTTATTGCTAGATACTGGGAAAAGAAGTAAATACAACGAAGCAACCTAATGTACTATTCAAATAGGAATCCACTGTTAACGATTTTCCAACTCTATGCAATTAGTCAGTAGCAAGCTGCATTTGTCTTAATACTATAAGTTCGTATGGAAAGACTCGTGTGGCGGAAAATGTTACTCATCAGAAGGCTGCATATCCAGTCGTCAGGTAACTTAAGTTTGTCTGGTGATTTATGTCTTGCCAGATATCCTAATCTCTACACTAACTTCAATCAACATTACGGGGATAGTGATGAAACACCGGTTCCTCTCGGATGAAAGTTTAACAGATACTAATACATTTCCACATTTGTTTAGAGACGATGAAATGAAGTTGTTACAGATAAACTGAAATAACACCAGCGAAAGGAATAATCAAAGCCTGGGAGCACCAGAGTAGTCCACCATGTCGTTTATGAAGGTAGATCCCACGCAATGACACTAGATGGCAGGGTTACTATGTCAACTATTGACAGAAGCTATAATTTAGAGGTCACTGCATTCTAAGCCCATGAATGGGTGCTCCGTGCGTTCACCTCGAACGTAACGCGAAAACCTTCTGTCAGGTTAAGGAATACTTGGTGTGTGTTGCTGAAGAATCCACAACTAGGGTGAAACAAGTATTCAATGCTTCATGGTTTCCATTTGTCTTGATAAATTCATGCTAGTTAATAACAAAACCTAATCACAACAACATTATAAAAGTAATGCAGTCTACTCACCTGGTGGACATTGATAATTTTTCGCTGTAGATATAACACAGTAATCACCTTTAGGCCATTGAGATTCTAAAAGATTCTTGTTGTCTTCAGAAGACATTGTAGCCTTTGTTGAGGATACAGTTGATGTGGTAGATGATAATGTTTCACTTTCTTCATATTCACTACTTTCAACAACAATCATCTCTTGTGTTTCATTTGTTACATTACTGTTATTATTGTCAGTATTATTGTCATCATTAGCGTTTCTTTCACAGTAATGAACATTTAGAGCACTATAATTATGTCCAATCAATTCAAGGAAATACGGTCCTAAACTCATTGGCATTATTTCTAATTCAAAAATGCGGCTTGATTATTGATCAATGAATAATAGTGTTGTGTAAATCCTGGTGGACAGGCTTTATTTAAATCATTTCTATGTACATTTGGTAAAGCATATTGACCTATTGGCCATTCACCTTCAATCTGATAACCTAATGTACAATATCAAAATAAAAAAGAATAATCATAATAATCGTAAAGCACAAAAGTTGGCCAGACAAAAAAATTAACTGATCGATGGATAGGCAGTCAGATAGATGTGGATGGAAAACAGTTTGATAACCACCATATATTAATTCGATTATCAAACCCTAATGTGGTCTGTGTTTGAATCCCGGTTGACGGGGTCGTAAACCTCAGTTAGAGAGTAATAATCTCAGTAGAGACGGAAGAGTAGATATGAAGACTGCAGACCCAGTTACTTATAAGGGAAAACCAATGCTACTAGAACCCTAAAAAACTCACGCTTAAAACCTTCAGTTCCATTCAGAAAGCAAAAATGGTGAATGGCTAGTGATAACGGAATAATTGTTTAGAAAAGCCCTCCTGACAGATCTAATTACAGTATTTATGATTATTTGAATGTTTCACTTAACTTTATTTTCTATAGTTTGGTTTGAAAGGGTTAGTTTTGTTTTTACGAGTTGGTCACGGATTGTTATCAGTAAGAGAAGCATCGAAAACCAGGGAGTACTGGACAGCTGTTGTTTCATCCTAGTTTGGGAATCATCGGTAGTATCCATCCACTGGGGTGTGAACGCAGGACCTTCCAGTTACAAGGTAAGCTCGTAAACCATTCAGCTACTGGCGCCCGATTCAATGACCAGTCCGTGAATTCTAACTTTTGCCAATTCGTGATTTAGCGCGACCCCAAACATTGTCGTAGGTGGGACATCCATCCTCATACGTGACATCTGGATGTACCTCACTGGTCACGACTTCTCACTAGAACTCCGCGAAACTCCATCCTGTTTTAATTTTGTGATGATTATCATCCTTTCTCCAGGACTGCATTTTATTGTTGTTTTCAAGTCCGCATACCATACTTTGACCTGATCCTTATTATTACTTGTCTTTTTCCGTGTTTAGTCTCTAATTTTAATGCCTTCCTTGTGGTTATGCGATGCATTGACTATGTGTTGTTCTACGATGCGATTTTGTTTGGGTGGTACGAGGTTATTCTCACCTTAGACTGTCTTCGGGAATTGTTAATGTGTGATTCTTGTGGAGGGAGTTTTGATCTCACCATGATGGGAATTTTCTACTTGATTCTAAGGTACTTCTTACAGCAACAGGTTTTGCGGAATAAAATGGTACCATCATTTGTTTCGTTGGCTTCTCATCATCTGCTTACAGGCCGAAGTCATTATTAAGTATATCCCATCAACTCAGATTATTCAGTGACGCTCATATCAATACTAAATTTACTATAGAACATGAAAATGATGGAAAGTTCCACTTCCTCGACATTACCATGCAACACCTAGTAGATGGTAGTCTCCAGAATTCAATTTACCGAAAGCCTACATGGAAAGTATAATACCTTCATTTTAATAGTTTTTGTCGATATAGCTTTAAATGTGGACTAGTCAAGGCTCTATACTATAGAGCTAGAAGATTATCCTCCATAGGGAAATTAGAGGAAGAATTTATATTTGTCCCAAAGATGTTGAAAAGCAAAGGTTACCCTCAAAAATTCATTCGCAAGTAGGGGAGATCTGAAGTCTCAAATATCAAGCAAATCACAGTGGAGAAAATGCCCATATTAATTCAACTTGATTACAAAGTTGGAAATGTTACAGCAATTATCAACAAGAGATTGAGGACGTCACTAAGGCGGTGCCTATCCTGCAGTTAACCCTGTTCCCGTCTGTTGAACAACTTGCTCTTTGGTGCAGTCAAAAATTGATAGATATCCTACTCATGTTAATTCCAACTGTACACACAAATTTACATTTATCTGCGGGAGCAGTTACATTCAATGAACATACAGAAGAGCATACGTTTGATCTTCTAAACATGTACCAAAAAGCCTTTGTCTAAAGGGAAAAAATGCTTTAAACAGTGCCATCGTTAGGCATATCCTTGACGCGGGTCATGAGGTGGACGTCGCAAGATCGTTCAAAGTTATCACTAGGCAAAAGAGTTCAATGCTCCTCAAGTTTGCAGAAGCGATCTCTATCCATCGCCTGGAAGCCGATTTATGATTTCAGAAAGAAGTAGTTATCAGTCTTTCTTTGTCCTGGTAAATGTATATTTTAACCCTCTCTTTCATCTGATTACATAATGTCAAAAGTTTCCATTGTTTATGACCATTATTGTTCGGAATAAAGTGTTTATTATATATGCATATTTTTGTATGCATATATTGATTGGTTTCTGTTTAGAAGTGAACTCTGTGCAAGTATGTTAAAATTGTTTCTGTAGATATACTTAATGACTTTGGGCTGTAAGCAGCTGATGGGAAGTCAACGAAATAAACAACGATGGTACGATTTTATTCTGCAAAGACTGATGTTCTTGCTTTATACAAGTACTTGTTTTATGGTAGGACTTTCTTTTGATTGCGTTGCTGTCTAATAGAATTGCTGAGGTCATTTTGAGTTTCTCATGTTATTATTGTTTGAAAGAACCATATAGATAGAACTAAGAACAGGTGTCTTTTTGCCATCTTTAGGGCATTTTGTGCGTGTGACTGTCCTAATGAAGTTTAGGACAGCTCTACAGAGATTGTTTGCTTGCTTGCAGATCGCAATGAGCCCGTTTTCGTCGTTACAGGTAGACGAGATGAAAGACAGAATGACTGGCGTTGTAGGTATTTCCAACTGACTCCTCCGAAGTGGGAGGAAACGCGCATCACTGCTAGTCACTATCAGTCAAGAGATACCAAAGCCATCTTTACATATGCTCATCATATCATCTATACTAGGCGTCGAAATGTCGTTAGAAACTCAATATCTCGATCCAGCCAACATAAATCAACCAATCAAAGATATAAAATGTTAAAAAACACAACTTATACCCGTCGTACAAAAGATAACTCCCATGTCTCACTGCTCGAATGGTGTCTGAAACTATATGTGCTGAGTTCTAATGCCAGTAGCGATGACATCACTTACTGAGAACCCAAATACGTCCATCTGATGGGACCTGAGCAGGAAAAAATGCCCATCATGCACTTCACTGCTAGTTGCCATCATCTAAATAATTTGGTGTCAATCTTCTAACGTGGGTGGAGCGTCCATAATAGTAGGCGACATGTCAACAGAGACCGAGCACTTCTATGCAGTAAGAATCAACCGATGGGGTATATCTAAACATTCAGCCTCCTTATAGACAAAATAACTAACGCTGACTCGGCCAATCGTTTACAAAGTAAGTAATTCATTCTTAAAAGATGATTTCAGTACCAAGGAAAACAATTTCACACATACATAAAAATCTTTTCCTGATATCATTTAGCCACACCTGAAATTAAAGACATCAAATGTGTTTTCATGGTAGAGTGCTCGTCAACTACACATGTGGTCCAGTGTTGCATTCCCGGCAGGCGTAATTCTAAACAACACCTAGAGGGAAATAAGCTTAACAGGGAGACAGAGTCGGGTGTGAGACTAATGACTCCCCTGCATAAAAATAACATCAAAGCAACGAAATCATCAGAGGTTACACCCCATGTTCCCGTCGGCGTAAAAAGAAATAAAAGACGAAGTGAATTTCACAATCATTAAAAAGTTAGGAGCGATAACATTACTGTAGAATCTGAGGTCATCTGTCCTTTTAATAGAATAAAACAATAATGATAGAACATTCACCAGGAAAAGGGTTATTTTTGGCAGCTTATTTTCAACCACAGGCGGATCTGATGAGAATGTCAAAACCGTAATCAGAAAGGTGAGAAATATATTCGTCACTCTGAAACCGATTTAGAAATCGTGTGTATTCAACATAAAGAACTAAATTCGGATTTCGAACACCAATATTAAGTCAGTCGCTTCTTCTACATGGGGTCAGGAGCTTGGCCATCGTGTCATAAAAAAAGCATTTTCAAGAGGCTACTACACACCTTTATCAGATGCTGCCTTCGCTGGCTCCATACTGAAAATCAAATGGCCTGTCAGAAAGAATTATGAACAAAAAACTCAAGGAATGAACCAGTCAAGAATTCATTGCCCAATAGGAATCCCGTGGGACACCATTGAGGAGGTTGTTTAGTGACATCGTGAGCCAGGCCGTAGCCTGTGTGGAATTCTTATGGGAAACGACGAGTTCAGCGTCCAAGGATGACATGGAGGAGATGGTGTCAGAAGAAGGCGAAAGCTTATGGGCAATCGTACGACCAGATGAAGAGGATTGTAGAGAATACGGCAGTGTGCAAATAGTCCATTCAGCATCTAAGATAATAATAATATTATTATTACAATAATGACAGTGGGATTTAGGTCGTTATTTTCGTTCTAACTAGGATCTTAGCAACTGTAGACTACCTGCATCTCCAAGTATAAGTAAAGAAGTCCACCAAAGATGCAAATCTTCTCCAATTACTTCAAAATTCATATTTCTAAGAGATTTCTCTTTTATAAAGTCAGCATTAGAAAATGTTTTTCAAACTAAAATAATGAATCTTTTCAAAACGCTTACTCTCTGTTTCTTCATTTTCAGTAGATGAAGGAGCTATTGAAAACAAAATAACACAATAAAATATGATAACTTTTGTGTAAGCATGAAATTCCAGTGTAAGCTTATTATGTAATCAAAGTAAAAGAGTCAGCTCTTTCAAATGTGTGAAAGGGCCACTATTTATAATGATGACTAAATAGTTTGAATAGCCCATCCTTGAAGCTATTGATAGGCAGTCTGACACAGAGGAGATGTTTTGTTGTCATTTGAAAGAAGCTTACTCCTTGGATTTTAGTTATCCTGGAGACTTAAATTTGCTGTTTGGCCTGCATTGTCATATTCCATGAGCTAACACCTCTTTGACTATCAAGCCGAGTGACATTCATGTCAGAATCTCTTAGTGGGTGGATATCAGTTCTAATAGCGGTTATTTTAAGTTCGTCTTGTTGTTCAGTGCTAGGAATGATAAAAACTAGTTTTATGACCTATCAGGCATCGAACTGAGGAACATCAGGTTACTTTGGCTCCCTGATTAGCGGTCAGTAAACTGTTTGAATTTGTTTTACTATTTCAACATATATCAACTTATGATTTCTTGTTAATTTGAATAAATTATTCAGTGAAGATGCGCATCATCCACCTCCATGAATCCGTGCATGCTAACCCATTATAGAAGAATCGTAAAGCAGTCGGAGTAACGTAGCTGTTCAGTGTTATTTTTTATTCAATAATTCTTTGACTGAATGATAACTTGTAGTGTATAACAGTCACTTTGCTTCTAATTAAAACATGCTTTATTCATACCCCTAAGATTTCAGATTCATATAAATTAGGAGTATGAATTCCATTAGAGGTTAGTATACTTTGAACATTGAATGGTTGTATAATCATACACAAGAGACTGGCAGTCAGACAGAGTTTACACTTTTAGGTAGTCGGTCATAGGGATCTGAATAATTTTGTAGCAGGTTGATTCATGAGTCGACATCATTTACAGAATCAACCGAAACCAGGGAGTACTTGATGACATTTCAGCCGTCCTCCTTTGGAACTCTTCAGCACATATGAAATCTCTCAGAATCAAACCAATAGCCTTTAGATCACAAATGTGAAATCTCTTTTGAGTTTTAACTAAGGAGTCCTTCAGTACTACCTGGTTTTTACTTGTTCTATAGCTTGTATCAACTTACCTCAAATTCTTACTTAGAATTTGTCGAAACCAAACTATACACTAAGCTGACATTACCTCATTTCAGTATTTTCAATGATAAATACCGAAAACTTTAAAGAAATGTCAGATACACCTTAAATTTATTAATAAATTCTCACCTTGTTCATAATAGCACAGATTAATTTCAACATCACAGAAATCATGATATGGTACACGTGCTGGTGCTATGCCTTTAACATTATATGGTGACCAGGTATGATTTTGATCGATGGACCACCAGTTTGGATCACCTTTATTCGGTGCATCTACACAGATATACTCCTCTGTGACATGCATTCCAGCAATCTGTTGACATTTATCTCCAACCCTGTAGTGTGGAAATTGTAGAGTAATACAGATTACCATTAGAATATTGATTAGAATAAGTTAACATTCTATATGTGGAAGTATACATCGTCACAGGTATCTGAAGGAAGATATCTATGTCGTGATAGATATTTAATTACCAACTGTGGATGTGCACCAGTTGGCATCAGCTATAGAACCAACGAAGGACGTGAGAGTACTGGACAGGTGTTTCATCCTACCTTCGAACTCTTCATCAAAACTCACACTTTGGGCTTTGAACCCATTGATGCTCACTGGCGACTGCCCTTATTCAGGTAGGTAGTTACCTGGGCTCCAGTGGGAAGTCGTGACCAGTAGGGTGCAGCGGGTCGGGTGTGAGGACAAATACTCGCCGGAGACGTTGGCTAGCGGTCGCGCTATGTCGTGAATTGGCAGAAGTTAGAATTCAAGGACCATTGGATTGGGTCTCAGTGGCTTAATGGTAAACGAGCTCGCCTTGTAACCGGAAGGTCCTGGGTTCAAATCTCAGTGGGTGCGTACTGCTGTAGAGTCCCAAACTAGGACGAAACAGCTGTCCAGTACTCCAGGTTTTCCAATGGTTCTCTAACTAATGTCAGCTCAAGATATTTAGTTGTTTTGAAGCGCATTCCTTGCGTGAAATTATAGTTATGATTGCGAGTCGACCAAAAGTCCTTTAAGTAGGTTGAAACAGCTATGCGGTCATCCTTAAGTTGTGAATAGTTCTGTAACTGGTAATGATTATTTTGTTTAAAAGAAATCTTCCACGCATGACAATTTCTTCTCCATAACACAACTTACAATAGTCTTATTGTGTATCACAAATATTTAAGATATCATATAAATATAAATATATATCCTTTCAAATGTGTTAAAATAATCACAGACATTATGGAAGTTGAATGATTTGATGACCGTTTCAATCTTCAATTTCCATATATAAAATGGATTAAACAGAACAAGGATACAATATCAGTGACTGAATTTCTGACGGGTAAAGATTTTAATTCACAGTAGGGTGACCGAGAGCAGTCTACGTGAAACCATGTTCTTGGATGGCTCCTGGATAAAGTTAACTGACAGAATTCAGCCAGCATCAACAATAAAGACCACACACTGGATTCGACTTAAGTGTCAGTTACGACAGATAATTAGTCCAACGGTCTAAAGATCAAATTATGTCATCTTTGTTTGAATTAAGACTGACAGTCGGACTGTCATTGGAATTGCCGACCAGGTTTTCTGTGTAAGCGCCCAACTCCATATACGGCCAACTACATATCAATGTTATTTTTTTCTCTCTTTATATGTTTCTAGGTATGAATCAGGTTTTCTGAGATACAAATGTTTTTCATTTGTTGCAGTTAAACTAATGTAATAATCTTTATCCCATAAAGTGACAAGATTTTAAGAAAATTCTCTTAAATCCAAGTGACAAATTGATTCGGCTCTCTGAGTCGAATCTCTCACTTCGATTTAGCTACCAAGTACTAATACTTGATGTGAGTGGTTTCTGAGTACTCAATCAGTCAGTTAGTAGTACATCCTGCCACAGTTAGCCTATGTTTTAACCAAAGATAAGCCGAGACTTTATATATTGGCTATATAAAATTTGAGGATTAAAACGTTTGAGGAGTGTCCCATTTGGTGAAGCTTCAACAAAGTTACTTTGCAGGATATTTTTTGTCATAGTACATCGTTTAACTAACTGTTAAAACCCATGGAGCAGAGGACAAATGAAGAGTCTGAAACTGGGACGAAACATATATAAACTTATGTATCTTTACATATTTCATCAAAATATTTTCTCTTGTGATGGCTAGCAGCAAAATATGGGTTGCGCGTTTTGTCCTGCTGCTGGCTCCGCCTGCTTTTTCAGCCAGTGTTAGACTTCTCACTACAAATACCAGTGTGCCATACACCATACAACGGGGTCACGGCAGTCCACTCTTTTGCAACTGAGGGGCAGGTTGATATATCTGAAGTGTCTTAAGATGAATTCTACTGGCAGTCAATACCAACCTAGTAATTTCGAGTCCTTAATTATGGTAATATCTAGAAACCTGTTTAAGGAGGTCGTATTTTAAATTGAGGCTGATAAATTCAGCCTAGATATGTATTAGAAAAAAGCATCAAGATTATTAACTTATATATATATATGTATAACTTCTGCACGAAAAGTAAACTCATGAGTAATTCACCTGTACAAATAGAATGGACCACTTTCCGGTGGAAAACCTTCAATAGGCGTATCAACACTTGGTGAATCAGTTCGACAACAAAAGTGGTAATTCAGTCGATCAATTTTTGATTTACTCTGTTTCATATGCGCTCGAATACGAATAATATCTGGTGTTGGAGATGACTGTTGCGTTGGATCCAAATTTGAGTTGATGCTTGAATCCAGGCTATCTTTCGAACGATCCAACTTCTCTGGACCTTCTAGTATACTTAAAACTCCCTCAGTGAAATCTAAGAGGGAAGCAAAGAAATAGTTTTCAAATAAGAAGGACAAAAAGATGATCTGATCAGGGAAATGTTGTGATTTCGGTGTTCAAGTGTGGTGTCAAGTTTAAAGTCAACTCATAAGATGTTGCCTAGAATGACAATGAGGGCTCCGAATTGAAAACTATCCCGTATAAGAATATTAAGTGACAGAACCACTCGTTGGAGCTACATATATTTTCCATCATTACAGAATACCGGTGATAGGATAATAATTTAATAATTCCCATTGTAGCATTAAGAACACAACTTTCAGCGAAGAGACTCTTTTCAACAATGAATTTATTGTCAAGCTGTACAGTCGTATATATATGGTTTTATAAAGAAATTATATCCGGTGAGGAAATTAGGTCAAAGGTGTGAATACAGGAAATAATAATGGTAGTATTTCCAGGAAAATGAACTTGATTCATTCACCCTGCTTTAGGATAAAGAAAATATGTATTTCTGATTGCGTCGACTCAGAATTTGACTTCTTAAAAGCTACACTAGCAGAAAACGGTTACCCAACCGATTTATTGACAGCAACATGAAAGATAAGCAGTCTAAACTGGTCACCGGCTCAATTCCAAAGAAAACTATATTCATGAACTTGGATATGCTCAGATATGCTCAAACATCGTCTCTCTAAATCAGTCAGTAAGACGTTCCCTTCAGCTAGATTACATATGACTTTCACGAGCCGCAAATTGTTCTCTACCTCTGTAAAAGATAAGCTCCCCCGTCTGACCGCCTCCATGTGCATCTACCAGTTCACCTGCTCTTGTGGAGCAAGGTACATTGGCCGTTGTCCGAGGACGCTTTCCACTCGGATACGAGAACATATTCCAGCTTGGTTTTACAAGGGAGAAAGGAAGTGTTTGCGAAGCTCTATTCTGGAACACCTGATCGACTTCTGTCACTCGGTCAACCCTGACCATGATTTCAAGATCATAAATAGAATTCATGCAAACTTCCCCCTTTTTTCATTACAGACTTTTAAAGACAGCTGAGGCCTTGGCAATTCATAACATTAAGCCAGACCTTTGTGTACAAAAGAAGTATGTACAATCCCTACTTCTGCCTTGGCCGTAGAGGGATAGACATTTATTTATTTTGTTTATTTATTCTACGTACGTTTCCCTTATTTTTTGATTATTTTTATTATTATTTTTATCATTATTATTATTACTATTCTTACTCTGAATCTTTTCCACTTGACCCACTTGACATCTTAAACCCAAAATTATCAATCTGTATATTTTTTATCTTCACAATATTGAATTCTATCTTATCAAATTTCGCACCATGTTATGTAACATTTTATATTTATATTCGTCTACTAATCTTATAATTGTGTACCTCTTTCCGAAATCTATGCACCTTATGTATTATTCTATATATGACATTAATTATTTTGCCACTTGACATTAAACTATGATTATAATCACAAATATTTTAATTGCATTTCATACTACTATTATTATTTCATGTATTCACACCATTGATCTAATTCCCTCACCGGATATAATTTCTTTATAAAACCATATATATATATATATATACGATTGTACAGCTTGACAATAAATTCATTGTTGAAAAGAGTCTCTTCGCTGGATAAGATAATAGCTGCAAAACTGTTAGGAATTTATGGCAGAATAGCTAATCTCTTTGCTTCCTCTTAGTGCTCCTTTCATCGTACACGTAAGTTATCCATGGATGCTAGCAGAAGAAGTTACGAGGTTTAATTTGTCCTGTATTGGATTACTCGGCTAAACTTACCTAAATCGCCGAATGATGAATCCTAAATAAGCCAAGCTCTCCTCTTAGCTAGTATCAGCCATAACACAATGTATTGACTGATATGAATCCTTAAAGGATAAGTGGAATTTGAAATCGTTTAGAGATGTTGACGAAAATTAACCTTAACTTAAAAACCCAAATCAGGAATCCCGTACTGTTCAGATTCAAAAGAACTGACTTCAATAAAAATAGTTAAGAGTTTCATTGACAGTGACTGTCAAAACATAGTCAGCCTATCAGTAATATACAATAAACTGAAGGTAAATTTCCAAGTACCAGATAGATTTCACCATAAACCGATATCGTTCAGATAATCATTAAAAAAATGAGGAACAGTCGACATTCATTTCATCTATATTTTAGGACTTTTCAAAATCTGTGGTTAGCGGTGCTCACCATACCTATGTACACGAACAGTGTTCGTCAACAGCTTCGACTGGCTGCTGTGGGATATTGCAAGTCGAAAAAGTTAGAATTCATGAGTCATTGAATCTCCACCCGATAGCTGATCGTTGAAGCTAACTGCACCGCGTGTGTGCTCACAAGTGACCAGTATGGAAGTGTTCAAAGCCAAGACAAGACAGCTGTTCATTTGAACCTTAATTTTTAAAAATTCTCTAAGCGTTGTTGGTCCCTAATGATATTCAATATTAACTAACCTGTTGGACAGTTGCCATTAACGCGTAAAACACAGTAGTGTCCAGCTGGTAATGATTCTTCTGCTCCATAGTTCCCTGTACGATAGCTATTATGATGATCAGTAAATACACAATAATCTAATAATACATCCTTTTTACGCTTAAAGTAGACTCCGTCCAAGTGTATTGGCTGTAAAAATAAAAAATAATAAGAAAGATCTCAAATAATACTGATAAACAGTCAATTCTAAACAGTATTAATTATACAAAAGTGCATTTTTAAGCGTCATCAACATTGGTGAAGGTTAAACATATAATAGAAGACAAACAACAAAATTACGTGTACCACATCAATTGTGAAAATTGTGACGCTACTGTGTATGTAGGAAAAACTTCCAAACAGGTTAACAACGTAAGAGTAAAGGAGCATAAACAGTGTCCAAATGGTGGTTTCAAAGACTTCGGTAGATATGAAGAGGCTGTAAAAACAGATTGATGATTTCGCTAAACTTGATAGCAAAGGGACACAAGATCGACCTGGATACGGCTAATGGTTCTATAGACAGGTTTTGATTCGTATAAAGAAAGACTAACTTTAGAAGTCTTAGATATATGGAAGAATTACAAAAGCATAAACTGGAGTGAAAGTGTGATAGTAGCTGATACATGATAAGTCCTGATTAATAAATAAAAGTGAAAATGTATCACATGTATCAATTTTCAATAGTTGGTTTGTAAGGATTAGAATTTATTTTACGAGTTGATCACGGATTGTTATCAGTTAGAGAACCATTGAAAACCAGGAAGTACTGGACAGCTGTTTCATCCTAGTTGGGGAACCATTGGCAGTATGCACCCACCCACAGGGGTTCCAACCCAGGACCTTCCGGTTACAAGGCAAGCTTGTATACCATTCAGCCACTGAACCCTATTCAATGTCCTATGAACTCTAACTTCTACCGATTCGTGATTTAGTGTGACCACGAACCCATGTCATAGGTGGAACATCCATCCTCACACTTGACTGGATGTACCTCAATGGTCACGATTTCTCACTAGAAGTGCAGGAAACTCCAGCCTATAGCAAGCCACTAGCGAGCATCAGATTAATTTTCAGGAGTTGGTTTGTAAGAATTAGATTTGTTTTCACGAGTTAATATAATTTCCTCACTGTTTATATCTTCTTATGGAAAGACTAACAAATGACTTACAATTCTTCTTCATGCAGAAACATTGTGTATCGCATATACATGTATTTTTTATATTCACTTATCTATGACCATGAACTTTAGTCGGGCGTAATCACTAAAAATCTGATGAGAAAGTATACAGTGTAGAAATACTAAATATTGTAAAATGAGATACAATGGTGGTGATTAGTCATAATGGATTTGTAGATTGTGGGGTAGGAAAATTGACAAATAAGTCAATTCAAGGTTATAAAAGGTGTCAGGTGAATGGCTAGTACAAAGTGGTAAGTATTAAAGAGGAGATAGTAAGATTGAAATGAGATGCTCATAATGAAATAACGAATGTGTGAAATGGAACAGGTGAAGGCATATATTGAGAAAAGAGATAATATCACTAATAATAATAAGTCCGGATAGTATAAATGGGAAATTCCACAGTGTTGAGAGAATGTTTTCATGAAGGGCATAAATTATGACGAACAATAATAATAATAATTGTAATGATAAGCAAAGAAAGAAAAAGCCTTGAGGGTTAAGGGGGCAGGTACTCTTGGTGAGAAGAAGAATCATCAGCCCAAGTTTGGCCACGGTAGGAACAGCGTCTGGGCGTGTTCTTTTTAGATACGAAATTCCGATTTATTTGGTCTTATCGCAACAGCATCAGCTATGTGTAGCAGACTTAACCGAACTGTACGTGATAAAGACTTTGGAATTAGGCATGTAACCCTGAAAGCTGTGCTGGCGTCGGTGCTATGTCCAGTATTGACCTATTTTGACAGAATCGAACTTTTTATGCACTGAATTTCCCCCTGCTGAACCAGTGGCCCAATAGTCTACGAGCTCGCCTTGTAATCAGGAGGTCCTGGGTTCGAATCCCGGTGGGTGAGTACTGCTGGAGACTCCCAAACTAGGATAAATTGCTGTCCGGTACTCCAGGTTTTCCAGTGGTTCTCTAACTGATGTCAGCTCATGATTAAATCCTCCATGCATTATTGTAACGACAACAAATATTATACTTTATAATAATACTAAGTCTTTCGTCAAATTTTGATCATAGCTGATGCAATTTTATTTGCTTACTTTGTTTTGATTTTGGTTCATAACTCACATGACTGAACAAGGATTTTAAGGACAAGATATGTGTTCATATATATATATATATATATATATATATATATTTATTTATATATACCTTTTTTTCTATGGTTAGATTGTAAGGATTAGTTTTGTTTTTACGAGCTGATCACGGATTGATATCAGTTATTGTAATTGTGATTAATTACCTTGGAGAATTTCGGACCAATTTGCCTAACAGAACGTTCGAATTACTCATTTCAATTTCGGTGAGATTTTACTAATATAATGTTTACATATGTCTACTTCACAATCAGTGCCCAATTATTTTGGAACGATTCCGTCAAATCTTGATCACTGTTCATATGAACATACCTCCTTTTTAGAAATAAATGAATTGAGACGAAGCAATAAGAAGACGTAATTTGTCTGAATCATGTAATGTATCTGCGCTACACATTTCGTACAATCTGATCAGTCGCGGACTTGTCATAAGAATGAATATATATATGAAAATAATAAAGAGTTAAAAGGTAAATAAATAGACTCACGTCAAGTTAAAAGGACATATTGAAGGTCAAATTAATAATGAAGACCACTAAACTAAATAACAGAGGTAATAATCCATCTACCCTGGCTGGTATCGAAACAAAGTTTGCCAAAGAAGGTTTAGTGTGATGACGAATTGTTGCTTTGCACGCATAAAGGTGGCTTAAACTTTCTAATTGCTAGGGTTTCCACAAACTTTAGGATACGCCCCAAACACATTTTATAGATAGGTTTAAGATATGTGTAAACGTCAGTTTTATGTCTTGTCTCTATGATTTTCTATAAATAGATCGTTTTATTGACCCGTCAAGCCGTTGACTAAGCAATATGTCTAGGAAAGATAAACAATTATCTTCCTCTTCTACAGATGTAAGTGATATGCTATACTGAACTTCATCCATTCGATTTAAAATTAAGGCGGCATAACAAGCCTTATCACTTATGATTACTACATACCTTGTTCTGCGACTTCAGTTTTACATCGAATGAATGAAGTTCAGTATAGCATATCGCCTACATCTGTAGAAGAGGAAGGTGATTGTTTACCTTTCCTAGAGACAATGTTTAGTCGATTGCTTGACGGGTCAATTAAACGATCTATTTTTAAAAAACCTACATGGATGGGAAATATCTCAATTACCATTGCAAAACACTTACTAATGTCAGGTCACAAAATCAATATGAATGACTGCTTCACAATTATTTCACATAATTCTAATTCAGGGTTACTGAAGGTGATGGAAGCACTTTGGATTAATTACATACAACCTAAAATCTGTGTGTTCTTATTTAACTGTGTAATTGTAATGATGTTTATTTTATTATTGTGAACCATGTTAAATAATTAATATGACCCGTTGCACAAGAGTTGGCCCTCGTGGCCTAAGTGGTCTAGTGGATAACGCTTTGGCGTTGGAAACTATTGGCACTGGGTTCGAGCCTCGATGGGAACATCATCACTCATTGAGAAATGCAGGTACACCCGGCTAACGAGTCCCGAATAGGACGAAACGCGCATTCTGGATTCCACTGCTAGTCAGCATACACCAATTCACTTCTAGTGAACCATGTTAGTTGTAAAGCGGTTGTAAAGAAACTACGAAATAATATAATCTCGCGAAATTTGTCTTCTAAATTTCATATGTATTGCAATGACAATTCCACGTATGGTCAGATTGTTCAAAATGTGTTGCGCGGATACATTACACGATTCAGACAAATTATGTCTTCTTATTGCTTTGTCTAAATTCATAAATGGAACTAATTGCTTTTAATAAATGAATACATACATTAGTAAGAATAATAAAACTCCTGAAAGTAAAATCTAATAGAATAGTATATGTAGTAATAATGTTAGTCATAATTTACTGTATATCAACAGATTCCTAGGTAGATTCTGACATTTATTGCTTCACACAACATCCGTGCAAAATATGATTGAATTCTTGTATTTTGCCGTTTGAGCATTATATCTCATGTAATTTCTCCTGATTTCACCCGAAGAGAAAAACAGAGAAAGTTGAAAATTATAAGGAGGAAATTCATTATCATACAAGATGACCATTAGCCAACTGCTTGTAATATCTTAAAATGTACACCAATATAACTTAGCGGAGTCAAAGACACAGCATTATCTCTGCTTACCGCCTTCAAAGTATTATGTAATATAGTACAATCTCTTTTTATAAAAACCCATGGGAGAGTATGGGTGAACATTAATGAAGAATGGGCAGAATAAGTGAATTAATAAATCATAAGAGAGGAAGTTGAGTTAAGCCAGAAAATCTCAACTTCCCTATATAATAAGTCAAACAAAATGTCTCCTTAGAAACCAACAGGATGTGAGACGAGTAACATAGACTCGAAGAAAAACTTATACCAAGATAAGGGATATTCTAGTTATTATCTGTCACAGTGCTGTTGATGTTATAAGAATCATGAGACTGAATCAGACCACGTCTGAGGTTTAAATTAAAAGCCTGGCAGTTAGAGGGATTCAGTTTAAGACCGTCTGAATAAGACTTGACTTCCAAGCTTCGATGCATGATTGTCGATGTGCCTGATCACCAGACTTGGTGGAGAATTCATTAAGAAGCGCTGAAGATGTCTCAGGTATTGTGATAAAACATTCATATATATATATATATATATATATATATATATATATATATAATGACGGACGTAACTAAAGGGGTTACTTACTTGGGAATAATGGAATCCATATCTATCCTGTTGATGCCTCATTGTGGCTTTCACTGAACCTTTGGGACAATTATTTAAAGATTTCGGTATAGCATAATTTGCAACAGGCCAACCTAAATTGAAGAAATATAACGTATTGTAAAAAGGTGGGGATTAGTGTGGCATTTAAATCAACCAACTCTCTCGGAGATAAATTCTTCTGTCTTATTGATCGGATAGATCTAATTTGGGAAAGTAATACTGTGGTGAGAGCTGCCTGCAAGACAACAATTGACGTCACTGTTTACATCACGAATCGGGGTCATGAGAAAAAACAAGAACAAGCCTGACCTTTAGGAACTCAACAACCAATCATAGTAGATATAACGGGGGTGGATACGATTCGCAGATAGATCATCGGACTGTCTAAGAAACAGCAACAAACGGATGACAGAATAACCTTCAGCAGGAAAACAACCATTCAGGAGATGTTGCTTCTCCGTCAACAATAACGAATAATAATGTCCATAAGAATCTATAAATACCTGTTGATTTTCTCAATAAACGATCTGTTGCTTGCCCCTTGTCTTCTGTCGTTATAATACTATTTATGAAATACCATATAATGAAAAGGAGGTCAGTTACGTTGTTCAAATTAATAGATCGCGGTCAATTAGACTATCGGAAAATAAGGATTGAACTGCAGTTGGAATGATTAAACCTGGCAAGTTAAATCGTTTGGAAAAAAGAGCTGGACGATTGCGATGTATTCACTTGCATACGGTTAGTTACACAACAGAGTGAGATAGGTGTCCAGATGCACCATAATTGGTTAGAGAGAGAGAGAGAGAGCGAGATTAATCATCGAATCTTTGTTCATCTAATCAACACCAAATACGAACAGTCCAAATGACATAACAGGTGTCCAGAAGAGATGAAAAATTATAATAAACTCAAATAATTATGAGTAACAAATTGTCCGCGAAACATCATCCAGCCATCCGTACTGTTCTATTGTGTGTTATGTCAAATAAAGGTATCTAATATGATTACTGTTATTATTTTGTGGTTGACTTTGTCCGCTAAGTTCGCTAGATCACATCGTCTCTAATACCAATATTCTACATTATCACGAAGTGTAGATCGCGATTTGATTTATCTCTTAGTTACGTCTTTTTAAATCTTCAGGTTTCTTCATCACCCTGAAAGAATCGCTTATTGCTTATTCTCAGATTACCTAGTTGAAGATAGAGTCTTACTATAGTTGCATATTGGAAAGTTTGAAGTCTTCTGAATAAGATGTGTCACTATGTTGATAGTGTGAGTAAAATTGTAGTAAAGTATAGTATGACAGTGTTCACTTTTCAAATAGCTCAGAGAGTTCTGTGTGTGAATAGTTTTGTCAAATAACTACATAGTCGTCAGATCTGCTAAAGGCGATAAGGTAGTGTACATCCTAATAGTTCTGTGCAACGTTTGAAGAAGGCTGTATACTATGTGCATTCTCTTTGCTTCAATATTATGTATGTGCGTTGGTGGTTTAGTGTTAGAATACTCGTAAAATACGCCTCACTTGGTTCCGGATTCTATCCCCATTCAACGTACTCCTAAGCCTTCATTACTAGGTAGTAAGCCCAGTGAAGGGAAAAAGTTAGGCTTGAGGTTAGCAACCTCAACCCGCAAAAAGCAAACACTCCTGTTTCTGGAACTTCGAAGCTCAAGCTTGAAGCTGTAAGTTACAGCAGGAACACATTGGAATAAATTAATAAAAACAAAATAAAGCTACACATTATTCTAGTAATACCGTGCAGTTGGAGGCGATCGGCGAGGAGGCTTTGTACAAGATTTGGTTGATTGCTGACACACATAAGGAAGACGTATATACACTACTGGGGAATTCCGTTTCTTACCGTCTAGGAGTAGAGTCAGATGGGTCACCAATCAGCCATTTGGTTGACCTCCTATAGGAATATTATAAATATACTAGTTGATGACTGAAGAGTAATGAATATAATGTTTCCAGTCCTCATTGGTGCTGACTTTAGCAGTTAGGCCCAATGTGATTGCATCCAGCTAGATGTCTAAGTGAAATAGTATAAGCGTAAGCCAGCCAGGCCGTGTTATGTTTCCGCATTAAGATAAAGCACAGTAAACAAGAGGTTACGAATGCTCATTGGCAGACATAAAGGATAGTGACCACGAAGTGTGGATGTACCGATGACTTTCAACACATACCACCCGTCACATTAAAGAAATGTAGTGCATTATGCATCATAAGGCCGTTTATTTAAGAGAAAAATTAACATAATAATATTGAAACACATTAAAGACGATATTTTACCCTGACTTATCTGAAAAATGCTTCTCAATTACAATGAAGGGTATCAGTTTCCAAGCTTCATATCTATCAAAACGGTTTCATCTACATGAACAAAGAAACATTCCTCCCATTTATTTATTTACACCAGAATTACAGGTAATGGTAGTTGTAATAAAATACTCTAATTCTTATTTTCATCCTAATCCTAACCGAAACAGTAGACCTAATACTAATTCTAATCCTAACCTGCTATCAACCCGTTATTTAAAAAGTACTTATGAACGATATCCGGCTGAAATTTGCACATCAGTCCGTTCACAGAGCCCATACTGGTAGTTTAACAACGACAGGTTCTGTATTCTAACGTATTACATGCGTTCAAGGTCATTGGTGCGTTCGTACTTCGTGGTCACTATTCTTGAGGTTGGCCGGATGATTTCTTTTGTCAATCGATTTCATTAATTCTATGCCACTCATTTTATTGAATGTTTAAATGAGAAAGTCTAAGATGCAATAGTACACAACTGCGTACGTATTACCAGAATGCATACATTGCGTTTTCTAACGGAAATTTCGGGGTTTTCGTGGGAATTTCAGGGATATTGGAGAGGAGTTTCTTTGGAATTTAGAGCTTTCGCGGGGAAACATTTTGAATTTTCCCAAAACTTTTCCATCACACTCCCCCATTAAACCCGAAAATTGCCCCGAAATTTTTAATTTGGATGTATTGTTATATGATATGATGCGTTGGAAGCTTAGCAGTATAGCACTCGCCAACTACGCACCTGGTACAGGATACCATCTCTTGCCGACGTACTTCGAAATGTCAGGTAAAGAAAAGAGCTCGGAAGTTGGTTAGTAACCCCACCACATGAAACCAACACCACTACATTCGAAACTTCAAAATAAAGTGCCTTACGCTGTAATCGGATTATAAAGGATCATAAAACACGTAAACAGATTCAAGTATTGATTTGTAGGGATTTGGTTGATTGGTTACAGGATTTCATCATGATCTGACATTAGTTAGAGAACCATTAGAAAACTTGGGAGTACTGGACAGCTGTTCCGTCCTAGTTTGGGACTCTTCATCAGTATGCACCCACCGGGATTCGAACCCAGGACCTTCTGGCTGCAAGGCGAGCTCGAATGCTGTTGGGTGCGTGCTGATGAAGATTCCCAAACTAGGACGAAACAGCTGTCCAGTAATCCCAGGTTTTTCAATGGTTCTCTAACTGATGTCAGCTCATGATGAAATCCTGTGACTTAAACAGATTGTATGTAATGCAAAATTGCTTTAAGAAACTAAACACTTACCTTGATGATCATCAACAGGTGTTTTACTAGTCCCATATTCACAATATATAACATGTACAATGGCATTATCCAACCAAATACCAGTCAGTGATTCAAACAGCATAGCATTCTGTTTAGTCACATTGAATAGCGTGAGTATATTCCTTTGTCGATACCATAGTCCACGTGATAAACTCTCTGGAACAAACATACTTTCTACAACACGACGTTTCAATTGTATATCATAGAATTGTGGACAGTATTTATAATCTTTAATTTGTTCATATGTATTCAATACCTTTGTACCAGTGAAATTAACTAAGGCTTTTTTATCCTCTGGTGATGGGTAACCAAGTGTAACAAATGATTGAACTGTTGCTGCCGATGATGATGACGGTGTTTGAGATTTCTGTTTCTCTATATCAGGCATATATTCTCTAGATAAACAACATATCACAGTATTCATATATGGTGCAGCTCCACTCTCTATAAAGACTAAAAGAAGACGGAAAAGAGAATGAATAACACAGAATCATCTGTAAATATTAGGATAAATTCAATGGATACCCCAGGTAGTCTATGTGTCACTGAGTGGAGAGAAAAAGGCTAAAACTTGTTCTGTAATAATCTATCGGAGTTAGCCATCATCACTTCTGGTACTGTCTGTGTTGAATTGAGTCATGCTGCAGACCATAGGATGCATGAAGATGTTGGATCAATGAAACGGCCCTAAAAGGGATGATTTTTGAAGATTATGTACATTCCACATATCATACACTTAAAGAATTATAATCGACACCCAACAAGGTGGCATAAAAGGTAGTGAATATAGAACTTCAGGTGAATATAGAGGTAAGAAGGTTGAAAAGGATATCCGACCGCCAACAAAAACATCGTTCCTCAATAATTCTCATCCATACATTAGTGAGAACAAAACACGCATTTCGGCCAAGAGACTGTTTTCAGCAAATTCATTTTTCTCATTAGCTGTCAGTCACATTTATACACAATCTCTTTTTCATGAAAGATGGCAGTAATAAAAGTTAAGAATTGTCACAAACATACTGCTGAATACTAGTCAATGCATAAAAGGAAATGAAAAAGTGTACTTTTTATCATTCTTTTATATGAAAAAGAGATTGTATACAGCAAGAACAACAGTTTTTTTCAGATTATTATGGTGCCATCATTTATTTCGTTGGCTTCTCATCAGCTGTTTACAGACTAAATAAATTTTTTAATTCATGTCGAGAAAAGTTTCAGCACACTTGGAAATTTTACATATTACTAGTTGACAGAAGGTTCCTGACTTGATAGATAGTGCTCAGAAAATTATACTTTTGTACTGTATACTTGTTCCCACGTTTCGTACACTTGTACCAATTCGCTCACACACTAGTGTGACATTTATTTTCCTTGTCTGGAAAATACAAGTATCATCGTAAACCTGGTGGTCTTCTGATTTCCCTCTTTCCGCGTCAGGACTATTAACTACTAGACGAGTACATAATAGAGAGTATAAAGATATCCAGTCACCAGCATGGGCATGGAAGGAATGACGGATAGCTGCTTACTTCTGAACACATAAATCACGTCTCAGGCCTTTGGTAGCGATGGCTTCAGCAAACTTGAAGAGAATTAACTCACTTTGTCTGGTGATAATTTTAAAGGATTTTTGCGATGTCCACCTCATCACCCGTAGTGATGAGATGTCTGTCAATGACACTATTGTAAACATTTGTCCTCTTGAGATCTAGGGTTTCTGGCACACGTTCAGAAAATCGAAGATGTGCCCCTCTTTCTATAATCCTAATTTAACTGCTCCTGCAGATACATTAAAATTTGTCTACACAGTTGGAGTTAACACGAGGAGGGTATCTGTCGACTTTTGATTGCATCAAAGAGCATGTTGTCTGATAGACGGTAATCAACTTAGCTGCAAGAAAGGCTCTTGCTAGTGACGTATGAAGATTGCATATAAGTGCGATTGTACACCTGATGAGTAAAGTGAGTTTGCCGAAATCAGCCTCTTCACTGAATTATATGTTTTACCTTCACGAAAGTCATTCACCAGCACTTGGAGAAATCTAAGGGAGGTCCCCTCTTTCATATGACTCTACAGCCTCCTTTCAGTTCTAGTTGGCAGGGAAGATTAGGAAGGTGACATGGCTTCTTATAGCCTAGTGGCTAGTGTTCTAGACAATTGATGCGGTACTCGCGTTTCAGTGGAAACATCATAGCTCACTCAGAATGCAGGAACATCTAGATGAAGAGCCTTAGATACAACGAAATACTCATCCTCGTTGTGTAGTTAAGTTTTCTTACTTCACTTTCTTTGTTACACATTCTTAGGTGAAAATTAACAGAAACTATTCTGATGTCTACGAATAATCAGCTGACATTTATAAAGATTAACAGACCAAATAAACACGTCTTCTTTAAATAAAAAAATAATAAAAAAGCCTTACATTTATACGGACAGCTGCCAAATACAGAAATACAATAACCTGATGGACCATTAGCCAGTGTGGGTAGATTGTCTAGATTCACTTCATTAAAGCATATTTCACCAGTATCAGTTCCACGTGTTGTCCATCGAGGTCGTTTATATGTAAGCCATTGATCTTGCACTGAAATGGAAAATTTGAAAAGAAACTATCATTTAACTGACAATTGTTTTTCTAAATAACTGAAAGATCTTTAAGTGAGGATGAAGTTTATCGCTACTACCACTACTAACAGTTTAAGTGGAATACACTGTGCTCTAAGTAATTTCAAGATCCGAAGGTTGGACTTCCTCAATTCTGTTTAGTTTATGACCTGTAATGATAAATCTATAGGAGGTTGATCTTTTATTGCTTCATCTGGTCAGTTATTCTGAAAAGATAAGATGAGGTAAGATAATAGCTTTATTCCAAATCAGTACTTGTGATACAGAATGGAACTCTCAGCATTTTTACTACAATATTGCATCCAGTTAGTACGTTAACAATAAATAAAGTTCTACATAGATTAAAGTTATCTCAGTCAGTTTTGACAACAACATATTATCCTGTCGGTAGCAAAGTCAAAATTTAAACAGTTATCCGATTTCACACTGGCAGTCAATAAAGAACATACACCTATTGGACTTTCAGTACTTACAGCAGATTGAGATAGCGTTTGAAAATTTTGTTATCTGGTAATCTAAGTTTTTAGAATAATAAAAGCTTATTTTGTATTTCCCAATGAATGAAAAACAAAAAGATATTGTTGTTTTTACTGACCTTTCGCGATATAATGCTAATAGCTTTCTCAAAGTATTATTAAACCAAAATTTTTAAAATCCGCTCAGCTGATATATAACAGCTTAATCATCTTTCCTCAGCATAGGGTCATTTTTATATTGAAGTTGAGGTAGACAGCTGACTGCCGTTCCAAACTCTGTTCAATCTTGATCCGTAGTTTTGCCATCTGAACTATGCATAACTTGTCCTTTCTGAATCCAGTCTGTTCCAGTAGACGCTTTTCCATCTAGAGCGCGTTTGATTCTGTCCAGGATGAGGCGGGTTAGTGTGTTGCTTGGGATGGACACGAGCATAATGCTACGCCAGTTCTTGCATTGACTTAAGTCTTCTTTCTTTGGCAGTTTGAATAAGTAGTCTTTCTTCCAATCTATAGGTACCCTTCTGTCTTTCCACACGTTCTCCAGTAGTGGTGTCATCAAGTCTGCTGATGTTTGTGTGTCCATTTTCAATGCTTCTGCTGGGATTTCGTCTAGTCCGACTGCTTTTCCGGGTTTTGGCATCTTTATTGCCTTCGGGATTTCTGTTTTTGTCGGAAGGTTGGTGTTCACTGGTAGTTCTGCTTCTGCTGTTGGTATTTCTGCTGTTAGTGTTTCCTCTGCTCCACTTCTTTGGTGATTGACTTTCCATTGTCGTCCTTCACTGGCTTAATTAGTGTTTCCCCGATAGGAACCTAGTTGTTTGGTAGAGTGTTGCGAGGTCTCCTTTGCCTGCAGTGCGGCTTGTTCTGCTTCACTTTCCATAGCTTCATAATATTTTATTTTGTCTTCCCTGGAACTTTTCTCTACTCTTTGGTCCAGTGTATTGTAGCTTGCATTCAACTCCTGTTTTTGTTGTTCGTCGATGCACTGGGTACTCTTTTGTTTCACCATCACTCTCTCTTCTATTAGTCTCCACGTGTCCGTAGTGAGCCACTGTTTGCATTGTCTCTTCGTTCTGCCTAGAACTTCCATGTAGGTTTGAATCCACACTGCCTTCAGGTTGTTCCAGCGTTTTCCAACACTGGTCTCTTCGCTAGTGTTGGTTTATTTCTCTACCATTTTCCTTTTGATTGCAGTTAGTATGTCTTTTGTAGCCTGATCCTTCAGATTTTGAGTATTGAACTCGGCTTATGGTCTATCTGCAGCTCCTGTTTCTTTGAAAGTTTTTGATTTGATTTAGATTGTTCCTTGCTCGAGATAGTGGTCTGAGCCGAAGTCTGCTCCCCTTCTTACTTTTGTGTCGAGGAAGTTGTGTCTCCACCTCCTTGAGCAGTATTGAGATGAAGTCAATTTGGTATTTGGTCCTCCCTTCTGGTGACACACACGTAGACTTGTGGAAACCTTTGTACATGTTTACGCAGCCGTCAATCAATAGTTCATTCATCTCTCTAAGTGCTTCTCTACCTATTATGAGCTCTTTTCCTGTGTTATCTCGTCCCAAATCGGCTTTCATGCCTCCCATTAAAATCTTAATGTCAGCGATTGGAGTATTTTCCATTGTTGCCTGTAGTTGTCCGTAGAACTCTTTTTTCTTTTCGAGGTCTGAGTTGTTTGTGGGTGCATAGTATTGTATAACTGTCACTTTCCTTCCTTTTGAGTTGGATCTGGTGGTCATAATCCTGGACAAGATCGCCTCCTATTGTCGTTGGTGACACACTTCTAGGTGTGTTTGAAACTATTCTGTTTAAATTCTAATACTTTCTTTAGAATGTAACTAGATGATGAGAAGCCGACGAAATAAAGAATGACACTCGTATTTTGCACGAAGCGCTCTTCTTGCTTCATTCATATTTAATATGTTGAACTATCTGAGGTTATATAGAAGCTTCCTGACGACGGTATCTATAATTGAACTCAGCCATTGTGTCACTGCACTGCTGTATATTCTTTCTCACGCCGCTCTTTGGTTGACAATCGTCCCAGTTAAGTGGACCAAAATATGCAAACAATTATAGCTTACAACGTGGAGGAAGTGCTGATTTGGAGTACTGCAGACTGATAAGAAGCCACCAAAATTGAAATCAACATTTTAAGTTAGTATCTGGATTTTGGTTTACGTTGCGGAGATGAAATCGTCTCACTGGACAACTTGTTTAACAATAAGACAAGTGACAAACAATCAGAACGATTTATTCAATTCTGACTCAGCCAAACTTTAGTGTAGTTAAGAATGTATAAATAAGATGATGTGTCCTCCCATAATGAAGGTTAGTTACCAATTGATTCTCTTGTCTTGTCTTGTTACAATCGAACTAGGCTTAATTGTTGGAAAAGTAGCAGTTATAGCTACCTGCTACCTGACTGTTCCAAACGTCCAATATCAGATTATGCTACATCTCCGTATTGAAAGATATAATAACACCGTTTGACTTTGTGACCATATTTTAGGCATAGTCTGTGGATTTCTCTCAAGGCTACTTCATACTCAACAGCTATGGCAGGTGTTTGTTGTTGGTACTTTCAGTGACATAGGGAGTTATCAATGCTTCTACTAAGATGTTATCCAGTTCTAATATACTACTTAAGTATATCTGCCTAGTAGTATACACCACGTTACTAATCAAATTTGAACAGTATTTAAAACAAAACATACTGATGTTAAAGAATAAGGTTGACAATCGTCCCAGTTGACTTCGTCGGAATCCAGCTCCTTTAAATATAAGAAAATTGGATGGAAAAAGTTTTGGTAAATAAATGCTGATTTCACTAAGTTGAAGGAAAAATTTTTAAGACTGGTGTCTTTCATTCCTAACCAGTAGTTTAGAATAACATATGAAAGCAACCAGCATTTATCATACTTTTACGAAAAGTTGAATTGAAACAGGAACGCTGAGCTGTTGACAGATGTGGTAATCAAGAGTACCGCTTGTCTATGCCAAATAAAAACGCATACACTGGCTAATTGTTCTCACAACCATCAACTTAACCGACAGCACACAAAAGACGAGATTGAAAAGTAAGTATATCTATACGATAACGCATACTCCAAAAAGTTAGTCTGTAATCACTGGACAATAAAGTAGTGGACGCATTTTATGTAGGCCAATTAGGACTGGTACATTTCCAGATATGACATAGATCAGCATAACAATAGTGTTTTCAGTAAGGTATTATCAGGCTTTAGTCTAATGCATCTAACTCTGCAAAGAAATATTATATATATATATATATATATATATATATATATATATTCCCAGCCGACGCACTTCCAAATCTCGCTTAGCCGGTTATAAGCCCGGCAAAGAGGGAAGGCTGGGCATGAGACTAGCAACTATTAAAGATGACTTGATTATGTAGGCAAATGTCTTAATAAAAGTTACAGATAAATTACATGGGCAAACAAGTAGTAAGATTGCGTAATTTCAGATTGTGTGACGAAAGTAAACGAACAAGGTTTGATTGAAGATATAATAAGACTAGAGAAGGGTTGACAACGAAATCTACAGCAAATAGATGGCATAGCAATGTATTCCCCTCTAGGACTACTCTCGACCTAGTGTTCTATGACTAGCCTGGAAAACAATTCCGTATCACCGACTATCAGTGATCTGCATCTCTTCAACAGATACGTTATTTGCGATGAGAATTTGGATCTCGGTTACCTTCTTCAAAACTTTACTAATGCCCACCCAAACACCGAATTCACTCTATAAGTTGAATCTATCTCACTGTTCCATTTCCTTGGTACTCAACTGCGAAGAAGAGATCCGCATACAAAAAGCCTGCACGAAAGGGACGGTTTAACAGATTTCAAAATTATGTCCCTCTAAGAAGAAACAGCAACCTCAATAATTCGGAAAATATGTGCAGAGGAATTCATTGACAAAAAAACGCTGAAACCTCCGAGGGATCATGAAGAAAAATAGTTTCCCACCCAGATTCATAGATAAGAACATAAATCAAACAAAACTTCTTAACAGATCCAGATCATTCATAAAACGATCTTGAGTTTAAGAGTGATGCTGAGGCAGTAGTACACCAAAAACCGCTTTCGTAATCCCACAATAGAGCGCACTTTGTCAACAGCCTAAAAGTAACAATTCCTTACAAGAAACCATTCAGCCAACGCGTAAAAAACAACCTCTCATATAGGGCCACCTCAGCATACATATTCCAGTTCATTTGCTCTTTTTGAGCTGAGTACAACTGTCGTAACATTCACTCACTGGTAAAATACTCTCGGTAACTCTATCCAGCCTGGGTGGCAAAGCGAGAACCTTGTTGTGTATATAACTCACTATTAGAACATCTATTGAACTCAGGGCATTCAGCTCCATTTGAAAAGTTCTTGAAAATCGTGAACAAGTTTCGATCAAAACTCTCAAAGTGAGCGAGATTACGAGATCTCAGCATACCTGAAATATCAGTGATCTAAAAATTCAAGTCCATTGTATGTATTCATAGGAAATATGTCCAACCTTTGTCTTTACCATCGACATCATAAATAGCCAATTCTTTCAATAATGATTATCTTATCAGAGTTTCTTATCCAAACTCCATGTTTATTTTTAAATTTTAATCAATAATTGTAGTCTTGTCAATTTGATCCTTGACTGGAAATAGTTCTGGAACTTCCTCATCATTTTACAATATACATATACGTATACTAATTTACAACCTGGCTGATGACTTCGTCGTAAACACAATTTTCTTCTCTTCAACCGTCTTCTTAATGTTTAGCATAAAAATGGTAAGAAAGGTATTGAAGCTATATAGGTCGTGGAGGTGTGTAAAATAAGTCGTTTCGTCAACGGGTGAGAAAGTAGTTGTATGAATTATTTATGAATACATAATAGAGGCTTGATAGTTCCAATATCTATCGCCTTAACTATATGTGTGGTGAGAGCTGTCTGCAAGACAAAATTGTAGACAACAATTGACGTCAATGCTGACGTCCTGAATCGGAGTCATGAGAAAAAACAAGAACAAAGCCTAACCTTGAGGAACTCAACAACCAATCACAGAAGACCTAACGTGCGTGGATATGATTCGCAGATAGATCGCCGGACTGTCTAAACAACAGCAACAAACAGATGACAGAATAACCTGCAGAAGGAAAACAACCATTTGGAAGACGTTGCTTGTCTGCTAACAATAACGAATAATAATGTGCATAAAGGTCTATAAATATCTGTTGATTTTCTGAATAAATGATCTGATACCTCGTCCTTGTACTCTCTTGTTACAGGTATAGAAGGCTATTCGTTTGGATTGGTAGATTTTTTACTTGGCAAGGTTTTATTCAGACATTTCTAATCTTTTAAGATCTCATCATCTAATTTACTTAACACGAAATAGTCACCTACATTACAGGAATGATTCTATGTAGAAATTCTATGCGTCTATAAATGACTGGATCAGTAGAAAATATTTGTAGCTTAAGGGGACGCTGTTGTTATTTTTTGGCAGTTTTATGTCCCGTTTAAATTTGAAACTTTTGCTTAACCTTCCAGATAACAGTTTGATGGTGGACTTCAGTATGAATTGAAGCAATGGATGAAATAACCACCATTCTTGGTGACCTTGGCTACCGTTAGCTGATCTTAGAGATTTTATGATGATTTTACTCCCATGTATCCATACATCAGGTCAATGAGTTGAGCAGTGTTCATACAAGTGAGTACGATCACATGAAAATCTCTGAGGTCAACCAGCCAGAGACAAAAATTATGAATATTTCATCAGGGGGTAATTTAAAAATTCACTTCACATTGAAATCAGCTTTAAATTCGTTATGATGAAGACAAATATTCGTACGAGGAAATATTTTATGATGTGGTTTTTTCCGTTCTGGCTGAGTGAACAGCTTTCATTGCTCAACTTGTAGACAATATCTTCAGATTTTTTTTGTAAAATAAGGTTTCTTTCCAGATCGATAGTCGAAACTACGTAATTAAGTAATCCACCACGAAGAACACAACGATGTTTAGGTAAAGTTAAAATTTGGTCATCGAACAGGTGCGAACGCAGCAGTGGCTTTGGGAAGAAACATGGTCCTGAAAGGTATATTTCTTGCCCTAACTTAATCCTAACCCTAATATGCAGCTAACACAACCGTAACCCTGACCAATGCCTAGCCCAGCAGTAACCTACCCCTAACCAACACCGAAATCTCCCTAATTTGATTAACCTCACACTAACCTGAACTTAGACTAAACCTCACTCTATTCTTTCCCTATTCTAACCTAAGACCAACCAGATATCCAGCATTTACTCAACATTGCCTTCATGAATATGGTGTCGACTATTTAATTTCACTATCTTGCTGACTGAGCGACCTAAGGCCATTGGTGAGTTCCTGACTGTGAGATTTTCAGAGTTCAGCTCTGCACATGTTTAATTTCAAAAATAGCATTGTTTCTTTAGGTAGAGTTAAATAGACTGTTAACATCAGAATTTTTAATGTACGAATGATGCCGGCAAAAACCTCCATCAGTAAATTTCACATAATTTCTGTTATTCACTTTGTTTAAATCCAGTAATATACAACCTCTAATAATATTATAATTTAATTGGTGGATGGTGACTGGCAGTGGAATCCATGATGCACATTTCGTCCTATTTGGGACTCGTCTACTGGGTGTATCTGACTGTGACGATTATTTAAAACATATACAACCTGCTGATCGGCAAATTTCTACTAAGAATGACAAAAAGCATTATCTCCAATGCCAGCTCATCCGTATACATGGAATGACCACTCCTGAATGATGTATTTGGTTCACAAAGTGTACTCATGAACTTTTTTATATTAGGCGTTGCACAAGCTGTTGTGCATTTCTCGAAGGAGAAGAGGAAGAGATATCATAATTGATTACTTTGCGCTTCTTGTCAGATAAAACTGTGTCATACAATCTACTGTCAGTTGGTTTTTTTATTTGAATATCCTGGACGAAGAGAAAATATCACGCAGTTTACTCAGCATTTTAAATAAACTTTGGTAAGAATAAAGTTATTATCATATATTAACAGAAACAAAATAAACTACTAACAATTTATAAGTAGTAAAATTAATTACCAATAAACTTCGTTATTATTAGAATTATTGTTAAATGACCAATTCAACTTACTTTTTCTCGGCAACTTTGAGCAATGTTTTGGGACAGAGGTTTTATTACTGTTATCACTGACTTCACCGGTTTCATTTACACCGGATACAACACGTGGCCAGACAAGCATAAAGTGTGACCTGTCTAAAATAGTCAATGAAGATTATTGACAACAATAATAATATTTGTATTCTGGAGATTGCGCGTAAACATACAATTAAGAGATTCAAGCCTGTTTCACTGCTTAGTATATTACACCTCATGGCAATTCTACGAATAAAATAATAATCGATAATAATCTCTTTATTTCCTCCGATGACCAACTGAGTACAGAGTGTGATAACTGCGGACGTAAATGGGTGATCAGCACAATACATAGACAGTTTTAGTAAATATGTCGCATTTACATGGATGAAAACTTACTTAACCTCGTTAGTGATTTAATTAAACTGCTTTAAATAACATTTTAAGGGAGATGTGAAAAAATATTCGCCTGGTTTTCTTTTGAGATAGGCATCAGTCGCTAACTTAACCCGAATCCTATCATTACTGGTGTTGGAAACCAACATGTCCACAACGTTCTTCAAATTTTTCTGATGATGTTAAGCTTTATTCTGATGAATCTGGAGATTTTAAAATCATTATTATTTCCTTTAATTCCTAGAGGAACATAGGGATTCAGCCACGCGTCTCCATTGCGTTCGGTTTTCTGACAACGTTTTCACCCGGCTAAAAGTTAGCCCACATGACTCGCCAAGTCTCTGATCCGTATAGCAACATTGACTGACTTTACATTGGAGTTGAAAATCCGGATCTTATTTTTGATGCTGAGTGCTGTTGACTTCCACACACATTTGAGAGTAATGAAAGTTTGTCTTGCTTTTCCCATTCTAGCTTTGATATCCTCGTCAGTTCCGCCTGTGGTTGAAACGATGCTACCCAGGTGGGTAAAGGAGGTCGTTTCTTTCAGGTTCCTCCCATTCATGCTGACTGTCATCTGTTGTTGTTGCTGTTGGTATTGGTCTGGAATCTTCATCGTCACCTCTGTTTTATCTATGTTCACATGAAGTCCCATGTTTGATGCTTCTCTTACTAGCTTGTTGCTTTTCACTTGTGAATCTTCTAGTTTGGGTGAAATCAGACATATATCATCGGTGAAGTCCAGATCCTCCAAGTTTTTTGTGTGAGTCCATTTTATGCCTGTTCTCTCGTTGGTTGCCGTTGTCTGTCGCATTATTTAATTCACTGCAACCAGGAAGATCATTGGCGATAGTAGACAGCCTTGTCTCACCCCCGTCCTCACTTCGAAGGCTTCCGTAAGGTTCCCGTTGTGGATTACTTGGCATGCAGCATTGTCGTATAACTGTTGGATGAGCTGTATAATTGTCGATGGCACCCCACAGTAGTAGCGAAGTAGTTTCCAAATGACCTCTCGATCGACGCTGTCGAAGGCCTTTTCAAAGTCGATGAAGTTGAGATAGAGAGGTGACTGCCATTCCAAGCTTTGTTCAATGATGATCCGTAGAGTGGCGATTTGATAAATACATGATTTGTTTCTCCTGAATCCAGCCTGTTCCAGTAAAAGTTTTTCATCCAGGGCTTGTTTGATTCTCTCCAGGATGATGCGGCTTAGTATTTTGCTTGGGATGGACAGAGGCATAATTCCACGCCAGTTCTTGCATTGACTTAAGTCTCCTTTCTTTGGTAATTTGAATAAGTATCCTTTCTTCCAATCCTTGGGATTGGTAAATTTTGATATATCAAACTTCAATTGGTTTTTTCTATATACTTTATAAATAATTTCCATATTGATATTAATTAAGGCGAAACACGTAGTTCAGCCAAGAGGTGGTTTTCAGCTAATTTATTTCCCTCATTAGCTGTACAATCGCACTTATACGCAATTCTTATTCATGAAACAGAGTAGTAACAAAAATGATAAGTTGCCACAAATATACCTCTTAATATTAGTCAATGCATAAGAGGAGTTGAATAAAAGTGCTAGAGTTGCGTCATAAGATGAGTAATTTAATGACGATGGCTTGCAACCAAAATGCACATAGAAATGAAGCAAAATATCGAGTAACATATGAGTTCTGAAGGAATACAAGAGTTATATAGAGTTAGAAATAACAGACAAACTAAGTTCATATTAGTAGAAATCAACATGTATATTGCCATGATAGTAGAAGTGGTTCAATAGTTCTCTTTCGTATACAGAACTCCTGTTTCTTCATCTGAGTTAATATAGCTTCATTAATTCAAACGATACAAAAGCGTATCATTTCCGAAAGGTAGTTCTTCACTTCTTAGATTACTTTGAAGGAGGCGTTTGTTAAGATGGAGTGCCCAGTGTTGACAATGTGTTCTATCATCGTACTCCTTATACAGTCACTGCTACCTTTCTGCAACTATGCGGGACACTGTTCTTGATCCACTTTCGACAATATTCGTGCATCGGACGACCAAATCACCTAGTTCCGTAAGAACAGCTGAACTAATAGAACTGACAAGTGAACTGTACATAAAATGGTCAGTTTTGAGATCTTGTCTTCAAAGCCTCTGCAAACCAATGGATTACTGGAGAACACTATTCTTAGAGCTGATGGGAAGAATGTTCTCCAAGATGATGAAATTCTTCTATTAAGGATATCGTAGGCTAATTTTCACCTGAAATTTCGTTCGTGTAAAGTTTCTCTACTGGAACATGTAATCTTTCGTTCCACTGAACTTTCAGTTTGACAAACTTATCAATCAATTTTGTATCCATTTTGGTCGAAGGTTTCTTCCAGAAGATCTGGTTCTGCTTCTAAGGCATCAGCACTAGATATAATTCATCACTTAGTCGTTCCACACTGACCAATATAAATAACTTATATTGTGACAACTCATCGCCTTTTATACTACCCTTTTTTATTAAAAATTGTATGTAAATGCAGTTGTACATCTAAAAAGAATGAATCTACCACAAAGACCCTCTTCACTGGTCTGTGTGTTTTGTTTCTATACACTTGTCTTGTTTCCATTCCTCTGAGTTCCAAGTGGAACACAGGTCTTCCTGCCTGAAGTTTGAAGTGCCCCATAACTTAAGTAGGAATAAGGCTGTCAATATATATATATATATATATATATATATGGCTGTTTACCTTATTAACAAATTTACTAGTATTAAGGTAGATTTTCTATTAATAGTTGCACACTGTCATTTAAAAGGTACTAAGTGATGGCTATTGCAGTTTATCATCTCTCAGCTTGACTCCCTAGCTCCATTTTGAATTTCCTAATCATCTGGAGGCTGTTTCTTGATTGACCACTGTCCAATTCGTCAGTGTACCAAATTTAGGAACGGTGCTTAATTGTGACGTTGAATATCAATGAGATGCTCACTAGCAACTTGCTCTATTCAGGTAGGTAGTTACTTGGGGTTCTAGTGAGTAGTCGTGACCAGTAGGGTACAGCAGGTCGGGTGTGGGGGCAAATACTCGTCGAAGACATTGACTAGGGGTCGTGCTATGTCGTGAATTGGCAGAAGTTAGAATTCACGGGCTGGCCATTGGATCGGCTCCCGGTGGCTTATTGGTATACAGGCTATCTCGCCTTGTAACCGGAAGGTCCCGGGTTTGAGCCCCAGTGGGTGCATACTGCTTAAGAGTCCCAAACTAGGACGAAGCAGCTGTCCAGTTCTCCCATATCTTCCAATAATTCTCTAACCAATGTCAGCTTATGATGAAATCCTGTGACCAACACTTCAATGGTTTTTGATGGTAAAGTGTACAAGAAGGTATGACCATATGATAGCGTCATATTATTAGAGACTGTTGAAAACCACATTGCTGTGGATACATGTTCCGAACCTTCAGAACTGAATACTCATGATCACCCCCATCCCCAGAAGTCTAACCCAGTAACTTCAAGTTATCAGGCTTAATCCGCTTAACTTTCAGGTGTGAGACTGGTATCCAACGATGCATGGATTGCTCCACTTGCATCTACTTCCAAGTATTTGATTCCAAACTTGACCTGGTATACCACACCAATAGAAAGGCACTTGCATGGGTAAGTAATACTGTGGTATTGTACTAGTTAATCACACATCAACACTATGACATACAGAAGTCTTTAATTTGCTGAAAATATAAAAAATAATGTATAATTTCTATTTATATTAATGCTTTTAAATCGACTCACTTCCTTTTGGATAATATACACATTGGTGTAATTCAGCATCAACGTTGAAATTTTCTATGGTTTGACAAGGTTGATAAACAGCAGGTAGTTTAAATGGAGCTTTCAGATTAATTGGCAGTTTAATTGCACCTATTGACTCTTCATTACGACAACATGCTCTGCCTGAATTTTCCAATGTAAAACCTAAACGTACAACACCACTTTTTGAAATGAAGCCTAAAGAGAGGGAAAAAACCAGTTAGATTGAAAGAAATGTAAGAGGTGACTCAGATCATTTTGCTATATATATATATATATATATACATGCTGTATGTGGCAGGATCAGGAAGGCAGTAAAATTACTCCCCACTCTGAAATCATTTTGCAGATATACAGCTTTCAGTGCAATGAAAAATATCTGAACCTTAAACATTAGTGTCACGTCAGTGCTTTTATGTGATTCAGAGACTTGTCAGACATGTTGTAGTGAGAGCTGTCTGCAAGACAAAATTGTAAACAACAATTGACGTCAGTGTTCATCTCCCAAATCGGAATTATGAGAAAGAAAACAAGAAGAAAGCCTAACCTTGAGGAACTCAACGACCAATCACAGAAGACTTAACGTGGGTGGATATGATTCGCAGATAGATCGCCGGACTGTCTAAACAACAGCAACAAACAGATGACAGAATAACCTGCAGCAGGAAAACAACCATTCGGAAGACGTTGCTTTTCTGCTAACAATAACGAATAATAATGTGCATAAAGGTCTATAAATATCTGTTGATTTTCTCAATAAACGATCTGTTGCTTGGCTCTTGTCTTCTGTCGTTACAATCCCACTAAAGGCATTTTCAATATGCTACTGTAGGCTTGTGGTGAGAGCAGGCCGTGAGAAAATATGAGCAAGGCTGATTCAACAACCAATCACAGCAAAGTTACCGTGGCAAAATATGATTCGCAGATAGAGGACTCTATTTGTCGAGGAATCCCGAAACAACCAATGAGAAGCCTGCGTTTGTCTGCCTAACTTCTGATAAACAACCAATCAGATAACTGCGCTTGTCTACTTGCATAAGCTAAAATAATGTATGTGAAATATCTATAAATACGTGTTGATTTTCATAATAAAACGATCTGTTGCCTGGCCCTTGTCTTCTGTTGTTACAGGCTTTCATTAACACTTTACTTCACTTGATCCTGAAGATCATCAGATGGACGGTCAGCAAAAGGATAAGCTGCAACTGAAGTGTGAAAGAGAATTAGCCAACAGCTTCTCGGTAGAAGAAAATGACGATGGAGCGGATATACGATAAGGGACCTTCGGTTGATATTACATGCTAAGCAGACCCTAAAGCGACATTCGAATCAGAGAGCGACAAGTTTGGAGGTTGAAGTTAAGATGGAAATATTTTGCAGTGAAGTGGAAATGAAAGCTTATGGAAAGTCGTGGAACTGGCTGAAAGTGATGACACATTACCGAGTATGATGAAGTCTAAGTGCACACTGGACTAATAGAATTCATTCAACACCAAAACCGTGGACTAGACACATGATATCAGTTACATCCTAGTGTCCTAGTGGAGTCCAACCGTCAACCCTAAGAGCCTTATTGTAACTTCTCAGACTGTATAACTCGATGATGAAGGCTGTAATCTCCGATAGGTTATCAATTGCTATGGTAAATTATTTATTTTGTTATTGCTGAGATTTATACTAATATAACTTTTACATATGCAGACTACTATGCCTTTGAAGACTGTTCATCTAGCCACCTATGTATCTAGAGTACATCCTACAAAAGAAGATCTCACCATTTGTTCAGTCGTGCCCATTAGTATAAACAATTGATGGCCTTAGAATCAATTAATCAATTCAGTATTCTTTATACACTCCAGTAACAATCAATGATATCAGCTTATACGGAAGATTGTCATATACTAAAACCTAGATTATGTGTGCAAAAAGGTGAATGTTACTAACTTACTTACTACCTTGGTCAACACTCGCCTTCTGTTCTTACCTTTCGACTGAATAACTTTTCGTGTGACTACTTGCCTGTCTCGACTTCTATATGAATTGCCTTTAAATTCTAGAACATTTTTCTATGTGAAGTATATAAAGTCTCTATTTTAGTTATAGTTCAGTATTCCAACTTCTCATATACTTTGTAGCGTATCTGCATTTTCGACACTGTCATTCTACTATTACAGAATTACTCTTATCTTGTAGAATAAATGGGTATTCAGATAAAGTACTTTTGTAGGGAGAGCTGGCTGCTAGCCAAATTGGTAAACAGTAATTTGGTTGTGAGGAGACAAGAACAAAGACTGACAGCAGATAGGTGATCTGACATTCAAGAAACAGCCGCAAAGAGATGAAAGATTAACTTTTAGTGAGAAACAACCAATCAGAAGGCTGTCTGTCGGTTAACAATAATGTATAATAATATGTGTGTTGATTTCCTTAATAAACGATCTGTTGTCTGGCTAGCCCTTGTCTTCTGTTGTTACACTTTTAGATTACTCTTCCAGATATGATGGAGAAGTTTCGTAACTCAGGTGGATGATTTTGATGTGGTTGTATTCTCTGAGCTGGATAGTTAATTTGCAAAGCTTTCGTTGCCCTAACACTAGGCAACATCTTGAGCGCACATTTCAGTTTGAATTGAAGTGAGCTTTTAGATTTCTCCACGAGTTTATTAGTCGTCTCTCCTGGTGACCTTGCACGTGGTTGGTTGTAAAAAAAATCCACTAAAACTCATTACAACCCTTCCTTATGCTTGGGTTGTTCGAAGCTTTCGATGTCCTTCTAGACAAAAGCTTCGGCGCTCATTTCAAATTGAAGCTGGCATTGAAGCTGTTGTTTAGGAGGAGAACTAAAGTTTCGCAATTCAATTAGAGGATTCAATAGTAACATTGTAAACACTAACCTGAGGTACAAATCCGTCCAATTATTTCAAAGTGAGATCTCTCAGATCATTTAAGTGACAGCAATTACTAAACAAGCTTCAGCAGTTGATTTTCATCACTACTAACTTATATATATATATATATATATATATATATATATATATATATATATCTGTGTTTATCCAGATAATTCTTCAAGAAGCAAATCTTTGTATTCGCCTTAGTAAACGGAAAAACGTGGAAAAACTTGTTCAGTCCCCTTACGTAGAACGGATTCCGCTTCTCTTCAAATCATGGAATATACACATTGGATAATAGGAATACTATCAAAAAGACGGTTGCAATGGAGCAAATTTCTTTTGTGACGAATTCATCAGCTAGGCTGTGCATTCGTGTATTTATATTAAGTGTGTGATAAAGTTCCAGAATTATTTCCGGTCAAAGGTTAAATTAATAAGATTACTATGCGTAGTAAACAGAAGATAGGCAGTAGTAATATTCTTTCGATAATTCAGGTCAAAGGTCAAATTAATAAAATTACAAATTGTAATAATCAGGAAGATCGAGTGCAGAAGACATAATATGATAATTACTGGGAAACTAGTCAGTTTGTGTAATTACGGATTAAGGACGTGGTATTCATAAAATAAAAAAGTTAAAAAAACAGCAACCAAACCTACTGATGCAGGTAGGAATTAAAAACTTAAAAATAACAGATATAAACAGAAAGGTTAGACAAGAAAGGTAGTTAGGTAATCATCATTGGTGAGACAGACTTTTCATGACGGCCACGATACGTACAATGGTTGTACGGATTTCTCTCGAGCACATACAGTGGGATTGATTTTTTGGATCACTTATGCCTCAGTTATTCCTAGATGTCTTGATTTCACTCCCTTTGATAGGTTTGATCGGATCTTCTGTATGCCTTTGAAGGACTTTTCAAATGCAGTTGAATGTCGGGAATTCACCAGATATTCTGTTACTGAACTGTTTACACCTTTGTGTTCTCTCTTCGCTGACGATGCTGGATAGTGTTCCCGAACGTGTTTTAAAAACGGATGCATGGTACGGCCAATATACTCGGCTCCACGCCTATCATATGTTGATTTGATCTTCATTTTTACTTGTCTTTTTCCCTGTTTAGGTCTAATTTTTAATGCTTTTCTTTGTGGTTGTGTGATACATTCATGATTTAATGTTAAACAATGTGATTTTGTTTGAGTGAATGAAGGCCATTCTGACCTTGGACTGTCTGCGAGAATTGTTGGTGTGAATCTTGTTGACAGAGATTGATCCTACTTTTTTGGGACTATTCTAATTGATTTTAATTACTTATTTTCTCCTTCGAAAATAACCTTGACTGCATAACTACCCAATGATATTCTTGAGGTAATGTTGAGTTTTTGCTGCTAATACAATTGTATGGAACCCCAGATTCCATCAGTGATTAATCGTCTTTTCGTTGTCTTTTAGGTAGTTTTTGACTGAACGTCTCTCAATGAATTTTCCGACAGTTGTTTAGTTGAACTCAGAGACCGAAGCACAGCGTCAAGACCACAAAGAACCATTTTTGGTCGATATATATATATATATATATGAAAGTTCCCCAGAGTGTATAGATTTCAGTCTTCCTTCCCAATGCTTAGTTATGGTCACACTTTTATTGCTTTCATCACGTGATTCCTTTTCACTGTCTTAATGCTGGAGGGGTCTTCCTCACAAAAGTGAAAGGTCGAATGTAAATGTTAGATGCTCAAAACAGGTCTGGTGATCATGCTGGCCTATCATTGGCAGCTGAAAAACTCTGATCTTAAACCTATGGTGTACATGAGTCTCAGAATCCAAATGGATAGTACTGCGTATGAACCTTGTTTAGTCATCAGCGACCACAGAGAAGCAGATCTTGACACTGTCCACTGCCTTGTGAATCAGACTTTACATCAAAGGCCCTTGATGCGACCCCTTTAGACACCCATCTGTCCGATCTGAACATTCAAACTATATTTCAGCCCCCTCCCCCATATACTATGATATTTGGCGTGAAGTATCTCTTGGCGCCCATAATTACCAAGTTTATCTTTCAATAATAATAATATACAAATATATATGAAATAATTACAGTTTACCTGGAGGACATGTCACCGATAACTGAAGGAAACAGTATTTTCCTGGTGGGAAAATAACGCTGGAGTTAGTCTCAAATCCACAAGTAGCTCCATCATAATTTATCATATGTCGATATCCCAAACCATCACAGTTGTAACGTAGAGATTTGACACCAATTTTGGCTAAAGGTTAAGACAAACATTAATGGATCTAAATGAATATTTTAGGGTTATTTTTAGATGTTATACATATTTTCTCATAATGCATCATTTTCTCACCAAAGATCCTTTAACATCATCCTGAAGGTCGACATGGTTACACTTCTCTAACAAAAACCAGACATCTAGCTTCGAACTAGTGCTGCGGATGTATAACTCAGGTTGATACTTTTGGTGTATTTGTATTCTTTATGAAGGATGGACATCAATGGCGTAGTTGTCATTGTCTTTAAAAGTCAGATTATAAGGATACAATTTGTTTCAAATTTCGGTCATAAAACAATGTCAACTTGAGAACAATTGAAAAATAGCAGGGAGTACGGGATAGCCGTGTCATCTCAATTTGGTACTTCCAAGCAGAACATTCCCGCAACTCCACCAGAGATCGAATACAAGACATGGCAAAGGTCACTGAACATTCAGCCACTACGCCCCATGAATTCTAACTTATGTCACTTCATTGTCTTTCTAGGTTATGTCTTCAGAGTTAATTTGAAGGTGAGTCTAGCTTTAAAAAATCTCTCATGGATGAATTATTTTTTCTTCCTATGATTGGTTGTATTTGAGTATTTCTTGATAGTTGTATCTACTTGCATTAGTAAAAATCTTCTTATTGATCTGACATTCGAATCTTATATATTTATAAAGATCACATTTACTGGATTGTGTAATGGAGAATTTCGATTTGTGTCACTAGTCTGTCTTTTCATCTTGTGTTTTGCATCTTATGGTGGGTATCGAACGCCGTTCAGTCATCCCAAAGAATAGCTACTGCAGAGTGCGAAAGCACCAGTGACCTTGAACTCAAGTCATTCGTTGGGCTACAGAACCTGCTTGTTATTTTATCACCAGTATGCAGGCTGTGCACAAATTGATGGGTTTTTTTTAATCCTGATATCCTTTTTAAGTACTGTTTGAATAATGTTTGGTTGATAGTACATTAGTATTACGATTAGTATTATGGCTGGAGTTGCAGTTAGGATTAGAATTAAGGTGAAGACTAGGGTCTGTAGTTTTTTAAGTAAATAAATTTATGCGAGGAGGGTTTTCCTTGTTCATGTAGATGAAACTGTTTTGATAGCTATGAGACTTGAAAACTAATAGTCAGTCTTTGTGTAACTCGTCGGTATTTTTTAGATACAACAGGTTCTGTAATCCAATGCATTGAAGGTTTATTGGCGAGCTCTCACTCCTTTCTCGTTATTCTTCACGTGTCTCCACACTTATTTGTTGAGTATTCAGTAGACACTTTCTGCCTCAACTTGATAATACACATTGTTGAATACTGACATACATGAGACTTTGTTGAACACCATATATCATTACAAAACATAAGGCACATTAGGTATATGTGATAAGTGCCATATAGATGCATATTGATAAGATGACGCTAAAAATTAAAATTAACATTTCAAGTCTATGAATGTAAAGGTAGAAGCGTTTACTTCTTAAATCTGGATTCAGTTTGCTATATAATTTGCAAATAATCTCATTGGACAACTTTTCCTCCCCCTGTCTGACCTTCGACCAATCAAAAACAATCGGAACGGTTTATTGTCAGTTGAGGTGGCCAGCTTTTAATGTAGTTAAAAATGTATAAACGTGATGCATTATTCCTTAATAAAAAAAAGTTCGCTACCATTTCTCCTATCTTCTGGCGTCACATATATATCTGCAAACAGTCACTTACGAAGAATTGTTTGAAAGTTTGAGGTCTATCCACCATGAGGATAATAATTAAAACAACTTTTGTCCCAAAGAAGTTACATTGCACGGATTTATTTGGTTTCTAAACTGAACTTCCAGCTCAGCATTTGTTTATCCAACATGGTGTAACACAACAGGTTGTTTCTAAACGGTAGCTCATATCAAATTGACCACAAACTGACATTATTTAGAGAGCCATTGGAGACAAAGCGGTACTGGACAGCTGTTTCGTCCTTGTTTGGGATTCTTCAGCACTAAGAACGGATAATCTCGAAAGGTATTGAACCTAGAATCTTCAGGTTACAAAGCGAGTTTGTTGACCATTCAGACACTGAGGTAGAATCCGATGGCCTGTCAAATCTAACTTCTATAAATTCACGATATATATCGCGACCGGCAGCCAGTGTCACCGATGAGTATTTGGCCTCATTTCCAACTTGGTTGACCCTTATAGTCACTAATTCAAGCAACTACAGCCTCTAGTAGGTCACTAGTGAGCATAAAAATGAATTTTAATCTGTTGTTGTGTACTGGTGGAGAGTCTAAAACAAGGACAAAAGTGCTATTTAATTCTTTCTGGTCTTCATTGGTCCTCTAATTGAATTCAGTTCGTGATCAATCTTGAAATCAGTGGGATCCCTGTACACCAATACTTGAAAAGTAGGTCGTATATTTTTTAGAGTTAGGAAGTGACTATTTGTTAGGGTAACACTATAAGAGGTTCATTCTTACATCTTCATACCACTACATAAGAGATTAAATCATTTCTTTGAACACTACTATTGTGCTATGCTCTTCGGCGGAGATAGAGCGTCGTGTTCAGAAGATTTAAGAGGAACCAGCCACATCATTGATTAGGACCTTATCTAGAATAGACACCCTTGAAACTTCATATCGAAATATGAGAAGGAAAAAACACCTAGACGGAGACCCGAAACAGTCTAGCTTACGAGAGTGAAGAAGTATTCACGAGAAGGGAAAACAGAATCAAAGGTGAACTGGAAAGGACATTTCCCACTGCCAAACTCATTCCTCTTTATCACACAGTATGTTTGTTAGTCTATTCAAAAGTGGATAAGTATCCTGTTCACGTCAACTCCAACTGTACTTACCAATTCACCAGCGTTTACAGCCGTAAGTACACAGGCAGGTTTAAAAGGAAAGATTCTAATAGATTTTTTGAGCATATCTCTAATAGCCTACGTCTAAAAGTCAGCGAAGTGTTCTTAAATGCAATTGTCAGACACCTAGTTGACATGAGACATACACAGGAAATTAGTCAGGCTTTCAAAATAATCAAAACACAAAGAAAAGCATGTTTGCTTCGGTTCGCAGATGCAACTGTCATCAAAAGACTTCGACCCAACCTATGCATACAGAGAGATAGTGTGACTAATCTCTCACTGACCTAGCTGTTAATGGTAATTGTTTTATTCCTATGCTTGTATGTTTTGTTCTGTCGCATAACATAGCATTCCACACAATTTGGATTTTGATTTTCCCTTACTGAGTTAAACTCACTATCACGTTTCCACATCTTGTAAATTATTCTTTGTCTATCTTATAATCTTACTTTACTATTCACTTGCACCCTCATGAACTCTCCACCATAATATGTATAAATTTTATTTTGTCTCTTGTCCATCCTGGTTTCCAAGCAAAATCTGAACTCTACCCCCTTGCTCAATGACTATATAAATAGCTGTTCTTAAAACACTTATTAATGATTGTCTAATGACATCATCTTTGAAATTATGTCGCCTATGCTTTCTGTGTATAACTTGAAGGTATTGTATAAAGCATGTTCAGAAATTTTGTAACTTATAACTGATTTATTCAGGATGTGCACAGTTGAAGAGGATCAACGAAATAAAACAAACTTGTATTATCCTGCAGATATATTCATTTTTTCTTCATTCAAACTAATAAGGGGAACCAGTTGTATGAAATTATTCATTTTAAGTAGTACGCATGGCGATAGAAATTATTTTAATGAACACGGAATCCACGGTACTGTCTTCTTCCTGTTTTAGACTTGTTGGTGAGATGTAGAATTAAATGCCCATCCTGGATCCCACTACAACACACCATTTTTTTTCCTTCACGTTCCCAGTGGAACATAGGGCCTCAAACTAGTGGCTTGAAGTCTCTGTAGCAGTGTTTGATTTTTACAGGATGGGGTTGCTAGCCTCATCCCCAACCTTTCCTCTTTACCAGCATTATTTTTGGTTTGGCGAGGTAAAGGAGTGTGTCGGCCGGGGATCGAACCCCGGACCATGTGCATGGTCGGGGAGCGTCCTGACCGCTGTGCCACCGATGCAAAATCCACCCCAGACGGAATATAGTCATGCTAACATTTGTCACACCATCGACGCATCACTACAAGTAGCGTATGTACCCCCAGAAACCAAAGCATTTCAGTACAATATAACCATGTCAACTAAAATGCGAAGATAACTTAAATAAGGCATTAAGAGGGCAAATATCGTGATAGGTTATCATTGTATTATAATTTCTTTACGATCCCCTTACAGCTGGAATGATTCACAATAATAAGTATAAAATGTATGACAGTTACTCATTCAATGCTGGATTCTTATTTCCTTACATCTCGAGCATTTTTAGCTCCTGTGCTTACGATTAAAGGATTAAATCCTATAGACTGTACTTTATACTCTATCAACAAGTTCGCCTGAAGTTGCACTGACATATACACAAGTAGAAGCAACAGAATGTCCCATACTGATGAAGAGTCCTAGACTAGGACGAAACAGCTGTCCAGTACTCCCAGGTTGTCCAATCGTTCTCTAACTAATGTCAGCTCATGATGAAATCCTGTAACCAGAATGTTCCAATATCGTTGAAAAGAACATGTCACATAGAAAACTTAAATGTGATTCATCTCAACAGAAATCCATCATCATGTCCGGTCACAAAATTATTTGGCATAACTTTAATTCAAGGTTATTAGAAAGAGGTGGTTGAAGCACTTTGGATTGATCACATGTATCCCAAACTACTGCGTGTATCATGGACTGCTTAATTAACTAAAATATGATTAGCTATTGATGGGTACTTTTGTTTTACATAACTGAGTAACCATCAAACATTTTTTTTATTATTGTGAACCATGCTAGTTGTATAGAGGTCATAAAGAAAGACCACGAAATGGTATCATCTCTCGCTAATATACGTTTTCTTAATGCCTTATTTAAAATTATCAGAGAGACTAAGTATTTCAAAAATAATATATTAAAAGAAATTTTTACACTCACTTCCTTGATTTAAATATTGACAAATAACTAAACTTGGGATTCCGTACAATTTAACAGGATCATCTGGTCCAATTAATTCAATTTGATCACCATACGGACGAGGTATTGGACGATTGTACTAGAAAATATGAAGTTTTTCAATGGAAATTAAAGGTAATTGCAAACATCACTTGTAATCACTTTAGTCTAACAACTATGGTGATATTACATTCTAATAGGTAAGTGATGTGCAGACAGATTTACAATGGATTATCCTTCACTGGAAATCGACTTCTAATCTGAAATTTAACCAATCACAATCGGCCAACGTAAAATAACACCCATTATTTTCAACATGAGCTGACATTGGTCAGAGAATAATTAGAAAACCTGGGAGTACTAGACAGCTGTTTCCTACGTCCTAGTTTGGGACTCTTCAGCGTACGCACTCACCGGGGTTCGAACCCTCTGGTTACAAGGCTAGCGAGCTCGTAGGCCATTGAGCCACTCAATGGGACCCGATCCAGTGGATCATGAATTCCGACTTCAGCCAATTCACGGCATAGCGCAGCCTCTAGCCAATGTCCTCACACCCGACCTGCTGCGCCCTACTGGTCATGACTTCTCACTAGAACCCCCCGACTCTGCGTCTCTATTTAAAACTCAGTGAATTGTGAACCATAGCACTAGCAGTGAAATTCATTATTTATGGGTAGTCAGTGTCATTCTGTGTAATTCTTCAATACTTCATCGAAGTATTACAGAAGATTACTTGCATCAGTGATTTTCATTACATAGTCACGCTAATTAGTAACTCTGAGGAGGCATCATTTCTATCCCACTTGAATATAAGCCTTTCTTCTGAGTATCACATCTGAGTAACACATCCTGGTGACTGTGTTCAAACAATTAATTTCAAGTCGAAACAAGTCTTTAGGAATACTGTTAAAGACTTAAAATCGCTAGGAACTGAGTTTAAACCTAGATGAAAATAAAATTATCAATTACTAAGGCGTAGGGACATCTACTTGACTCCATTGGCAATCCATATCTAAAAATGCAAGTCAGGGTAGAAATCAATCTAACATCACCTATTTCACATTCATACAGTTTCTAATGCTAAAATAAAACGATTCAATTACCTGGTAATACAAAGTTGTTTTGAAGTGATAAGAGAACCAGCAATTCATTTCAGTAAAAATTATTTTCAGGTGTTGGTTAGCAGTGCTGTGATTAGTTACAGGTATTGATGATGAACTGACCATTGGAAAAGTGAGAATTATTCTAGAGATACTTCGTCCATCATATATATAGCGATTTGGTAGAAGTTTAAATTCATTAGCCATTGAATCAGCTCTCAATGGCTGAATCGTCTACGACTTACCCCTGTAACCTCAGTGGATGTGCACTGATGAATAGTCTCAAACTAGGACAAAACAGTAGTCCAATACTCTCTGGTTTACTAATAGTTCTGTAGGTGGTCAGACATATAACCAGTAGATGTCATTTACGGGAAAATACTTAATCACTCAGATATATGAAATTAATTGAGTACGTTGTATGTCATGTTCATTTGACGAGAACGACACTGTTTAGGGGCCTTTCAAAGTGTTTTCTAAACTTCCTTGGGCTCATCACTTATGATTTGAGTGATTAAAGGAATTACATAGGGGAGTCGTTTGACTTCTGGACAGATTTCGTCAAAAAAGACATTAAATACTAAAACTACTAAAACTGAGGACTATTTGACAGATGTTTAGTCTTAGTTTTGAACTCTGCAGTAGTAATTTGAACTCGTGGACCACTGAATATTCGTCCATTGGCTGAGTCACAATATAATCATCAAAAAAAACCTGCTGGCCATGGGTTCACTCCATCATATGGCAATCAGTATTCACTGATGAAGAACCTCAGACAAAAGCGAGACGTCTATCCAATGCTTCATTATTTTCTGACATCGTCTAAAGAGTGTTATATGATAGTCTCTTTAACCTAGTAGTTTACGAGTCTCTTGCGCTAACGAACTTCCTAACTAGTAGATTTGCGAGCCAAATGTTCTAATCACTATTCGTAAAGACAACCACCACGACTAGATACCCCTGACACGTGACTTAAAGATGAAAGCAAGAAGATAGGCTGTTGATTCGAGACAGTGAAAGCTTAGATAACAATTCCTTACTCCAGAATTTGCTTTCTAGTTATAAATATGTAAATAAAAGTTCCTTTTACTTCACTACTTACTTGAACCAATGCCAATTTAGTGTCACCAGCATAAAATGTTGGACAAATTGGACCATTTTGAATGACAGCAAATGGTGGAGTAATTCCAAGCGGAGCTTGATAGTTTGACTTATCTATTGGTGGCATGGATTCATCGTCTACTTCTGTTAAATTTGCTGGTGCATTCGATGAACAGCACAATGTCAAACGATAGCCAACTTGTATAAAATTGATTTCATTCTGTCGTAAGCCTGTTAATGCGATGATTGATAAAAACAGAAGATTTGTAATACAAATTAAATTGTGAATAGAGGTCGCTTGGTTTTATCTGAGCTTTGGTTTTTTCTTTGATCTTGAGAAGTGTTACATTCTCAGAGATTCAAACAATCATCGCTCTAGTTCTGTGGGTAGACATTTTCACAATGAGTTAATCAAATCCCAAGAAAATCCCTGATGAACTGGTGTGGATGTGTGCTGACTGGTCATTTTGCAGAAAGTAACCAATCTCAAGGCATATAGATCCTGATGAATTCGACTCGTTTCAGTGTCTGGTGTATTTGCCGAACGACACGACTAGCCACTGCAACAAATTCTATTACATCATTTATTTTAACTCTCAATGCAAGGTCGGATGAATTTATATACGTATTGTTTTGACGCCTTAGTGTCTTAATTTTTTATGTATGTATTTCAATATATATTAACAAGTATGAGCATGTTAATTGGGCTCTCCTGGCTTTGTTTCTACAGAAAATAGTAACATAATCTTGTGGTGGGAGCTGTCTGCTAACAAAAATTGGTAGACAGCAATTTACGTCAATGTTTACGTTCCAAATCTTGGTCATGAGAAAAAACAAGAACAAAGACTAACTCACTAGCCAATCACAACAGACTTAACGTGTGCAAACACTATTAGCAGATATATCAACGGACTGTATAAGAAACGACAACAAAGATATGACAGAATAACCTTCAGCAGGAAAACAACCAATCAGAAGACCTTACCTCTCTGCTAACAATAACGAATAATAATGTATAGAAAAATCTGTAAATATCTGTTGATTTTCTCAATAAACGATCATGTTGCCTGGCTCTTGTCTTCTGTCGTTATAGTCTGATAGGATGAGGCTGAAACTGATTAGTTTATATATGATATATTTTCGTTTAAATGGAGTCATCTAGTATAGCCTAATGTAAGTCATAACTTTTGTTATTTTCGTGGCTCTGTGAATGAGAAAAAACTGAGGTAGAAAAGCTTTTTGTTGGTTATATCCACTTACTAATATAATCAGCCATATCGCTATGGTAATAACCCCAAAATATTTTATGAATGGTTTCTAAATGCTGCGTTTAAACAAAGTGCTTATTGTATGGACAGCTGCTACACAAGACATGCATACTGAACAGCTTAAACAGTTTGACCCAGTTGAAAGAAGTAAACTGATTTGGAGTCGGCCGAATTCAAGCTGCCTCTTCGAATCAATAGATGAAGACCAATTCACAATCTGCAAATTATATGGTTCATGGTAATAGGTTACCATACTTGCCTTTAGCAATAAAAATGGGACCTACAGTATACAAATGATAGTCGAGAAAGCTAACGATAAAACTTGATGCTATATTCTACTTATTGACTAATTTAAGTAGCTTGAAATCACTCATGTCAATTAGTAGTGCTTTCTTTACTTAAGTTGAAATTTACATGAAAAAGTGGTTGACTGTATTGCATATCTCCGCTAATTGTAGCGTAACAGTCCGTAGGTTTGGTGGTTAAATGACAAGTTACATTTTTTAGGTGCTTCCTAAATGAAATGTTGCATTAAACATTTTTTTCTGACGTAGATTTTGTTGGTGGCACTATACTCTTGAGCTGTTACATTTGCGGCCCTTTATCAGCAAATGTCGCCTGATATTGTTATCTGAGCGATAGAACTGGTTAAATCATTCGGTAAGTTCAAAAGTATGACGTATATTTTATTAGATTATCATGAGATCATACCGGTAAATTTAGCGTATTTATTAAAACCCGACAACACACTCACAGAACAAATCGCGTGGTGCCACTTTCAAAAAAGGGTATGCCATATAATCGCGCCAAAAATAAATGAATAAAAACTTAAAAGTGAAAAATGAGATTTTTACCTTGTGGACACTTATAATTATAACTTTTGTCTTTATCATTTTCACTGAAACTATTTGATATTGAGGTATCAAATGTATTATCTGATATCATGCAATAATTTCCTATCGGTAGTTGATTTTTAACTGATATAAAATCAGCTTTATATCGACTTGTAGACCAGCAAAGACTGACACTTGTACCAAGAATGAAGACAACACGTCGAGAGATTTGAGTCTTTTTAAAGGCAATTGGACATGTTGGTTCATTGACTAGTAAAGCGAGTCGACTAACTAAATTTAACAACAACAACGAAAAAATTATGAAATTTTAGAAAGAAGCAATAACAATGATGAAAGCATCAGAAAGAATGGACTAATCAATAACTTTAACAGTAACAATGAGACAAAAATCGGTCGAAGTCAGACGGTAAAATGCTATGCCTTTACATCGAGTTTTACACTTGTCAGGATTCTCTCATACGTAGCATCTGCAATCGCCAGGATATTCTAATTCCCTGTAAACATCTAACGTCAGAATAAACTTCATTCATAGCACAACTTAAACAAATTTGTTTCACTCTATGCTTCAGTGATACGCATTAGTGATGCCATGAGTGTTTTTTTTTCCTTCACGTTCCCAGTGGAACATAGGGCCTCAAACTAGTGGCTTGAAGTTTCTGTAACAGTGTTTGATTTTTACAGGATGGGGTTGCTAGCCTCATCCCCAACCTTTCCTCTTTACCAGTATTATTTCTGGCTTGGCGAGGTAAAGGAGTGTGTCGGCCGGGGATTGAACCCCGGACCATGAGTGTTGTTTAGCATTATTTAATGATTCATAAATTAAGGTCAGTTTCAATTGAATAATTTAAGTCTCTACCTTGCTGACGAGTGTCAAACTAACACAAAACCTAGGTCCAAGGCTTTCTGCTGATTGCCTCCAACCATCTAATGTCATTAGGTCTCTACCTTTTTCGCTTACGCGTGCCCGCGGAGATTCAAAATCACCTAATTCACTAATTACTTTATTCAAACATAAAATTACGTAAAAAACTTTACTCAACAATTTGAACATGCGCGAAAATTCTACCTCAACAGATTTTCTTGACCAGTTCACTTTACGTTTACTGTTCAAAAGTATAACAGTAACTGATTCCTGAAAAAAGTTTGAAAAACTGCATAAATTTGTGGAAAAAACTTTCGATTCCTAGTTCAATGTTCAATTTTTTTGCGTCTGAATAGCTTTGTGTCATTATGACCTGTTGCATACCTGTCACCTGGTTTTATCTTAGTTTACCTGTTGTTTTCGTGTATTCAAGCATTTTTAACTCTCTGAGTGGATATTGATACATTGAAATTACCAGTGAATTTGGCGTCATTCCAAGGTCACTTGGAATGTAAATAAGTAGTCAGCACTGTTATCCTCCTTCTTGACCGTTGTTTGAGGCAATGGAACGTCACTTGACGACGGATAGCATTCATTCTTATTTTCTAGCTTCTGTGGTAGTGTTCTTGTTATTATTGTGGGTTTTTACGTCTCAATAAGTAATCAGAGCAATTTTCGTCAACGAATAAGGTGGGTGATGTTATTTGATGGATGGTGAATAGCAGTCGACTTCAGTGTGTGGATTTCGTCCTATTTGGGCTTCTTCACTTCCACGCATCTGCCACATTAGTGAGTGACAGTTATCACACTGTGCGTCGGTGGCACAGTGGTTAGGACACTCGCCGACCTGATATCTATGGTCGGCCTGCAAAATTTGGGCTACCGATATCCATGCTGAAAATTCCATACTTGTACCAAAAATACAGTGTGGAATCAAGCTGCAAATAAAAAAAACCAAATACCCATCACCTCAAATGCCAAAAGTGTAAACTACTGAACTACTGGAAACTCCATCACTGACAGGAGAGCGGACATAGGTACTGTTTAATTTGGAATGATACGAAACGTGTTTGCTGGATTCTACAACAAATGACTAATGAACAGGCTATTTCGATGACTTAATAGTCCTGGTTATATCATAGTTTCTGTTTGAGGAATCTATGACACGCATCAGATCGGTGTATAGACTTCAAAAATTATAAATAGTAAGCTTTAAGTGGCATACTATTCATCAAATACAGTTCAAAATGAAAAATCTCCATATTGAAATCAAAACAAGGTTTTGAGCGAACAGTTGTTTTCGATAACTTCTTCTTCAGGCTCTACAGTTATAAATTCATGAATAATAAAGTACATATAGCCAATAAAGGCAAATGAAAATCATATCAGAAACTGTATTGCGGTGCATGTGTAAGTTGAGATGATAGTCCATTAGTTAACATAGTCAATCAAATGTGTAGTATAGGGTGTATAGTCAGACAAAATGTGATGAAGTGTGAATGAACAATTGGGTGATATAGTGCTCAAATAAAGTATAATTATCAAATGAATTGTAGTCAAGATTTGACAGAATAGTTCTAAAATATTTGGGCACCGAGTGAGAAGTATACATTTGTAAAAAAAAATTATATTTGTAAAATCTCAGTGATATTGAAATGAGTAGTTCCAACGTTTCGTTCGGCAATCTGGCCCGAACTTCTTCAGGGAAATTAATCGAAATTAGGATGACAGAGGTTTATATATAAAAGGAACATCTCTTATTTTTCAAAACTTTGTCCGATCATGAGTCATAAAACAAGTATTGCAATCGAATTAAATTAACAAAAAACTATGTAATTGGCACAATCATCGTGTTTCCACTCTCCGTTTTCTGCAACAGAATGCGTATCCTAAATCCCTAGCTGTCCAGTTAACTGACAACTCCAGTAGGTGGAATAAATCAGTTCAATTTTCAGAAAGAAGACAAAGTAATAAGTTTGACAGGGTGCTTCAACTAAACTCTAATCCTAAACATCATAATTTTGAAAATACGTCTAATCATACAATTCTAGATACTAACAGTTTGAACAGACATGAAGGTGTGATGTTAGCTGACGCATAGGAAATCCTGATTAATAAATAGGAATGGATATGTATCGCTAACTAATAATACTTGGTCAAAGTTCCTGACTGTCTATATCTACTTATGGAGACGTTAAGACATTGTTCTACAACTGTTTATTCGCACACACACATACACACTGTGTTTAAAGTGTTTAACAAAGATAGATCAATATTTGTAAGCCTGAGGTCAAATTTTGATCACGACTCATACAATTTTGTTTATTATACTTGTTAATATTTGTTTTATGAATCATGATCGGATAAAGTTTTTAAAAATAAGAGATGTTCCTTTTATATATAAACCTCAGTTATGCCAATTTCCCTGAAGAAGTTCGGGCCAGATTGCCGAACGAAACGTTGGAATTACTCATTCCAATATCAATGAGATTTTACAAATATATTTTTTTTACAAAACTGTAATTATATTTCAATAGTTTACACACAATGATAAGTTTTGTTATTGGTAATATTTCGAGCAAAATTACTGCCCGTGTTCACACCACTGTTGGAATTATACTTTATTTGATCTAATCCACAATGCTCAAACTTTTTACTGATATGATATAGTGCCATTTTATAGTCAACGGAATACAAGTGTCATTGGGGTGAAAGAAATGCGATAATCACAAAATACATATAAATATACATTAACAAAGGGGACACTGAATGTCAGGGCTGACCGATAATGTCTAATAATAAAATAAAGAGGCTAAATTGTAATAAGATACAACAGAATTGGTAGGCTTAGTATAAAATCGCAAAGGTAGGCAAAAATTAAGGGTAACAATGAGGTGAAATAAACTGGGTGGAGAAATGGATAATAAAGACATGATATCACAAAATAATAATAGTACGAAAAATTATGATCCTGGTGACCTTATAGTGGGCAAGGGTAGACAAGGAGAGTGAATAAGTTTTTTCTGTACACATAGGTCTGGTCTTTCTCTATTAATCTCTAAATCCTCGGCTATGGCTAGGAGGAGTAATCGTGTGCCTTTGGGGAGATTTTTCGGTACTTGATACACAACTGTAATTGACTCATCTACTTTGATGCTGTGTTCGCTATCCACTAGATGAGACAGAATTGCACTATTTAATGATTTGGTTGCTCTTTTCCCAAGCCAAACAGGAATATGTTCACGAATGCGTAAAGATAAATTCCTTTGAGTACGACCTATATAACTAGCTCCACAGGAGCAGTTGAATTTATATACACACATTGATGTCGCCATTTTGGGCAATCTATCTTTAATGCACAGTGTCAATATCGGTTTGGTTGAGAAACTGGCATGCAGTTTTGCTGCATTAAAAGTTCTTTCAATTGATCTCATTAATCTACGGTTTAATATATCGCTGGCTATATCGCCTTTGAATTGTACATTTAGGTAAAGCTATTTCTTACTTACTGTGTCTCGCTTAGTTTTATGTGTAGTTTCGTAGATATTCTTCTTTACAAAGTTGTTAGGATAGTCGTTTTGTAGCAAGGCGTTTGTAAGATTTCTTATTTCATCTTCAATACAATGCAATATACAATTCAAAATGATCAGACTTGTATAAAAAATTGCTGGAAAATGTGTGAGAAACTAAACTTAACAGATGTTGGATTCAGGCATTTTTACTGCTAATACTTTGAATGTTGGGAAAGCCAGATATTATTTCTAGTTAAAGAAACAAGCGGATAGATAAGTTAATGTATTGCGTAACATGAATCTTTGGTTCCATGTTAGATAAGTTAATTTGATGTAAAACACACTGACATCGTGTTAATAACGGAATAATGTTTCCAGTACATGGTCAAATTATACAGTTTTACCGTCACCTATCCTCAATACATTCTTCAATATATCCAAGTTTTCCGTTATTTCTATTCCATATGAACAACGATTCAGCGATTAACCTTTTTCTCCACCCGACTATGTGACTTAATATTTTTACACCCACTCAACCCTGTTATGTGATTGTATGCAATTGAAAGCGTTCGATCTTAAGGTTGAGAAAGTTTATCTCTGAGTGAGTTGGTTGGTATGAGTGCCGCCCTAATTCTAACCCTGTTAATAATCACATGTAGGGTTTCTGATGTGTTATCTGTACATGGCAGTATTATTGAGGCTGTATATTCCATATTTCTTACATTATTTCATTATTTAGATTACAACTCTTATTTTGCACAGGCACCTTGAAAATTTTAGCTGGCATCATGGCAACACATACACTATCATCATTTCTTTTTCACGTTTTCTTCTCATGTTACCGCCGGACCTCGGACTGGTAACTTCCCAGTGATGCCTAGAACGTAATGTCATTTAACCATCTTCTCAGCAAATATCCAGTCCATCTCCATTTCCATCTTCATATACGTTCAGCAATGGGGTTTTACTTGCTGACTGACTGACATAGTTTCATGTTGCCTACCTTCCATATCTATTCGATCTTTTGTGTATAGTGAAGACAGGTCTTTGCAGATGTCTGCAGTAGCCTGTTGGAAATGCCTTACCACACAAAATCTCTGAGTCTCTGAATGACTCTACATTAGTGTTTAAACTTTGCATCTTGTTCTTTTTGGTTGAGGGTATGAGATTTTCATACAAATTAAAGGTTCAGTGAAGCCTGCCCTGCCTTCAAATCTTTTTTTCATTCCTTTACGACCCCATCGGAACATAAGGCTTCAAGCTAAAGCTCTGAAGTTTCGATAGCACTGGTATTTATTTTTACGAGAAGCAAAACTTTGGCTTAGAAATGCTACTTTAAGGAATGTGATACTTACCTCTAGTTTCAGTATTCGGTAGAATCTCCGATTTGGCTTCCCGATATTCACAACTTATTTCTGGAAATAAATTTTGTAGGACATCACCAAGTGTCTGATCAGGGATAACATTGCGAAACAGTGGTGCAATTAATCTGTTTGTCCCCTCGACTGGTGGACATTGATGAATTGAGACGAATAATGGTGGTGTCGAAAAGGTAGACGATGGTGTAGGCAGAATTTCAGATGTGTATAACATGGATGAGGTTGATGAAGATGAGTTTGCGTTTGTCGTCTCCAGTGTACTGTCATCTGAATAAATATCATCATCTGAACGCTTCCATCGTGTTATCCATTTACGACGACGTGGGGGAAAGAATCCACCAACTGTTATTCTTCGTCTGGGTTTTAAATAAAACCAATCATCAGCATCAGTTGTATACGATGATAATGTAGAATCTTGTGTACGTGATTCAGATGTTTCTTTCATTATATTACTATTACTTAAACTGTCATAATCGCCTTTATGCTTTGTTATCATTTCTACAGATATATATGGATTTTGTGTAGAATTACTCCAAAATTCTGGTTGTACACAGCATGTTATAATCTGTAAAATATTATCAAATGTTGGCCGCCAAGCTGTTGGGCCAGAAACGTGACTAATAAACTCTAAACTTGGCTGAAATCGTCTAGTACGAATAAAACCTAAATGGAAAAAGACAAGAAAAGTGGGCGGGGGCGAATTAACATATTACTTTCGTTATCGTGAAGTTAAACTGTAAGACCCTAAATAAATGTATGCATCAGTGACCTCAATCATGCCCACCAACACTAAGCTGAAAGTGTTGTAGTTCAAAAATCAAGTAAAATATTAATGATGAGTGCTGTTCAGAAATTAAGCAGTTAATTTCATCAGGAAGCAATCATCCAGTACTCTCCTGATGTAAGCTTAAATGGAAGAACTCGATAATGCACTTGTTGAAGTACTTTGCATATTCAGTGATGATCTGGAGCTATTGATGGTTATACAGGTGATGGAATAATTATTTGGAATATCCCTCTTGAATGATACAGGTACAATATTCATACCTATTTGGGCGTTTCAGCTAACTCTGTAACTTCATGCAATTCTTCCCATTAATAAACTTGAACAAAGCAAAAACAACAATTGTACCAGGATAATATGAGCTCATCTTTTATTATTTCGAGGATTCTTCTCAACTGGTTACAATCTGAACCTTAAAAAGTATGAATTACATTAAGGATATGAACATACTTTTCCACGATCACAAGGAGTAATTGGTAGGAATTAAAAGTAACATTAGTCCGGAATGATTTAACTGATTAGGAGTTACAAACACTGACTATTTATAGAATAATTAGGCAATTAGGCTTGGAAACAAAAAAACAGGGTTGCGTTTATATGTGTGTGTATAGAAACAATGTTTAGCTAGAAAGAACATAACAAAAAAAGTAGATTACGTAACTAAAGAAAACGTCTTATCTAATAGCCAATAGAAAAAAGGAAGAAAAGAAACAAGGTAGGGTGTCATGTTTAGATGAGAGAGTAGAGTTTTCTAAACATGGAAAAAGGTGACTCATGAAAGTTGTATATAAATATACATATTTTTTTATCACCAGGACAGTGCAAGATTCACCACTGTCTCTTTCTGTGTACACAGGTTTAGTTTAAGTCGTTTGATGGCAATTGCTTCAGTAAAGCGTAGCTAGCTAGGTTTATTTTGCTTGTTGATTATTTTGAACGACTTCAGGTTGTCTACAATATGAGCAGTGTCCGATAGATGAAGAGCAATCGCACTGTTTAATTCTTGTGGACCTTTCAGTCTCAGGTGTTTTGGTATGTGTTCATAAATGCGGACACTAATCCTTCTCTCTGTTCTTCCAATGTATGTGCTTTGGCACGTACATGTAAATTGGTAGACACAGTTGGAGGTAACATGAGGTGGGTATTTGTCCACTTTTGATTGTCTCAAACAACTAGTTGTTTGATAAAGACGTACAAGCTTGGCGGCTGGATATGTTCTTTTCAGGGCAGCGTTCAGTCTGCATCTTATTCTACTAGCAATATCATCACCTTTGAATGCAAGCTGCAGAAAGATAGGCTTTTTATCTACTGTACCTCTTTTCCCTTTTTCAACATTGCGTCTCCCGTACTTCTCGATGAACTTTTGTGGGTAACCGTTGTCGCGTAGGCATTTCTCCACAATGGATAGCTCTTCCTCAATCTTTTCTTCTGAACACAGTTTCCTCACACTATCAAATAATGTTCTCACCAATCCCTTTTTGTAACTTATAGGGTAGAAGCTTTTGAAGTTAAGATAAACCACCCTCCAGGTCTCTTTTCTGTGTATATATCTTATGATTTTGCCGTCTTCATCTCGTTGGATACCCAAGTCCAGAAAATGGAACTTCTCTTTTTCATACTCCATTGTGAACTTAATATTAGAGTGGGCGCTGTTGAAGACTTCTAGTACTTCAGATACATCATTGAAAGAATTACAAATAACAGAAGTGTCATCGACATACCTGCTATAGAAGTTTGTCTGACTGATTACGGATTTTAACCTTGTTCGTTCTTGACTACCCATAAAAATGTCTGCCGGAATCGGACCCAGGGGGCTTCCCATGGCGACTCCGTCAAATTGGCGGTATAAAGTGTTGTTGAACTGGAACTGTACGTATTTGGTACACTCTGTAACTATTAAACTTCTTTCTTCTGGACTGTATGTGATTGTTCTGACGTTTTCACATTTTATGTTAACTTCATCCTTAATATTACTGCCTTATCTCTAATTTTAATGCTTCCCTTTTGGCTGTGCGATACACTGACTATGCGTTGTTCTACGATGTGATTTTTTGTTTGAGTGAATTGAAGATCATTCTGACACTGGACTGTCTGTAGGGGATTGTTAGTGTGAGATTCTCGTGGACAGAGTTTCGACCTCACCTTGTTTGGAATATTCTATCTGGTTCTAAGACATTTCTTAAGGTTTAATGCTGGTTAACCAATATTTTTCTTCACCACTTGTTTTGCGCTAAAAAAAAACTATTTAGTCAGTATAGCTGCCTAACGACACTACTGGGGTAATTTTGAGTTTTCGATGTTATTATTATTGTTGAAAAGAACCCTAGATTTCCACCTTAAATAACCGTCTTTTTGCTGTATTTGGAGAGTTCTGTGACTATGAGTCTCTCAAATAAGATGCAGACATCGGTTCCCTGCGTTCAGACTACAAAAAGTTGGTTTGGATAGTTACAATACCTTCAGTATTTTCTAGGTTAGCAAGAGTTAAGGGTGGTTTGTTGATGACCGAGTGTAGGAATTTTACAATAGTAAATTATATGAGATCACAAGCGCACATCCATTCAGCACCTGCCTGATGATCCCCTCCATAGGCTTAACATCAGAGTCATATTTGTTTGTCACTCATCTTCACTGATATGTAGTGTATTAAATTTTGCATAAAACCACATACTACTGATTGGTTAAGACGAGTAGTTGTGTTCCACTCATGTCAGTCAGTAGTACTTGCAAGTCGGATGGCTGTTTCTCCCGTTTCGGATCAAGCTCACCAGCTGTGTACCCGGTACGACTCAGCTCAGAAAGCCGAATAATTTGAAACCACCTGATTTCTGGCTGGATGATTGGGCGAACCAAGTAGTGTGTTCAACTTTTATTGCTTACGTTAATTGGCAATACAGGCTGTTTGAAAATTCTCCTAGGAGGCATGCAAAAGATCGTAAAGCATTTAGCTGAAATCTCAGTGAGAAATTAAAAGTTAATCAGCGTGCAAAGCTCTATACCCCACTAATCAGAAAAAATAGCAGTAGTAAGCTCGTTATGCTCAAAGATTCGAAAAATTTACTCCGAAATTAAGTTGGCGAAAAAATTATTATCTCTAACCAGCATATTATTAGAAAATGTGAATTCAGTTGTTTAAAACAATTAGTTCCTTTTTTGAATTTAGACAAAGCAATAAGACGAAGTAATTTGTCTGAACTCTGTAATGTCTCCGTGCAACACATTTCGAATAATCTTATCCAGCACACACGGACTTGTCATAGGAATATGTATGAAATTAATAAAGAGTTAAGAGGTGAGAAAATAAACTACTTAGGTCAAGTTAAAAGGACCTATTGAAGGTCAAAATAACAATGATGATCAGTAAACCAAATAGCAGGGGTAAGAGTACATCTACCGGGGCTGGTATCAAAACAAAGTTTAGCAAGGAAGGTTTAGTGTGATGACGAATTGTTGCTTTGAACGCATTAACGTGTCACCTCAATTTTAAATCGAATGAATGAAGTTCAGAATAGCATATCACTTACATCTGTAGAAGAGGAAGATAACTATTTATCTTTCCTAGACATATTGCTTAGTCGACGGCTTGACGGGTCAATAAAACGATCTATTTATAGAAAATCATAGAGACAGGACATAAGATTGACGTCAGCACATCTTTCAAACTTATCTGTAAGACGTGTTTGGGGCGTATCCTAAAGTTTGTGGAAGTCCTAGCAATTAGAAAGTTTAGGCCACCTTTATGCGTTCAAAGCAACAATTCGTCATCACACTAAACCTTCCTTGCTAAACTTTGTTTTGATACCAGCCCCGGTAGATGTACTCTTACCCCTGCTATTTGGTTTACTGATCATCATTGTTATTTTGACCTTCAATAGGTCCTTTTAACTTGACCTAAGTAGTTTATTTTCTCACCTCTTAACTCTTTATTAATTTCATACATATTCCTATGACAAGTCCGTGTGTGCTGGATAAGATTATTCGAAATGTGTTGCACGGAGACATTACAGAGTTCAGACAAATTACTTCGTCTTATTGCTTTATCTGAATTCACTTGTATTTATTGAGCACAAAGTGATGCTCAGAATTTCACCACAGAAGGTTATCACTGTCCGTAGCGGAATTCTTCTCATCATGAAACTGAAGTTCATATGTGACACTGAGTCAAAAATCCTTAAAATTTATCTTGCCAAATAATGAATTAATGGGCATATCTTGTGATATTTCCAACTTTCTAGAGAAGTCTTTTCAGATACGTATCTTGACAGTAACACTCTTCAGCAGACAATCACTACAAATATAATTTAAGGAAAAGGTATCGCTTCTGATTGAGTCATTGTGTGTATATCACTTCACTTGTGTTATACGGAGCAAAGTCTAACAGGTATTCACGAAGTCGATTCTCTAAGCGTATTCCAGACCACTGTCCAGGCTAGCTAGATTGATGAGAAAAGAAGAACATCATTAATTCTATCCTTGAAAACCGTGTCATTCACAAGTAAGTGGAATTTCTGAATGACTTATTTATTCACAGACTTGTTGGTCCCCAGTATCACAAAAGCATACTTCAAGTACTCAGATTTATGTGCAGCTCAATTACCGATTGTTTAGTACTTAAAAACTGACGTCTGTTTCTAAAAGCGATTTATAAACCGCTTTGACTTACCATGACCACAGTTGTAGACTTTATTATTATTGGAAAGCATGACACTAGTTGAGGGAATGTTCACAAGCCGATATCAGTTAGAGTACTAGTGGGAAACCTAGAAGTACTCGAAAGTTGTTCTGTCCTAGTTTGAAACTCTTCAGCAGTACGCATCCACTGGGGTAAGTACTTAAGAACTACCGGTGAGCTCGTAGACCATTCAGCCACTGGGAATCGACTGAAACTACATTCTTCGATAAAGTTTTCTTACATTCTATGCTTATGGCTTCCTCTGAACCTCTCGAATAAAATTGGCTAATTCGATTCTATAAACCAAGTCCATTTCATTCAAAATATGTTCAAAGCTACAAGCTTCTTCCTTCAGTTTTCAAATAAAATCTTCAGTGTACTCGTTCTAGGATTTCGCAGTATCCTAAATTTTTTCACGAGGGTGATAATTTGCAGGAGCTCACAGACTTAGAAAATACTGACGTGGGGAACAGCATGTACTTTAGCATTGTTCGAAGAACTTCAGACAAGTCCATTCTTTTGATATCCTTCAATGCATGATCATCCGGTACCTTGAAAGATTGAGTAGAGAGACGTTTCTTTAAAATCCTCGAACAGTTCTTCTCATTAATAAACTTGAACAAGGCAGAGACGACAAATGTAACATCTTTCGGACACTTGTCATGCTGTAGACAGTCTGAAGGTATTCAAAATAATCAACAGGCGAAAGAAACCTAGTATGATACGTTCCAGTGAGGCAATCGCCATCAGACAATTAAAACCAGATCTATGTGTGCACTAAGAGACAGTGGTGAGTCTTGCACTACACTGGCGATAACAAAGTATGCTTATTTATTACGTCATGTTTTGTCTTGTTTAGAGAATATTATTGTCTCATCTAGATATAACTCACCCCACCTCCCTTCCTTGGAATTCTATGAAAACATAATTTCCATAGTTTTGTAGTTAGACCTTGTTTCTATCCAAAATGTTTTTTCAACTCTGCCTTTTTGTTTCCGAGCATGTTCATCCAGTCATTGTATAAATATTCGATGCTTTTAACCCCCCCTAATTATTCAACAACTGACATCACTGAGGACTAGCGTTTCTCTTAGCTTCTCCCAATTACTCCTTGTCATGGCGAAAAGAATAAGTTCGAATTCCTAATGTAATTTTTGCTTTTGTATCGTTCAGAATGTGGTTAGTTGAAAAGAATCCTCGAAATAGCGAAAGAAGTGCTCATATTATCAGTCTGGTTCATTTATTGTTCTTCCTTTGCTTAAATTTATCAGTATTTAATCGATTCCTTAGATCCTTTGCTGGATGTGAATACTGTTGTAAGTACAGTGGCTTCCATAGGTGATTTACCAGTTAGTAAGTTTTCTATACTATTTTTTTTTTCATACATCGACAACAGAATTTCTTGACACAAAAATCTAGTGTGACCGCAATATCTTTTCAAGGGATATTTTGATAACCACGATATCTGATTATATGTCATATATGCTACAGCACAAAGTCAAAAGATAAAAGACAGATGTAAATTTCTATCAAAAAGAGTTGCTCTGTTATCAAAATTATCTCCACTTACCTGAAGGGCAGTAGGTTGTTTTCCCAACTAGGAATAAACAGAAATGATTGAATTTATGCAGATGTGTTTCACGATGTCGTTGATAAATAAATCCATGCGGTGCTACACAATACTGAACTTCAACAACTGCAGATGACTCTAATTTGACAAGTTGTTTTTGCAGCACAAAGTTAGTCATACACTGACTACCATTAATAAAGATTGGATAGCCAAGGATACCGGGATCAGCTTTAAAAATAGGTGAAAACATTTGATGAAAACTTTTGATAGCTACTCATGAGTAGTTAAAATAAATCGCGTAAATATTTTTTCCTCAGGGCTGATCTGTTTATTAGACTTTTAGGAAGTCACAAATTCTCACTGTTAGTATTAATAACTGAGTGTAATTGTGCAACTGAGAAATCCCCAGTCACCGAGATGATCAAAGATAGTGTAGTTGTTATAAGGAATGAAGTCAATTCGTCAGATTTACATTCAGATCAGTCCTAGTCTGAATCTGTAAATTGCCGATTAGAATAAGTGGTAGGTAACCAATTACCTTAAACAGTAGTCCCTAATAGCCAGGTTGTAGTAAACTAGTCAGGACGATTAGACTAACAAATTCAGTGCAAGCAAACACACCACAAAGAAGTCTCTAATTAACCACAGCCACGGCCCTCAAGAAAGGTGCAGATTTCTTCTACAAACTCATTTCACATTGAAGTTAGCCTTGAAAACAGTATCAATAAAACAACTACCTGAGAGAAAATAGAACAAAACTAAAAATTATTTAGTTATCAAGAGTTTATTCATAGTGGTTTGATTTGTTTCATATTTGATTACGCATTGATATCAGTTAAATAGCAGTTATAAACCACCGAGGAATAGTAGACAGCAATTTTGTCCAGGTGTTCATGCTAAAATCACGAAATGGTGAAAGTTAAAAGTCACGGACTGGCCAGTGAGCCAGGTCTCATTGTCTGAATGGTCTGCAAACTTCCCTTGTAACCAGAAGGTCCTAGGTCTGAGAGCCAATGGGTGCCTACTACCGATGAGTTGCATACTAGGCTGATGAAACACCTGTCCAGCACTTCCTGGTGGTTTTCGGTAGTTCCCTAACTGATATCAATCCATGATCCGCTTTGGAAAGGAGAGTGTTTACAGGCAGTCGTATTCCAACAAAATGAAAGTATAATCATATGCTTACAATGTATCCTAAGTACTTCGTTTTCAGTGTTTAGATGGCTCATATGTGGGAACTTTAGAAAAGTGCCGAACTACGTCGAAATACCTCTCTTGAATGTCTAATCACAAGGTCTTAGTTGTTGGTCATCATGAACTGACTGACAAACTGCACTTTCAGCAAACAACTTCGCATTAAATTTCATCAATACAAGTTGCAAAGTAGGTGTAATTCACGTGCATTTACGAAAGACAGAAGAATTTTTGGAGGATAATTCGGATTCAATAAATATGAGAAATCACAAAGAGTGGATATATTTGTGATAGTAAAAAAGATTTCAAGCCATGTCATCAATGGTTCCTAGTCAGTGATTCATAATGCATTCAGGTTCCAAACCAAGCAGTTTACATCTGATCATATGCCCCAGACAAAAAGTCAGTGATTTCATGGAGTGACGCTGGGTTCTGTTCTGACCTCCACTAAATAAATCGCATAACGACGCTATGTCTTGGCATGTGTCAGAAAAGTCATGGCAGTCTCGATCAATGCAAGATTATTGATATCTGATCATGGACTGCAAATACTTCAAAAGCTGGATATGATACTCTTACATTGGCCTACTCGGCATGTATCCGATCCATCTCCATTTTCTTATAGATATTTATCGTTCAAAAATAAGTTCCAGATTAACATCTCCAATGTGAAGTCACTGCTACTATACAGATCAAAGACTTAGCCAGCGTTTCATAAAGAGCATCTCAAACAAACTACAGACCTTCATTAACAGCTGTCTTTGCTCAATACTTCGCTCAGGATCAGATGGCCGGCCAGAAAAGATCAGCAACAGGGATCTCTGGCGATGGGTGAACCAACCAGGAACCGATTGTGAAACAAATAGGCAGGAACAAATGGAGATGGATTGACCATACTCTGAGGAAACCATCAAGTGACATCATACGCCAGGGTCTCGAGTAGAATCCGAATGGGAAGTGGCGAGTTGGTCGTCAGTGCAAGGGTGACTTGAAGGAGGTCATGTGAAAAGGAGATGAAAGCATGTCGGCAGACTTGGAGCGGGGTGAAAAAGTTGGCAGAAAACAGAAGGCAATGGAGACACGCAGCTGAATCTCTATGTTCCTCTAGGAATTAAATGAAATAATAATAATAAATTCTTGGTCAATTCATTCCAAGAATTTCTTGTTGGCAATTCTTTCTGGTCTACAATCTGATCTTCAGTATGGAGCTAGAGAAGGCACCTGTTGATAAAGGTCTGCGGTAGCCTGTTAAAAATGCTCTTCCTAAAGCGTATGACTTAACATTGGTGCTGAAAATCTGAATTTTGTTTTATACTCTGAGTGCAAAGGATCTTCAAACTGACTTAAAAGTGATGAATATCTGCTTTACCTTTCCGATTCTGGTTTTGACATCGTCATTCATCCAGTCGTCCATAGCTCGAACGATATTGCCAAACTAGGTAAGTGAAAAAAGTGAGTCTTTCTAATGTATTCCCTTGATAGTGATTGGTGCATTTTGTTTTACATTAAGTATCGCCTATAGATCTTCGAGTTATGTGTAACACTGAACATAGTTGAAGCTTATTCTCCACATCAAAAGTATCTCCTTTTCAGATAGCCTTTTAACATATTTCAGAATCTCTAGATGGAGCATAGTTATCATCAATGAAAGCGATTTCTAACGTATTGACACAAAAAAACAATATCTTATGTTAAACTTCCGATAAAATTGTAAACAGTCACTGGAATTTCTTTCGCCAAATATCAATCATTACACTCGAAATAACAATGTCACATATTTATGGCGGGACAATTCAAATTTCAACAATGGTTGTCATTGAACATTGTACATACAATACTCATTTATGAACTGTATGTTTACTTTATAATATGGTAACTACAAATTAATCTATTATTTTTTTTAAAGGTTTGTGTATTTTATAAACATTTGTTAATTGCGATAAAATAAAATATATTATGGATAAAAGTTTACAACTCCAAAATTGTTTAGAATTATGTACATGGTGAATTAATGTATAATATCGATTGTGGATAGACATCAACTAGTTAGTAAATTGACTGATGTTAATGAAGTATTGATTTGTAACACAAAAATTCGAAACTGGTTGTGTTAATTATTTAGTGAATGAAATACATTTGTTTATATCTACTGATAATTAATTGTTAGCGCAAATTTTAAATTTTATACATGTATTTTGGCGGTTGTTTACTAGCCATTTGACATGATGAAATAATTTCAAATTATCAATAACAAAAATACTTCAGTCCTGCAGCTGTTCTCCTAAGGAATCGCTATCAGACGCTTGGAAGTCGATTTGTGTATTCACAGGAGAAAGCATTTATCAGTCAGCCTTTCCTTGCCAGTGCTGGTAACTGATTGACTTTATTCTATGTTTCATTTGATTATGTGATATTTGGTTTTAACCTCTCCCGTCTCTTTTACATTGCGTAACTTCGTTTATTTCTATGATTTGAGTTGAAGTCACCATATTGTTACTCAGTTTAATTAGTTACTCATCATCTTACTCAACTTCTGTCTTTATTACGCAACACTCCTTTACTGTTGTAAGCGGAAAATTATTTCTGTTTAAACTTGAACTCTCCGGGTGGAATCTACCTGAGTTTAATTTTTCTGAGCACTGTTTATTAAGTTTGGATTCTTCTGTCAACATACTTGTTTACACAATCTTAACAATTTCTTCAGTCTTTATGCAACTAATTGGGAGGTTGACGAAGTAAACAGTGATGATACCATTTTATTCTGCACAAACCACTGTTGTTCTTTCATTATTTAGATTCTAGAGGAATTCAGCTGATATTTCGCCAAGAAATGACGTTATTCAGAGAACCATTGAGAAACAAGAAGAAGTGGAATTTCATTTCATTCTAGCCATAGACTCTTCAGTGGTGCATATCTGTGATTCCACTGGAGGTAGTACTCAGGACCTTCAGTCTATAAGCTGAGTTCATTATCTATTCATTTACTGAGGTCAGAATATTATGACCAATGATTTCTAACTTTTATGATTCCTCGATGCGACGTCATCTCGAAGCAATGCCGTCGAAGAGCTCTCGATTTACAGCCGACATCTTGAACCTGACAAGCAAAGATTTCTCACCCTGAAAGTCTGGGGCATCAGTTTCGTCTGAACTTCAAGTTATTTCTGGCCAGAAGACACAAAGTACATTTGAAACCATGCAAGCAGGTGTACAACTCAACTTGGTTCAACCGACAGTAGCATAGTGCCTTCCAGTGACTCCTAAAGAACTATGAGATATTTCACAGAGGTTATTTCAAAATTTTATTGAATAGACGCTTAGTTATCCAATAGTTTGACAGCTCATCTCACCAATTCTGTTCCCAAACAAAACAGTACATCTCATGGAGTTCATACATGTAACCAACTTAATTTGAAAGTTAAATGCCTAGAACAAATTGGCTGGAAATGAAATATATGTATGTATACTTAAGGTTTAGTAAATTAAGATAATTTGAGAGTTCACGGAAATGTTGTTGCATCATTTAGTTCATCTGATGCAAGAGAAATCAAAGTCAGTAAATACGAGAGACTGAAATGTATCCTCATCTGTAATGAACAATTGGTATATATCCGGATACTTATTAACTAGGACTCTGTGTGAGGAATAATAGTTTATACATAAGCCATCATCGCTTAGATACGCTTAGAACTTGTGAAACCTTTAGGTAAATTAGTATTATTCCAATTCAGCCTTACAGATCAGAAACTGGACAGTAATAAGACAGCTTCGTTGATCACAACAATATTGTGCCGAAGGGAACACATTCCAATCTGCATCAGGGTGATATCTGTCGAGTTCGCTCTATCATTTCAACGAATGCTAGGCCAGTAATACTTGAAGTAAACTGTTGCGTGAGCATCGATACTTTAATTTTCTCAAGTTAAAGATATTCGCGTATGACGCTATCGTATGTGTCATTCATTTAAGACAGCGTGTGTTCTAAAAACGAAATGTTAAAGAAGCCTGAGTACATAATCAATAAAAGTATCTCTGATTTACAAAGCAGATGAACACCTTTAATGTTAATTTTATTTTGTCTAATAACCTCCGTAGGAGTTGCTGACAGTGTTTTCTTTTGTGTAGGAATATATACTACTTATTATTGAAAAGTAGTATAGTTTCATTCCTTAAAGTAATCGTGGTAGAGGGTGACCGGTAGTGGGACTCACGGTGAGCATTTGGTCCAATTGGGACCCATCTATCTAGTTTGCATGCATTTCCAGTGAGCGATGGTGTTTCTACTGAGTTTATCCTAGAAAAACGTCGAGATGACTGTACTGTGAGTCGACACGTCACCAGAAGCCGAACATTTCGGTCAAGTCAATCAATAGGAAATCGGAAAATCAAATAAACGCAAAGACTTCATCATGAACTGACAATCGTTAGAGAACCATTGCAAAACCTGGAAGTACTGGGCAGTTGTTTCGTCCTAGTTTGGGAATCTTCATCAGTACGCAGAATTCGTGACCAGTAGAGTGTAGCAGGTCAGGTGTGAGGACAAATACTCGCCGAAGACATTGGCTAGGGGTCGCGCTATGTCGTGAATTTGCAGAAGTTAGAACCCAATGGGCCATTGGATCGGGTCCCAGTGGCTCAATGGTGTGCGAGCTGGACCTGTAGCCGGAGGCTCCTGGGCCCGAACTCGGGTGGGTGCGTACTGATGAATAGCCCTCAGCTAGGGCGAAACAGCTGTCCAATACTCCTTGGTAGGTCTTCCAATGGTTCTCTAACTGATGTCAGCTCATGATGGTATCCTGTAACCAATCAAATCCCTACAAACCAACACTTGAATAAACACAAAGGGTTGTATTCTGCATACAACTGCATTTCCCTCTAGTTATAATTCTATATATACACAAATATTTACACCACTTGGCTGGCCAACAACCTATAATTCTGATTCTACGCCTCTTCTACGTACATCTAATTCTGAGTCTCCAGTCTTCACAGTGCTTAAACCCTTAGGCTAACTGGATTCCCATGCAGCAAAGTGCATCTGCTTCTCTCAGATTCTCATTTTTTCAACTGTCTAATTCTCTGCTTGGGTAGCAACATGAACTCAAACAGATTTTTAAATGATTTTAAATCTTCGAGAATAGAAGGAAGGAAGAATGTTGCACAACACTGAATATGATTTTACCTGGAAAAGCCTGTTGTTACACAGTGTACTTTCGATGATTATTTTCACTCGAAGAAACTATAGGGGCAGTAACATTTTGCAAGAAATAAGGTTGAGAATTCCGTAATCTGTTAAGAACAAATATCTAGAGTTAGCATGATATTATTACTACTGTTCCCTTGAGCTTTCAGTAGAATATAAGGCATCAACAGAACGTTCCCATTTTGTCTCATTCTCTGCAGTTCCCGTTGACCGACCCGTAGGTTGCACATATCCCCCTAACATAATCTCCTCCACCTCCCACTCAGAAGCCACACTTTCCGTTTCCGATTCGGATTCCACTCGAGTGATGATCTGGAGTGCGATGTCACTCGACGGTCTCCTCAACGTCTATCCTACCCTTCTCCGTTTTATTCACATTGTTTCCTCAGCATAAATTCTGAGTTACCTTGTTCCCAGAACTTCTGGGCGTCATTTCTTTCCTGGCAGCTATCTCATTCTCAATATGGAGCCAGCCAAGTCACCTATTGACAAAAGTCTGCAGTGCCCTGTTGGAAATGCTCTTCGGGACAAACTCGCCAAGTTTCTCACCCACACAGAAGGGCTGACTGACATAATAATCATGTCGGAAATCCGGAGTCCACTGTTGATGCAGAAGAGTCAGTCAGAGGATTATCGAACTAATTTCAGATTAGTGGAGGTCTGCCTCAATTTTCCGATTGTGGTTTTGTCATTTTCATTCGTGCTGTCGCGTGTACCTGAAAGGATTCTGCCTCGCCAGGTAAATGAAGCAAGTGATCTCTTCCAAATTTATTCCGTCGATAGTGATTGGTTCTGGTTGTTGTTCCTGTTGCTTGGTTAACTTCATCACTCACGTCCTCTCAATGTTCACTGGAATTCCCGTCATCACTGCCAGCCTCTTCTGCCAATCTGTTGGTCTTCATCCGTAGGTCTTCGGATTTGTATGATATTAGATATAGACCATCAGCGAAATCCATACCTTTGGAATTGATAGTGTTCTCTGAGCTCCTTGGTTTAATTGCGGAGCTTTCATCGTCTTTCTGGACCTTCCAGAGTCTTCTTATCGGCTCAACATATTCCTGTCTTCTCCCTCCCACACTTGGTGCGTCGCATACTACAGTCGACTACAATAAGGAACATCATTGGGGATAGTGGGCAGATGGTTTTTATCCATCTCCTCTCCTCATATTGGAGGCTTCCCTGAGATTTTCGTTATGAATCACTTGACACGTGGCATTATCATATAGATATTAAACTAGGTTGATGAATATTTGGGGCACTGCACTCCGTGGTAGTAAACTTCTTCCCAAATTACTTCGTGGTTAACACTACTAAAAGCCTTTTCGGATTCAATGGATGTGAAGGAGAGATTTGATTACCATTCCATTCTGATACAATAATTCCTCAAATACTAAGGATGTTTTTTGACACAACACTATCGTTGATTTTATGGACACCCCTTCTTGAAAGTGATGTCAACTGCATTTGTACCAGACACCTCACAACTTAAGATCTGTGTTTATTATTCACCACTCTCCTCATTAATGTAATATGATGCTGATATGTTGGTCGATATCCAGTCTGGAAATAAGTCAATCAAATTTTGACCTACGTAAAAATAACGCCCTGTATTTTATTGATCATGATTTCATACTAATTGACACATTCTTGGTGATTTTTTTAACTCATACATTATTTCGTAAAGTATACTTTGTCAACCAAAAGACTCAACGGCGAAAGAAGATAAAACCAACATCAACTACAAAATAAATTGTAACAACTGCGAAAAACACTATATTGGCCAAAGTGAACGTCCCCTTCGTCTTCGTATCCACGAACATAAGTTAGCCGTCAAAAAACATGATATCCACTCCCTCATATCACTGCATACAGACAACCATGGACATCAGTTCAACTGGGACAACCAGTATTCAAATATTAGACAGAGGAAACAACAAGAATGCTAGAGAATTTTTAAAAGGCTGCCTGTTATTCCAGTGAATCATCACTCAATAGACACATCAAGATAGACAAAATTTATCAACCGATAAGAAAGAAACTTCACACACACAAAGGGTCAAAGTTCAAGTCAAAGAAATAATCAGTTCCAATACAAGTAATCTAGAAGGTGTGAAAACACACATAAACAACCAATCACATCCAAGGTAGTCACCAGGAGAGATGATTAATAAACTCGTGGAGAAATCTAAAAGCTCATTTCAACTAATTGAAGTATGCGCCTAGTAGGGCGATGAAAGCTTTGCAAATTAATTATCCAGCTCAGAGAACACAACCACATCATAATACTTTTCAGCTTACATCGTTCCCTGTCCTCATTAGGTAATACCAACTGAACGTCCCTGTTTCCGTCCCGACGTATTGCGAAGCATAGCACATACAGATCCTCAATAATAGCAACTCACATCTTTTTTTCATTTAACAACTGAAAGGTCTACGGAATAATTTCACATTCTGAATTCCTCGAAAGAAATCACTATGGACTCTGTGTATACTACGTATCTCTTTTTATGATATAAAAAAGGGATATATATATATATATATATATATATGTGTAATACTTACAGCATTTTGGAATATCACAATATTGTACTCCAGAAGAGACACCTCGACCATTTAAAGGATAACACCACGGTTGAGATCTAATACCACCGGGATTTCGACAGGCACGAAAATTTTCCATCTCTGGATCTGATGTACTAGAAGCTTCCTGTGTGTTGCATTATAATTTAAAAGAAAACTATAACCATTATTGCCGAGATCTTTACGCGAATTACTGATTCGCCATTTTGCACAAGGCTGAAGTTGGTAGATTATTTTGTTTTGTTTTTGTTGTTGTTGTTTTTTGAGAATAAGCACCCAACAAGATCGGGAACAAAATAGATAAATTTACGTTTAATGATCAGAGGACTACGTTAGCAATAATAATAACTTTGGGCCAAACAATAATTCTTTATACAGAACGGAATTTAAAATAAGTGGGAATTTAGAGAACAGTTAAATTATCCATTCAGCGATCAGCGCTTACACATCGCAACATTGATGAAGTTACCCCTCGATTGTAAAGAGGTTTGATGAGAAAGTTGTGAATGATTAGGAGGTGCAAGACCGGACGAGATGACGTCAGCCAACTGCTCGCATGCATAGCCTTTCAAATACTTTTGTGTTCTGCCTTTGATACTTTTCCTTCATAAAATGCATAACAGTAGGTGTAAATCTGTTTAAAAATCCGCGTGATTAAAGGAGGCAGTTGAAAATTAAAACATTTGACAGGATCATGCAACTACTCCATCAATTCTGCTACTCAATGTTTAGATAAAATTAAAGGCATTTAAACAGACGACCAGAAAATAATCATATATTCTTCGATGTCACAACAGTGTTTATTTATGTCTAACAACGACCAAATATACGAATAAGCAAAATGGGACACCTTTCGGATCGCCTTATCAGGACTGACTGACTACAGAAGGTCTAATACAAAGACTTGAAGATACAATCTTACTGAGGATCGAAACCAAGATTTGGATACGTTACGCGGATGACACATTCGTGTTAATCAGAGGAAACGACTAGAACAACACTCACAGTTTGATAGACAACTCTTTTAGCAATAGATACACATGAGAAGAGAAACTTCAGCAAAAAAATATTCCAGTTTCAGACGTTTTAGTCAGCCGAACAACTACAGAAATGTTGGAAACTCAAGTATACAGAAAATCAACTTACAAAGACTAAATACTATATGAAAACAGCGGCAACCCAATAATAGACAAAAAGAGTTACAACCAAACACTATTCCACAGTGCCAGGAAACGTTACAGCACTCCTGCCTTAAGGAAAATTGTAAAAACGTATCTTATGAACGTCTTTTAAAAAATGGATTTCCACGAAACTTCATCAAAAGACAACTTCCCCAAATCCAGCCAACCAAGTCAAAGGCGCCTAATAATAACACAGAGAAAATTGTCCTAATCTATTCGAATAAAATCTTCGAAACCACTGAAAGACTAGGTAAACCTTTTGGAATCGATGTTACACACAAAGCAGAAAAATCCCTTCAATAGGCTCAATGTCAACCAAATGACTTAACAGCAAAAGAAGATAAAACCAACATCATCGACAGGATAAATTGCAACGACTGAGGAAAATATTACATAGGTCAAAGTGGACACCTTTGTCTACACATTCATGAACATAAAGTGGCCGTCAAAAGACACACGATCCACTCCTTCATATCACTGCGTACAGACAACCATGGATACCAGTTCGATTGGAACAACGTTCAGATTTTAGACATATAAAACATCAAAAACCCAGGAAAATTTCTAGAAGCTTGGTGTTCAGGTTCAATAAGCAATCACTAGACACACTGACGTTAACATGATTTACCAGTCATAAAAAGGAAATCACATGAACTCCAATGGTAACATTTTTAACTACAGCAGCCATTAGCACGGATTCATCAAGGTCGTAGATATGCCTTTTGGATCAATGCCGACAAGCACAAAAACCAGGTCCAGGGCTTCCTACTGATCTACCATTTAACATCAATTTAGAGTGAATTGCGATGGCTGGTTACCTAGCTTGGTGATTCCATTGCTAAACTAACCGTCAGAATTCAATTAACATCAACATCAGAGACTAAATGAGTGCTACTCGTTACTGCCTACTAACCAATCAGTGTATCCACTGTAGTCTCATAAGAGGTTAATCATGATGTATTTACATCCTTTTGAGCGGTGCAGTACCTAATGATACTCAAAATGACGGCCACCCATCACTTCTAATTCTGAAGCATTATCTACCAGACCATTAGGCAACAGAAAGCCGGCCTCCTTCTTGTACAACGGATACAATTTGACATTATTTATTGTCTTTAAATTAGACATCACTTTTTAGCTTACCTGTCCATCTGAGATTTGATCTTGGTCACCATTATAATCTTCACCGTTCCCTTCATAACATCCAACATGTTCAGCTGAGAAACAAAAGCAAAATGCAAAGTAGGGTTGTAACTTTTAATCTTACTATATTGTAGAGAGAATTTTTTCGACACTAGTGTGATGCGTCTAGTCCTCTGATTGGTGTAGACTGAATTCTATCAGTCATGTTGTAATGTGATCACCATTCTAGCTAGCTCGCCATCATGGTGTACATTGATTTGATGGTATTAGATGGTTGGAGGCAGTCGGCCACAAGAAGCCTTGGACCTAGTTTTCGTGCTAGTTGGCACTCGTTAGCAAGGCCTCCAACCATCTAATACCATCAAATCAATGTAGAGAGAATTGTTAGAGATCATAAGATATGGCGACCAGAGGTTCTGGGAAGGAGCTAACGCAGAATTTATGCTGAAGGAATAATCGGAACAAAATGGAGAAGAGTTGGAGAGACGTTGACGAGACCATCGTGTGACATCGCACTTCGGGTTATCACTTCAGTGGAATGCAAGAGGGAAACGACGAGTTTGGTTTCGCTTCGTATTGTGACATTATGGAAAAAGTGTGACGAAGAGATGGGAGACTTTGGGCGATCGCAGACTCGGCCTAAGGTTACCGCGGAGAATGAGACAGTAGGAATCCAAGGTATTAATTTCATAATTTAATCTCATGGTTTTACACCTCAAACTGTGTAATTTGTAAATTGCAAGTATGAACCAAATGGCTTTTCGCCCTTGCTTCTAAATTCATTCTATTATCAAGGGTTAGATACCCATTACTTAGCTCTACAGGGAGAAGTGTATGGTGGGTTATTCATTTCCCAATTAGTGAACCTTAAGAATCAGGTTTCTTTTCTATTGTTTTTCCCGAAACGAACTAATCACATCCGCAATTTACTGCTTAACTTCTTGGTAAGTAACTATATTTCATGCAAATCATTTTAGAGCGGCTACTTTTGTGAATTTCAACAAACGTCTTACATAATTCCATATTAGTTTTTTCATGAGATGTATCATACAGTTAGTGAAACAGTATTATTTACTGGATGACAATTTCTTGAACAAAATTTATTACTGTTCATAATCATTTCATCAATTGTAATCACACGACTGCGAAACTTGAGTTTTATAGTTTTCTTTATCTTCTCCTATTTGTCGTCATTAAGGTAGTAGAATTTTCCAGATATCTGGGTGGACAGGTGTTGAATCATTCCTATTACACGTATTCACTCCCAGTTGATTCGATAAACAAAGCTTCTGTTATCAATCTCTCCCTCCCTACACCCTGTGACATTATATTTTAAAACTGTCATCCTATCCCATCCTATTGCATGGTTGTGTGTGACTGCATGTAGTGCTATAGCTGAACACTTCTCTAGATTTCTTACCTTATTCCGGTCAACCAATCTAGATTTCGCCGCTGGGTTTTTATGCTGGGCTAGTCTGACTGACTGCCCCTGTTCTACTAGTTTGACCAATGTATTTGACCTGACAATCATTACAGGGTATTCGATAAACTAAATTGTTTTATTTTAAAGGCTCCACAGGATTGATCCTTTAACCGACAAAGCTTGTTTCTAATTGAGTCTGTGGGTTTGAATGCCACTCTTATTCTTGCCTACCTTGTTAAGAATTCTGCGTAAGGTTTCGGAGGTTCCTTCCTTGTATGGATTTACTACTGATGATCTAGATTCCTTATTGTTGGTGTCGTCATTAATATTATTATTATCATTATTATTCCTATCATTATTATTATTATCATCGCTATCGCCATTGTCATTATTTATTTTATTTTTACATTTCCTGACATATTTCCTGACTAATTTATGCGGGTAACTATTAAGTTTCAAGGCTTCTTTTATGTGTATCACTTCCTGTCTTAGATTTTCCTTAGTACTACTTAGTTTTTGTGTTCTGTCATTTAAACATTTCACCAATTCTATTTTTACTGACATAGGATGGGATGATCGGAAGTCCGAATATCTGTTTGAGTGTGTGGGTTTCCTATAAACACTAGTGTTTAACTTCCCATCTTCTTTCCTTCTTACATTGTAATTTAACATTAGAAACTCCCATCCCTGACTTTCCAATTCATTAGTGAATTGAATTGCCTCTACCTTCGAGTTGATGTGTTCGAAAAATTTATCTGTATTTTGTGTTCTAAGTACAGTGAATGTATCCTCTACATACTTCCAACATACTTTTGGGGTGGGGGTGAACCTTTCAATCGCTACGCTTTCCCACCTATCCATGAATATATCTGCCACAACAAGGGATATTGGTGATCCCATGGCAACTCCCTCAGTTTGTTTGTATATTTTCCCTTGGAATTTAAATACTGTGGAAGTCAGGCATAGCTGCACTCCCAGTATTATGTCCTTAAGTGGCACTTTTGTCCTAAGTTCGCGTTATTGGTCAGAAATGAGTTCGTTTCTGACTGCCTCTATAATCATATTTATTGGTGTACGTGTGTATAAACTGACAATATCAAAACCAACCATTTTTTCTTCGTTATCTAATTTTGAATTATCTAATCTGTGTTTTAGTTCATAAGAATTAGTTAGTCTAGATCGAATCAACTACAAATTCATGTAATAGGAATGATTCAACATCTGTCCACCCAGATATCTATAAAAATCTACTAACCTAATGACGACAAATAGGAGAAGATAAAGAAAACTATAAAACTCAAGTTTCACAGTCGTATGATTACAGTTGATGAAATGATTATGAACAGTAATAAATTTTGTTCAAGAAATTGTCATCCAGTAAATAATACTGTTTCGCTGTGTGATACATCTAATAAACAAACTAATATGGCATTACTTTCTACCACAGTGCCTAAGTTTTACAGATATATTAAAACGTCATACGTACCGAAGTAGGAAGACTACAGAGCTACGTGGAGCATTCTTAGGTGACTGTAAAAGCAAGTGAAGTTAACTAAATCAACTGACTTTGAAAATGGTTTTCTAGAATCATCTTTCTCAAGGCGCACCATAGAAGTAAGTCAGGAATTTCATTTTTACTTTGCTTTTAAAGCCATATTTAAAACATGTCATGATCACATGCATAAATTCTCTGAAGCCCTAACCATACATTTATTTTCATTGGACAATAGTCAGTAACTAATATCATAAATCCAGTCGTTTGGTGCAACTTGAATCCTATCAGTGAAATTAGCAGTGTGGTCACTAAGCTAGGTAGTATGCCATCACGGTGAACTCTGAATTGTTGTTATTAGATGGTTGGAAGCAATCCGCAGGAAGCCTTGGAGCTGGATTTCGTGGTTCTTAGCACTCACCAGCCGGCAAGGCAAATCTGCAGTCTTGAAGGAACTCATATCTCTTCTGGGATTCGAACCCCTGTCAACCAGTGCTACAGTCAGAGACGGTACCACTGAGCTATTCGTGCTGGCGACGGACCTCTTGTAGAACTGCATCGGATACTTTGACTGGACACTAGTTAGTAACTGGTATTGTGCATGCACCAGGTGATACATATTTGACTCTAAGGAGGAACATGAGCTCCTTCAGGATTACAGCAACGTCTTGTTGACGACTACTAGCAAGCACGAAACCTTAGCGGAAGGCTTCCTGCACTTGGCTTTAACCATCTAATATATGTATTCATGCAAGTGTAGTATTGTGAGGACCTGACTGGTTACAAGATTTCATCATGAACTGACATAGGTTAGCGAACTATGGGAGTACTGGACGGCTGTCGATAAACAAAGAGTAACATGTGATTGACTCACATGATAAATTAACACTGTTCTCACTTATGGCGGTGAAATCATGACTCCATTGGCAATGGACTAATAGCTCCAAAATGAATCCAACTGAAACTTAGATGTTCATTCCTCCCATTCTTACTCATCATCAGTTACATCATGCAAAGATGAATATCTTCATCTAAGGATTTCAATGCCATTATCATATATTATATCATGTCCTCAGGCGTGAGGCTAGCAACCTCACCCTGTAAACAAAGTTGCTACAGAAACATCAGTCCGATGAATCTCCTTGCGCCAAAAGAAAAAGTCTTCGTGGGGACACGGAACGTACGCACCATGTACGAGATTCGCAAAGCTGCCCAGATCGCATCATAAAGAGCATCTCAAACAAACTAAAGACCTTCATTAACAGTTGTCTTCGCTCAATGCTCAACGTCAGATGGCCGGCCAGAAAAGATCAGCAACAGCGATCTCCGGCAATGAGCGAACCAACACAGCAGGAACCAATTGTGAAACAAATAGGCAAGAAGAAATGGAGATGGATTGGCCATACGCTGAGGAATCAAACCATCAAGTGACATTACTAGACAAGCCATTGCTCGAGTGGAACCCGATAGAATGGGAGGCGGTGAGCTGGTTGTCAATGCCAGGGTGACTTGGAGGAGGTCATGTGAAGATGAGATGAAAGCGTGTGGGCAGACTTGGAGCCAGGTGAAAACGTTGGCAGGAAACCGAACGCAATGAAGACGCGCGGCTGAATCCCTATGTTCCTCTAGGAATTAAAGGAAATAATAATAATATCATGTCCTTAAAAACCAATGAACTTTATTTTCTTTTTAAATAATGAATGAACCCCCCTCCCCCAAAAGTCCACAACTTACCACATCTTGGTACATCACAGTATTTAAATCTTCCCACGCCAACAACACACCATGGTCCATTTGAATCATTTCCAGGATTACGACAATAATTTTGATTTTTTATAGCTTCTTCATCCGTCCAATAAGGTTTATAAAATGATTTATGATCTTTCCAATCTAAACATTCAGTTCCATCGAAAGCAATATTCACTTTTCCACGATAATTTGTTGATCGACATTTCATTGGATCATAGGCGTGTAATTCATTGAATTGTATTTGTTCACTTGTTTCAATTGACGTTAGTAATGAAATAATGAAATATAAAACAACACTGGAGAATACATAAGATGATGATGACGATGATAAGTAGAAAGCGGAAGAATAGTGTCGCCTGCTTCCCATTAGGATAGTTTAAATGGAAAGGAAGTGATGAGTCTGCCTATTTTCTAATGTGTACAATGATTATGAATCCTATGTCCTCTTGAATATATATATATATATATATATATATATATATATAATTTGTAAACAAATACATGCGTCCTAATAAATATGTAAGTAAACATATTTGCATACACACACACAGATGGTTGAAGTGGTGTAAGCTAGAGTCAAGTGGACAGAAGTTGTAGTCTTCGCCTTCATTTCAATAAGGCAGTATTTGTCTCCATTATGATTTAGTTTATTACACTTAGGCTAGATTGTAAAGTTATGAAATATGGTCTATCTAAGTAACATGTCATATCCGGTTTCATGTAAGGTAGTAGTCATTGCGTTACCATGACAAATATATAGATATATACATATATATTCGATAGAAAACTCAGACTCGATGTAGCTACAGTGAATATACTTTCTAGACTTGGATATATATAGTAATACAAGTGTATTTGCGTGTATGCATATGTGTATATAAGAGTTTTAAGATTGTTATTAGTCGAAAAATGATTTAGACTAAGGTGGTTATTTCATTACTATACTCCTTACTACTTTTATGATTGGTTATTAGTAGTATAATAGGCATGATTGTTTATGTATTGTAGGCTTTATTATTCAATTGTTTAATATGTTAATAGCGAATGATTTTGAAAAAAATTTTTTATGATTGACATAGAAAGGTTGTGATACCGTTTGTGTAGATTTTTCATATATAAACATTACTTCCTATTACCACTACCATTGTACATAAGAACAGACAGTTTGTTAAGTGGTTGACTATTGCCACACTGTCCAGGAAGGTATGTCTGACACCTCGAAAGAATTGCCAACATATTCAAGCGGTAGTTTGTAGGATCCCAGAGTGATATCAATCAGGGAATCATTCGAAACAACCAGGAAGTACTGAAAAGCTGTTTTGGCAGTCTAGTATGCGACTCACTGGAGTACTCACCCACTGAGGTTTGAATTCAGGTCCTTTAGGTTACAAGGGAAACTTGTAGGTCATTCATTTACTGGGACCTGACTCAGTGGCCAGTCCATGAACTCTAACTTCAAACATGAAAACAACAATGATTATTCACTACAATAGGAATGATATCATCCTTACAGTTGATAGTACCAGCTCTCACTAAATCCCGTCATCCATTTTAAAACCGTGATACAAATCTTACATCCAGGAATCTCTGGGGCAGTGGATAATTTTCCGTTTGTCAATGTATTTTAAGTAGTACCGTAAAGTAGCAGAACGGCAGCTTCCAAATAATTCTGAATGACCAATCAAAATCAGGGGATGGATAAACACTTAAATTTGTTAGTATATTGTACGGTTGAATGCATAGACTTCTAAGTGGATAATTTTATCCTAACCTAACACCATTCTAAACTAAGCTTAACGTTAATCCTACAGCTATCTTAGGCGAAGTTAAACTTTCGACACCACTAACTACCAATCAGCGAATTATCCGATGAGATTCACGAACGATGTCGAATTATCCAGTAAGGTTCACGAACGCAGTTCAATGTTGTATAGCGCTTGATTCATTTCTAATGCGTGACCTTACAAAGCTATTGTTGCAATTCGAGGAGGTTAGCGTTTTCCAGTATTCCCTGGATTTGAGTTGCGCCGGAAAGAGCGAATTTGTTTGTGTGGTGGTATCATGACTTTAAAAAGCTATACCAAATCAACTGATGGGTTTGTTCATCGTTGTGCTATATGTTTGAAGCCTACTAACGCTAGAGAGAGTAAGCTGATAATTGTAATATTTCGTAGGAACTTTTTTCGCTAGGTCGCTTCTCTCCCTAAGGATAGCAGATAGAGAAGCAACTACTCTTATACCTATTATTACCAGACTTGTTAAGCGGGGGTCAATTATACACACCGACGAGTGGAAAGGCTACAATTCACTATCATCTCTGGGATATATTCATCATAGAGTCAACCATTCAAGTGATTTTGTGGATCCCGTTACGAGGACACATACAAATTCTATTGAAGGATTTTGGGGCAGGTTGAACAACAGGATAAGGGCTATAAATGGATCTCATTTATGGTCATTTGGATGAATATTTGTACAGGATATGGTGTAACTTCTCCATTGACAGTCCCATGCTAAACTGGGAGATTTTTCTCTCACATGTTCGAGAAAGATATCCCATGTAACTTTTTTATTCTCTATTTTATGCTTTTTTCTACAAATATACATTTCCATTCATCATATATGCCTCTTTAATGTGACTGGTCCGTTCAAGGTCGTTTGCTGATTGGTTGTTAGTGGTGTCGAAAGTTTAACTTTGCCCTATCTTAATCAACTCTTAGGCCAGAAAATATTGTAAACTCAGATCAGCAGCAAACTCTGAAAGCAGAATAATATGTACTGTTCGTGATCACTTGAATGATTGATCCCCATTAGGCCATTTCGAAGAAACTGGATGATCTCTGATATTCTATAAGTTTGCTATTTTCGCTACGGATGCAACGTATTATTATTCCTTTGGGTTCCACAGGATTCAGATCTTCATTTCGTTCTATTCTGCGAGGTCCTCTTTAGCTTGCTCCACGTTTGCACATAGTCTCTGATATGTAGTAACATGATGTCTACCTTGTTTTGACAGTCTGTTATATTTTGCTATGTGTATATTGATCGACATTTCATTATAACTGACAATATGCTTTGTTTGTCCATTAACTAAATAAACAATGTATGACCTTTTTATCACATGACATTACAACCAATTAGAATCCAATGATGGTAAGGTAATCTACTATCTGTCTTATTGGTTCATGTGTATTAGTCATTTTCATATATACTTTTGCACTGTACACTTTTACATACACTTGTTCTCACATTTCGTACACTACGTACCCTTCCACTCTCACATTTGTGTGACAGTCATTTTTTCCCCTTGTTTGGAAAGCATACGTATCATCGTGAACGAGGTGGTCTTCTGATTTTCCTCTTTCCGCGTCAGACTATTAACCACTCGACGAGTACATAACAATCTCTTATCTCCTTCTCACAAGATCTCTATGTTACACTCGTACCTAGCGCTAACTCATCGTTTCCCGCTAAAGTCCCACTCGAGCGATGGCCTGAAGCCCGGTGTTATCCAACAGTCTCCTCAATATGCAACTGATCCACCTCCTTTTTTCGGCATATCTATTGAGCAATAGGCTGTAGATTAGTTAGTTCCCAAAGTTTCTCGTAGCTAACTTTTCTGGTCATCAGATCTTTAGTATGGAGCGAAAGTGAAAGCTGTTGATAAAGGTCTGGGATTTGCTGGAAATGCTTTTCCTGACTCACTTACCACATTTCTGACCCATAAGTTAGAACTGACTGACTTAATATTTGTGTGAGAAATCCAAATTCTCCTCTTAATGCTGTGTAAGTGCAGAAGATCCCCACACTGGTTTCAGACTGATGAATGTCTGTTTTGCGTTTTTTATCCTGACTAGTTTTGACATCCTCATCCGTGCTGACTATGCATAGTTGGAACGATGCTGGGTAGATAAATGAAGGAAGTGACTTCTTTTATATTTATTTTGTTGATAGTGATTGGTTTTGGTTATTAGTGTTGCTGTTGGTTGGTCATTTATCTACCTCATCTCCGTCTTCTCTATGTTCACTAGGAGTCCTGTCATCACTGACAGTCTCTTCTACCAAGCCGCCGGTCTTCATCCGTAGGTCTTCGAATTTGTATGATATTAGACATAGACCATCAGCGAAATCCATATCTTCTAGAGTCTTCTTGTCAGTTCAGCATATTCCTGTCTTCTCCCTCCCACGCATGGTGCGTCACATACTGCAATCCACTACAATAAGGAACATCATTGGGGATAGTGGGCAGATGGTTTTTATCCATCTCCTCTCCTCATATTGGAGGCTTCCCTGAGATTTTCGTTATGAATCACTTGACATATTGCACTATCAAATAGCTGTTGAGTAAGATTGATAAAGATTAGGAATATACTGTAGTGTTGAAGAAGTTTGCAAATTACTTCATGGTCAGCGCTGTCGAAGGACTTTTCAGGCTAGATGAAGTTGAGCTAGAGGTTTCTCTGCCACTCTATACTTTGTTTGATGATGATGATAATGCGTGAAGTAGCTTTTTACTGAATCCAACTTGTTCCAGGAGGAGTTGTGCATCCAGTGCTGTTGTAGGTTGTTGTCATGTGTTTTGATTGCTACACGATTTAGATAAAGCAATAAGAAGATGTAATTTGTCTGAATCGTGTAATGTATTTGCGCAACACATTTCGAAAAATCTGATCACACATGAACTTGTCATAGGAATATATATGAAATTAATAAAGAGCTAAGAGGTGAGAAAATAGACCACTTAGGTCAAGTTAAAAGGACATATTCAAGGTCGAAATAACAACGAAGACCACTAAACCAAATAGCAGTGGTAATAGTACATCTGCTATGGTATCAAAACAAAATTTATCAAAGAAGGTTTAATGTGATGACGAATTGTTGCTTTGAACGCATAAAGGTGGCTTGAACTTTCTAATTGCTAGGGCTTCCACAAACTTAAGGATACACCCCAAACACGTTTTATAGATAGGTTTGAAAGATGTGCTGACGTCAATTTTATGTCCTGTCTCTATCATATGTTTCGCAATAGAAGAGCTTGGTCTCCTGTTCTCACCGTTAATAGGTTCCGAAGATTCCATTTTTGTTTCTAGGGCTATTTAGGAATATGCTACAAGATTACTTAAAGTACTCCAAAGTTTTGTTCTCCTCTGAACGCAGGAAATAAATAGTAGTAATAGTAGTTGTTTTTACATTAACTCTTGTGTAATTGATGAAGATTTATAGGCATAAAATCTTATTTTTCTTTGGTATTGTTCTCTTGTCAGCTGAATGATGGACATTATCACTTTTCATGCCAATAAACAATTAACTGTCTAGACAGTTTCACTTCCCACATTCACAGACAGAAATATCGATAGATAGATAGAT